GTCCCTGGTCAGGGTGCGTACAGGAGGCGACCGATCGCTGTTTCTCTCTCACACGGAGGCTCCTCTCTTTCTCCCCCCGTCTCTCTCTCTCTCTCTCAGATCAGTGAAAAAACATATCTTTGGGTGAGGATTAAAAAGAAAATGTATACAAGCTGTTCTACAAACACGTCCTCTGTCCCTCCCTGTTGCATAGCATCCCGAAGCACGTACCCGCCCGACTTCACTGTTTGCACCTCCGCAGGTGAACAGCGAGGCTGCCGACCTCTGCCACAGGGACGCCTGGGCAGCAAGTGGGTGCACGCATCCCCCCAGCAGCCGCCAGGAGCCCCGCCCCCTCGGGCCCCGCCCACAACTGCTGTCCCTGTTTTGACCTTTCTGATGACCTACAGGGTGTCCCACGGTCAAGCTCTGGCCCCCCCTCCTCGAACCGCCCGTTGGCAGCACCTGTTCGATCCTGCCTGGTTTCCTTTTTCCTCGGGATTTACAGAAGATACGGACACATCGTAGCCCCTCGCTGGTGTCGGACGCCGTGACGCCTCGCCCTTCCCCTGCCTGTCACCTTCGTCTCTCCTGCGGCAGCGAAAGCGTGCGCGCCATCAGATGGCCGCGTGAATTACGTGAGCTCAGACAGCCCCGGCGGGTGCGGCTCAGCGGACGGGGCGCCGGCCTGCAAACTGAGAGGCCGCCGGTTTGATTCCCGGTCAGGGCACAGGCCGGGGCTGTGGCCCAGGTCCCCAGTGCGGGGCGCGCAAGAGGCAACCCATCGATCGATGTGTCTCACGTGCCCGTGTTTCTCTCCATTTGTCTCCCGCCCCTCCCCTCTCTCTAAAAATAAACATCTAAAAAAAGGAGAGAGTGTTGATAAAGGTTTAGAACAGTGAATGAGATGACCCCAAGGAAGCACCCAGAGCAGGGCTGGGCACAGGCTGCGCCCTCACAAGTCGCCTGCCTGGGGCCCTTGGTGCCTCGGGGTGTCCCGTGAACACGGAGACCCGCGGACCCCACTAGGAGGGGAAACCTGGACCCAGGGAGGGCGAGGAGGGGGGACACCCACGACAGCACAGCCCAGACGCGGGGAGGGTCCTGGGGGCGGCGACGTCACTCGGGCGACACAGTGGCATCCAAGCTCTGAAAGGAGGCCGTTAACTGGAGCGACCGATGTGCCAGTCAGAACGCCCTTCGCCAGCCGCGCTCAAGACCGAAATAGGTGTGGCCGGCCCCCAGCCCCGCCCCTCCTCCAGGCGTCCTGCCAGAGGCCCCACCGCGCACCCCGGGAGGCACGTCACTTCACCTGGCGATGGCTCCCCATGCCAGGTCAGGAGCCCCCTCTGGCCCGGCCACGCCCCACTTTTTCATCGGCCGCCCCTGCTTTCTCGGGGATGTCTGGTCGGTGCCCTGTCAGGTCGGCGCGCCTGGCTCAGGGTGGCTCCGCGGTCATCAGACCTGCTGCTCCCCGAGACCTCGTTGGCTGCGCGGGCCCTCCCGAAGGGTCCGGGGAGGGAGGCCAGCTTTTGCTGGTTCTGCCCGTTCCCGAGACGACACAGGCACTGAATTCCCAGCTGGTTACTGGGTTGGTTCCGTCCGGAACTGCTTTTGGGTTTAGCGTGAGGCCCCATTTCGGATTTCCTGCAAGGCGAGCCAAGGGCTTCAGCTCGCTTATTGGAAAACACGCGCGTCCCCATGGCCCGGCCGGGCCGGCCCTGTTCTCAGCCGAGCCCCCGCGTTTTGTCTCAGGCCCCGCGGAGGCCTGGCGCCGCCGGCTTCTCCTAGGACCGCCCCTTTCTGCCCGGCTCGCCTCTTCCTCCTTCTGCAATGGTTTGGATATTATCCAGCCTTGTCCTTTCATGTTCTTTTTAGGGTTGGCTTGTTGAATTTCTTTTTATAAAAAACCAAAACCACCCTTTGGCATTTTAACGAGAGTTGCTTTTTTGTAGGACAGTCCGGGGGGGGGGGGAACTGACCGGCGTCTGGCCCTGGGGCTCCCTGTCCATGGAAGGGTACGCAGTCTCCATGGGCTCAGGTCTTCTTGCGCGCCTTTCAGTGACATCTACGCGTCCTTGACACTTTGGCTCGAGTTCTAAAGAGTTTTATCTGTGTCCCTCTTATTCTTTTGCTGCTATTTTCAACGTGGTTTTACAAAGCTGCGTCCTCTGGTTACTGCTGATACTTCGATGCGCGGCGATGACGGTCTCTGTTTGCCCTCCCAGCTCCACCCGCCACCTTCCACTGTGCGTCGGGGGAGCTGCGGTCCCGGGGTTGAAGGAGACACGGTGGGGGTTGGGGCGGGACCCTCTGCGCAGGCCTGCGCTCGGCTGGGGCCGCGCTTACTGTCCTCGGGAGCGGGTGCAGCGTCCAGGAGCTGAGGCCCCTCCCGCTCCGCCGTGCCTGCGCGTCCCTGAGCTCTGCCCTTCCTTTGTAGATGGTCACGTATGAAAATCCCTCCAATTATCCTTCCGAGCGCGCCATCTGTTTCCTGCTGGGACCCTGACTGGCACAGCAATTGCTCCCCAGAACTGTCCCCAGGAAACAGGCCCTCCATCCAAAAGATTCTAGGCTCAGGCTGCTCACGTGAATAGAATCCTCGCCAGAGGGGAAGCTGGGCCGTGGGGGTCTGTGTCACACAGTGTCCTCACGGCTCCTGGGATGCGGTGCACATGCAGGGCGGCTGAGACGCTGAACTGCTGAGGCCAAATGGTGCGACAGAGTAAGCTGTGGGCCGTCTACTGTGGATGGCTCTGGAAAACGTGCAAAGGAAAGGGACGATTCCAGGTTCGGGGATATTGGGGCCCCGCCCCGCCCCTCGCCATCGGATCGCCAGGAACACACCGGCAACTTAACAGGGTGGGTCTGTCCCTCGTGGCAGCTCCGGAGAGCACACTGCGGGGAAACAGAGGGTGATGTAGTCAGAGGGTTTTAGAAAAGACTCATGGTGGGACCGGGGCTTCTGTCGGCGACCATGGGGAAGGGGGAGGAGGCGGGGTTGTCCCCCCGATTCGAAGCTGTCAGAAGCAGGGCGATTCTATGAGGCGGCGTCTCAGCACTGCTTATCCAGAGGGAGGGAAGGCCGGGGCAGGCTCTGCTGCGCTCAGCAAGCGGCGGCGGCGCCCCAGCCAGGAGACGAGGGGCTGGCCGTTCAGCACGGATGGCGTCATGATTTGACTGTTCCCAGACGAGGGCAGTGCAGCGTGGTGGTGAGCGGCTGCGGCGTGGCCACGGCGGCCTCCTCGGATCGCGGTGTTCTGCGCACCTGCTCACATCCCTCAGGACGGCGGGCCCAGCTGCAGGCGGGCCCTCCCCCTTCCTTCTCCGAGGGAGGCTTTGAAGGAAGGCATTCCTCATCCATAGCAGCTCGGAGGCAGACCCGGCGGCGGGGCTCTGCCGAGAATAAGGGGAACTAAGGTAAGTGGAAGGCACAAGGACGCCACGATGACCCCCCAGGCCGTATCACAGACCCAGGAGAGGAGAAGTCGCAGCCCTATTTCCTGTTGGTGGTGACTTCCCCTGACCGGGCGCCTTGGGCAGATAAAGCTTCGATTCCTGCTGTGGGTGGCAGGGGCTTTGGTGACGTCCCCACGGAGGTCAGGGAGTGGACGGCGCCATTCCTCCCACACTGGAATCCCCATCTTTCCGTGGCCTACTCGCTCCAGCCCACACTCGCGTCTCCTTCAGCCTGACCGCCAGTTTTAACAATTTACATGTAAGAGCTCCTCCTCCCAGGCGATTCCGGGGGTAAACCAAACGCCTAGCGCTGGCCGGCTGCTCTGTTCTCCGGCCTCTGAGCCCGCCTGCCCTCCTCCAGGAGGCTGTCCGCCCGTGGCTGGGATCAGGACCCTCCACTCTGCGTGATTCCCAGGGGGAGAACGTGCCTCCTGAGACACTGAGGACCGCTGTTCCCTAACAGGGCTCGCTGCCCGAAGTGCAGAGACATGGCTTTTTTCAAAAGACAGGAGGTGCCACTTAGCCGTGTTCTGATCCAGGGCTCAGGGCAGGCCTATGGCGTGGGGGTGTGTGCGGAGGCGTGGCTGGCAGTTTAACTGGGGGACCTTAGCCCTTGGCCATCGATGGTAAGGGGCTTCAGTAAGGGATCCTCCCAGAGAGCGGACCCTGCTCTCCCGAGAGCCTTTGGAGGTCAAGTTCCCCTTGGGTCCCGCCTTTTGGTTCCCTGGGAGGGACGGGGCCACTTTTGTCCTGGGTGTGGCTTGAGGTCAACATGTTCTCCTGAGTGCTGCTTCGGCGCATGACTTGGGGCTTTGGTTCTTGCCTCCGAAGAGCGACTCAGTGTCTCCTTACAAACAGCACGGGGCCACCGTGAGCTGCTTCTGAAACCGGGAAGGTCCTCGCTCACGCTGCCGGTCAGCCCCAGAACACGCAAGGAGAGCCGAGGACTGAACCTTCACGGGCGCTTTATTCAGGCGCCGGCAATCTGCGAAGACGACAGGTTACGTCCCCTAAGAACTGTCTTAACATCTCGTCTCAAGCTGACCTTAGAAGAACAGGGTAGGAAAGGGGTTCGGAAAAAAGGTTTATCAGGTGAGAGCTGCAGTCCCGTGGAGACTTTCCTCGTATTTCTTTATCTCCCTCACGCTGTTCCCTCCCTGGGGCTCAAGGGCTCAGATACCGTCTCTGGGCTTGCAGAGCCCCCGGGGCACGAAGGGTACTCGCTGGTCCGCCTCCTGCAGTCACGTGCTCACGCGTTGCAGCTCCCGGAGTATTATCACTTAAGACTACCGACCGCAACTACAACTAAAATCTTTGACTCTCCCGTTCCTTATCAGTCCTGCGGAGGCCCCGGGCGGGGAGGGACACCGGTACCGAGGATCCCCGCCTCCGAAGCAGCCTCGGGCTCCCCGAGCCCAGCGACCGGCTACGCGGAAGCCCGTCCCCAGCAGCCAGCAGGGGAGCACGGCTGCGGGGCGCGGCCGGCGCAACCGCGCAGGCGCAGGCCGGGAGCGCGCGCAGCAGCGCCGGAAGGGGCGGGCCCGCGGCGCCTGCGCAGTGCGCGGCGCCGGGGCGGAGCGGCCGTCAGCTGACTGTGGCGGCCGCGGCCTCGCTGGGAAGCCGTTGGCCGTGTCGCAGGCTTCGGAGGAAGGGCCGCGGGCTCGTCAGTTCTCGGTGGGCGAGGCCGGCCGGCGGAGCACCATGGCGACCACCGTCAGCACGCAGCGTGGGCCGGTGAGGCTCCGGGCCGGGCGGCGGCGGGGCTCAGCGGGCCGGCGGGCTCTCCGCTCAGGCGCGGGCGGCCGGTGCGGCTCCCGGGCTCAGGGCGGGCGGGGGTGGCGGGGGCGGTCCGCGGATGCCGAGGCCTCCGTGCCTTGAGGGTCGCGGATGGAAGGAGGCGCCTCGCGGACGGTCTCCGGGAGGAGGAAGCTCCTGCGCCCCGCAGGTCCCCCGGCCGACGAGTGTCCGGACTCCTCGCCTGTACCGCGGATGGGAGCGGCACCGAGCCCTGCGGGTCCCCGGATGAGGAGGGCCCCGCGCGGGCCGCCGCCCTCCCTCCCCGGGCAGAAGGGGCTTGCGGGCGCGACCGCATCCCTAAGTGGGCGCGAGTGAGGCCGGGCCGGGCCCCGCGCCCTCGGACTAGGCGGAGACCCTCTCGCCGGCCCCCTGCCTGGAGAGGAGGCCTTTCCACGGTGCGTGCCTTCCGAGCCAGAGGAAGCCCCCAGGGGACGCCTGCCCGACGCGCGGTGGCTCGGGCGTCCCGGCCGAAACAGGCCGGGGCAGACGGGTGTCGGGACCCCCGCCTCTTCGCAGCGCCCCTGTGGCCGCCAGCCTCCTCGGCGCCCGGTCCCCAGCCTCCCCCGTGCGCGCTTTGCGGAGGGGTGTTGAGTTCGGCGACTGTGCGACGCTCGGGCAGCTGACGCTGCGGGGGAGCGGGCGTCGCTGTTCAGACGGGCGGGACGGTGCTGCGAAGACGCCCACGTGTTGTCTGACGCGGCATTCCGGATGGCATGGGGTAAGGGAGGCCTCGCGTCCGTGGGCTGTGACTCCGGGACCGGTGGGTGAGCAGTGGCTCTGGGTCGGGGCTAGAGCTGCTGGGCTGCCGGGGGCACTCTCGTGGCTGGGATCCTGGCTGCCGCCGCGGGCTGCGCACCTGCTCGGCCAGTGCAGCTGGTCGCTGCTTCGCGGCTGCTGCCTACAGTGACCCAGCTGGTGCAGCGCCTGTGGCGAAGCTCCCTGTGTGTCATGTGGCCACACAGAGGAGCCCCCAGGGGGCGGCGGTCCGACCTGTGCGTCTCAGCTCAGAGGTGGTACCTAGGGCAGCCAGGGTCGCTTGCCCGGGTGGGGGTTGGGGTGAGCCAGGTGCTGGAGGAGCCTGACCTGGAGGGACCAGCGAGGGGGTTGACAGGCGGGGTGTGGCCGCCCGGATGCCTGCGGGCTGCCTGGGCCCCGGAGCAGGGCAGGGTGGCCAGGGCTCTGCTGGGGGAACGGCTGTGGGCGGCACAGGGGTTTGGCCCTTGAGTTTTATCTGGTGGCCGCAGTGTCAGTCTGCCCTGGCGCACACTCTCTGCAGTCCCGACCCCCACCCTCTGGGTGGGCCGGCGCCGGTGGCGGTCCCCCCTCAGTGCACAGAGCCTGCGCAGGGGCTCTCCCCTCAGGGTGGGCGTTGGCCTGTGCTCTGGGCGCCAGGGAGGTGCTGGGAATCCAGGGGCTTGCCCAGTCCACAGGGAGCAGCTGCGGCGCCGGCTCGTGCCTGTGAGGGCAGTGCTGGGCCCACGCGCGCAGCGTCAGGTCCAAGCTGGGCAGTGGGCTGTGCCCCCCGCCCCATCCCTGCCCTCCCAGGAAGGGGTTCCACTCGGCACGGACTCTGAAGTCTGACTGCTGTTCTCTGCTCCCGTAAAATCAAGGAGTGACAGGCGAGGGCCCTGGGAGTGTGCAGGAGGCAGGGGGTGGGCAGGCCGGGGAAGCCTCCTGGCGGGTGCGTGGGGCGCCGAGGGGCAAGGCTTGGGGAGCATGGAATGAGCAGGAGACCAGCGGGCCAGGCCTGGCCTCCGGCTCCGCGTCTCCCTGCAGCGGCGCGGGTGCAGCTCTCCCGGGTCTCGGGAGGCCTGCTGTCTGCGTCTCCAGAGCCGCCGCCTCCCTTGAGCGGCCGCAGGGCGGGCCCAGCCGGACGCTGTTTGCCCTGGTGTCAGCAAAGCTAGTGTTTTTGTAGCAACAGTCCTTCCTCTACCCAGTGTTTGTGTCTAGTTCACAAACTATCGAAAAGCACCAGTGGGCACCTGCAAGGGCTGAAACTTCCAGGGAGGCCCCTGCTCCCCACGCTGGTACTCAGGGGAGGTGTGCAGCACCCCCCCACTTCCCACCCAGCTTTAAAGCGCAAACAGGCAGGCCCCTCAGCCCCAGGGCAGGCCTCCCAGCACGTGCAGGCTGATGGGTCAGCTGTGTTGCTAAATACACACACAGTTCTGAGGAAAAAAAAAAAACTTTTTATAAAAAAAATTTGTATTTACTTTTAGAGCAAAGGGACGGGAGGGGAAGGAGGGACAGAAACACCGAGGTGTGGCAGCTACACCCATCTGTTGCCTTGCGCGCCCCCAGCAGGGGACCTGGCCTGCAGCCCCGGCCTGTCTGTGCCCTGACAGGGAACCCACGAGGCCACTGATTTTGGCTCATAGTCCAGAGCTCAGGCCGCGAGCCGCACCCATCACGGCGTAAGTCGCTTTTTTCACTTGTTCTCTGTTTTGTTTCTCTCTTGGCTTGTTTTCAAAGAGTGAATACAGTTTTGTTTTTTTAATTTAGTCTTTTGTTCTTTGCTGGTTTGGAAAATACATAATGTCATATTTCTGTTCTCTTCGGGATTGTCCTGGAAGTTTTAACACGCAGATGCATCAGGACCTGCGGTCAGCCTCCCTCTATCTGCCCTCCTGACCAGGGCTCTGCCGAGGCGACCCCAGCCTCCAGCAGTGCTGGCCTGTCCTGTGTGGTCTCTCTCTCCCATGGGGGTGGACACCTGTCCAGTGTGCCTGGCATCCCCGTTCTGAGCCCTCCCTGCCTTGCTCGCCCCGTGGGGCTTCCTCTGGGGTGGGCCCTCGGTTTTGCTGGGGAGCGGTCAGCACAAGCCCCTGAGGGCACGCGTGTGCTTGGCAGTTATCTTCCCGCAGCCCGTGAGACCTCGCCCTGCCTGCGCTTCTGGGCCCCGCGCTGTGGGCAGTCGGGTCCGCTCCCACCTCTGAGCACCTGACACCCTCTTCCCGGTACCACCGCCCCGCTGTGCGTGCCGCGGGTCCCGCCCGGAGCTTTGTACGGACTCTGCGTGACTTTCAGCTCTAGCTTTGGGCAGGTGCTTAGCGTCTCAGTCTCCGTGTCCTCGTGGGTGACCCTCTCCCGCGCCGGAGGATGGGCCGTGCTCACCGGTGCTGGCCCAGCGGGGCCTGTGGGGAGGACCGGGCCTGGGTGCTGCCGCGTCCTCCAGACTTGTTTTCGTTTTTCAGAAAACCCCCTGGGCCGTCCCTCACTGCGGCGCCTCCTCAGGTCCCGCATGCGCTGCGCTGCGTCCCCTGTGCCTCCTCCGCTGCTTTGGGCTCCCACGCTGCCTGGGCGCTGGAGCGGGGGCAGCCAGTTGTGTGGGACGGTGGCTCCATCAGCAGGAAAGCCACCTGTGCTCTCAGGGACCGAGGGAGGCGACCGCAGGTGGTGGGCCAGTGCTCTAGGCGGGGGGCAGAGCAGCAGGTTGTCTTAGGTGTTAGAAACGGTCCCGGGTGAGGTCTAGAGCCCCGTGAGACCAGCCGCCGCCAGCAGGCACAGGGACAGCGGCGAGTCACCGTCCTCGCTTGGGCTCTCTCCGCAGTGCCTGCTGCTCCGCCTTTCAGCGTGTCCTCGCCTGCCCGCTCGGAGGGCTCAGGGCATCAGCGCCCCTTCCCCACCCCCCTCCTTCCTGGACTCCGCATCCATGTGTCCTGCCATTTCTTGCCGCCTTCCCAGGATGCTCAAGACATCTCAGAGCAGTCCCTTCCTTCCCTCAGAAGCCTCTGCTGCGCATGTGTGTGTGGCTGGGTCTCCCCGCTTTGGGTGGCAGCTCTACCCTCTACGTCGCTCAGGCCAAAACCTTGGGGTGGCCCTGCCCCCTCTGGGCCCCTTGGGAGTCCTGCAGGCTCTGCTCACAGAACCGGCTTCTTTCCCAGCCTTGGCCCCGCCTGCCTGCTGCCCCGCCCTGCGGTCAGGCCCCTGCTGGCTCCGGGCCGCCCGGCCGCCACCTCTGACCTCCTCTCCCGGCCCTGTCTGTCTCATGCTTTCCCTCGACCTGCCAGACCGGCTCCGGCGGAGGCCCTGAGCACAGGGGCCCCCGCGCCCCTCGGCCTTCCCCCAGCGTCTGCAGGGCCGCCGCCCGCACGTCCTGCCCCGGGCCTTCTCCCGCCGCCCACTCGCAGTGTCAGCGACCCCAGCTCTGGCCCTGCATCCTTGCGCTCAGCCTCTCGTCCTCTTTTGCTGAAGCGCAGGCACCCTGGGAGCAGCGGCTGCTCCCGCACCTGCACTGAGAGGCCCTGCCTGCGCGCCGTGTGCCCGTGTGGACCCTGCCACCGGCATCCCACCCGCCTGCCTTGTCCTGGCCCTTGGCGCCCAGCCCCCTGCTTCGCCGGTTTTGTTTGTTGTTTTAAGTTAATCCTTACCTGAGGATATGTTTTTATTGATTTTAGAGAGTGAGAGGGAAATGCTGATCAGTTGTCGCCTGTATGCGCCCCGACTGGGGACCGACCCCTAACCTAGGTATGCGCGCCCTCCTGGCGCGCGGGATGACGCCAAAGCAGCCACACCGCCCGGCCGGGCTCGTTTCCCGGGAACGAGGAGGGGCAGCGCCGCCTCAGGCGGGCTCACGTCCCTGCATCTGCACGAGAGGCCGCGGCCCTGCCGCCCCTGTGTCAGTTCTGTGAGCTCCTAGCCTGTGTGCGACTTGCTGCGCTATGACTTACGAGTAAACAAGTTAGGGTTCCATTGCTCAGCAAAGTTACTGCGTTAGAAGCTTTTCAGTCTTCACCGTAACTTGTAACTTAAAGCTTTAATTGGTTGCCGCTCCTCATGCCACTGCGTGAGGTGGAGAGTCAGCATTCTCCTTGCTGTTTCCTGGAGACAGTGCTGGTGGACGCGGGGACGTTAACAGCGTAGCTGCCGCACTCGCCTTCCACGGCGGGCGGCATGGAGGCAGAACAGCCGACAAGGCGCCTCGGAGGGACAGCGGTGCACGGCCAAGACACCCACCCGCGGGCGGTGCCGCCGCCGTGAGCCCAGGTGGCCCGGGGGCGGGGCTGGTGCAGGGCCTCGCTCTTCAGTTGGAGAGGCCATTGCGGGCCAAGTCCCGCCCTGCAGCAGGTACCTGTGGGCGGCCTTGGCGGTGGGGCAGGCGGCCTCGGTGGCCGTGGGTCTTCGCATTGGACTGGTGGCCGGTTCCCAGCGCTGCTGGCTTAACCAGCGCAGGGAGCAGGTGCCCGCACTGCAGGACAGAAAGACAGGGCACGCTCGCTTCTGAGCCAGGCTCACGCTGGAACTTGGAAGGAGTGTTCATTTTAAACAGAACCAGATTTTGCAAACCCTTCTTTCTTTCTAGAAAAAGCCTGCCCCGCTGGAGGCGGGCTCTGGCCTCGCGTGGGAGGGACGGCTGTCAGGGGTCAGCCTGTTGTCTGTGCCCCCCCTCAGAGGGCATTTGGGGAAACCTACTGGCAGCAGGGGATACAAAGTTGCCGTTTTGAAAACAGGCTGGTATTTATAAAAGTAGCTTCCAGTTTCCAGAACTCCCAGGATGAGGATGCTGTGCTGCTTTGATTGAGATAACTGACGTATCTGCGAAGAAGCACAGCTAAGTGGGCGTGCCTGCACACCCCTGAAAAACAACCGGCAGGGCCCTGGCCCCGGCTCGGCTGGCTGGGGCGTGGTCCCCTGCAGCAGAAGCCTGGGGGTCCGATCCTCCGTGGGGCGCGTCCGGGATGCGGCCCATCGACATGCTGTCTCTTCCTCCTCCCTCCCAATCCTTGGGTGGGGATTTTAAAAAAAACAGCAGGAGAGAAAAGTGTAAGCAGAGTCCAGTGAAATCTCCCGTCCCCCCCAGTCCTAGGCGTGAACGATAAGCTTCTGAAACAACGTGTGCGGGGACGGAGGGCCTCCTTCTTGGTTTGGCCCAGGCCTCACCGCCCCTCCTGCGGCTGCCCGGGGTGGGGGGCGGGGCTCTGTCGGCAGCTCTGTGGCTCTGCCGGGCCCAGGGGACCCGGTGCTGCGGGGAGGGTCCCTCTCCTGGTGCGGCGGCAGCACCGTGACGCGGCAGCACGCGTCCTGCGTGAGTGGCTCCGTGGCAGCGCGTCCCTGAAGGGGCTTGGAGGGCGCGTCCCTGCCCGGGGCGGGGGGGTCTGTGGGGCGGCCAGCGCAGCGCGCCCTGGCCTCTGGGGGGGTGGGGTTGGGGTGCCAGGCCAGTTGGTCGGGTGTGGTGTCTGGGGGCGGCCCGTGGGCAGGGGCCTGTTCTCAACACCTGGCCCTGCTGCCGGCTTCGGAGCCCACGGGTCCCTCGGGGTCGCGCCCCCGGAAGCGCAGGAGCCAGCAGGTGTCTGGCTGGCTGGGGTTGCCACTCGGGGTTTCCACGGGAATTTTCCGAACAGATGGTCCTTCCGGGGCCTCGGCTGGGAGTCCCTTTGGGATGTCTCCTCCAGGCTGCTGAGGGGGACTGGGGTGCTGCGGCGGCGCCGGGACCCTGCGCCTGGGCCCCAGCGCACCCACCAGCAGCGGGCCCTGGTCCCAGGTCCCGCAGCCCCCCGCTCCCCGGGGCAGGTGCTGGCCTGGTGGCTTTGCCAGCGCTCGCTTTTCCGGGCCCCTCGGGCCCCGCCACCCCCCAGCCCTGCACGGGCCGCCGGGGGAGGGGCCGAGCCGCGGGCCTCGGTGTGTCCTCGTTCCCCCCTCGGCCCGTCTGCCCTGCTGCGCAGCCCTTGGTCTGGGCCTCCGCCAGGGCGCCACCGCGGGCATCCCAGTCCGGCCCTCGTCTCCTCTGCTGTTTCTGAGGGCCCCGTGCTCAGGGCCCTTCGGTTCGTGCCCCCGGCACGTCCCCTGGAGCACGTCGTCCAGCCCGGGAGCCGGGCCCTTGCGGCTCCTTCCTTCTCCCCAGTCGGGAGTCAGGCAGCTAGAGCGCGGTGAGCAGCGGAGTGCGGGGTTCTTTGGCCCCTGCCACCTTGCTGCCTGTGTCTGGCGGGCATTTGGGACAAGAGCTGCCGGACAGAGCGAGGGGAGTAGCACTGCCGAGGCTCCTGGGACCCGGGTCCGGCCTGGCCTGGGCAGGCCTCGCCTGGGGTTGGGTGGGTCACGGGCACGTAGACAGAGAGCACCCAGAAGTACCCAGGACAGCAACCAGTAAGCTCATCTGCGAATGTCCCTCTTTTGGGGGCAGCAGCAGGACCTTCCTAGAGCTGGTGGCTGTCCCTGCACCTGCTGCGTGACAGGGCTTAACCCCGGTGACCTCGCTATCGTGGATGAAGAAGGGAGCCCAGGGCAGCCCGGCGTCTGGGTCTTGGAAGCGCCGGCCCTCCCGCCTGGCCCAGCCTGGCTCACGCATCTCCCCGGCCGCAGGTGTACATCGGCGAGCTGCCGCAGGACTTCCTCCGCATCGCGCCCACGCAGCAGCAGCAGCAGGTGCAGCTGGACGCGCAGGCCGCCCAGCAGCTGCAGTACGGCGGGGCGGTGGGCACGGTGGACCGCCTCAACATCACCGTGGTGCAGGTGGGTGCTGCCGCCTGGCGCGGGGGCGGGGCGGGGCCTAGGTCCGAGTCTGTGCAGGGAGCTCTTCCCGATTCCAGTTTCTCCTACGAGCCACGCCCGGTGAGAGAGGGTGACGAGGAACGGCGCCATGCGCCCAGGGCTCTGCCCAGGGGACGTGAACAGCGCGCGGCGAGCTTCCCGGGTGCAGGGCCCCAGGTCCTGGGACCTCCCTCCAGCCCAGGGTCACCCCCGGCCTGGGCCTGGAGCCCAAGGCGGCCTCTGCGCTGGAGCCCTGGGGGTGGGGGTGGGGGCGGGGCAGGCCCCAGCCAGGGCTCAGGAGGGGCTGGTGGGGAGCCACGGCCACGGGTCCGTGTCAGCCCGGGGTGGGGCAGTCCCGGCCGGAGGGGGTGGCATCCTCGGCCGGAGAAGAAGGACGCGGGGCAGGGCCACGGGCCAGGCTCCTGCAGAGCCCCCCGGGGGGCGGGCAGCCACTGCCTGGGGCGCAGGGCAGGCGGCAGGGCTTTTTGTGGTTTCACTGTCCTTTAAAATTTCGACCTCGTGAGTGTGCCCTGCGTGCGTTCACAGGCGCTCGTTTGAGGGAGAGCCTGTCACTGGGCGTTGGCAGGCGCATCCTGTCACAAGACAGCTTCCCACAGAGGGGAGGACAGGGCCCTGAGCCGCCCCTCCCCCACTGTCGGCTGCCCCATGCAGGCGTGGGGGCAGGCAGCCTGCTGGGGGGGGGGGTGGCAGGGCCCTGCGGTTGCCCCTTGGCATTGGTCTCAGCCGAGTGCCTGGGAGCAGGCCCCGGGGCACCCGGTGGCTGGGGGTCACCTGCCCTTGGCTACTCTGGGTGCGTCCTGCTGGGTGGCCCGGGCCGGCCGGCTTTGTGACCCAAGGGAGGTGTGGGCTCACGGGGATGCTCTTCAGGCGGGAGGAAGGGGCCAGAGCGCGCTGCCCGGGTGTCCTGGCCCCGCCCTGGATGCCGTGGAGACCCTTGTAGACCCCAGTGCCCCCTTGTTCCCTGTGGCTCCTGGCTCTGTCCTGGGGCAGCCTGCCTTTCCCACCCTCTGCAGTGGCCTCCCCTGAGGAGAGGTGGGGGCCCGCGCCCCGGCCCCTCAGCGCCATCGTCCGCCGGCCGGGCACGGCTCCGTGTGCTTCGCTGCAGACTCGGGCAGGGACCCTGCTTTTGCCCGTGCGCCCGGGTCACACTCACAGCCACAGAACGGGCGGCTGGGTGGAGGCCTGGGCCGCACCACGGGGCGGACCATTTGGGCGAGCTTGTGCTCTCCCTGGTGGGCACGGCTGCCCCGTTTTCCGACCTCGGCTTTGTTTCAGGCCAAGCTGGCTAAGAATTACGGCATGACCCGCATGGACCCGTACTGCCGGCTGCGCCTGGGCTACGCCGTGTACGAGACGCCCACAGCGCACAACGGTGCCAAGAACCCGCGCTGGAACAAAGTCATCCACTGCACCGTGCCCCCTGGCGTGGACTCCTTCTACCTGGAGATCTTCGACGAGGTAAGGGGCGGCCCTTGCGGCCCGGGCCGCGGGCCCAGGCTGAGCTGCTGAGGCAGGGCAGGCAGGTGTTCTGCCCAGGGCCCCGCGTCCCCAGCAGTGGTGCAGGAGGTGCGCGCCGTGCCAGCTCTTTCGCATCCAGAAATGGCCCTGCTGGTGACAGCAGACCGAGCGCTGGCTGGTGCTGCCCAGGAGCAGGCACCTAGAGGCCACGGGTGGTGTGGGCCAGGGGTGTGGGGGCCGGCGCCACGCGGGGTGGGGCCCGGGCCCTGGCTCGTGCGTGTTGCAGACGGTGCCCCTGGGCGGCGCCCTGGGGATGTGACGGGGCGGGGTCAATGGGGCTCTTCCTCCGCCTGGTCCTCTGGGCGCCTGCTGGGAGCCCCCTGTCCCCTGAGGCCCACAGGTGCCTCAGCAGGTGAGCGCTCGGGGCTGGGGGTGGGGGCAGCTGGGCAGGGTGGTGGCCCTCGGCGCCCTCCGGAAGGAAGGAAGGGTGTGGGGGCTCGGAAAGCACCCTTTCCTCCCTCTGCACCCCTGGCCCTCAGGCTTGTGGAGACCCTCCAGGCCAGGGAGGGGTGGCGTTGCGTCTCGCTGCAGCTGGATGCAGCTGAGACCTGGCCGAGGGGAGGGGCCCCTCGAAGGGCAGGGCTCCAGGAGGCGATCTGGGGCGGGGCCGGGGCAGCACTCCGGCCGGGTCTCAGTGCCGTCCCGCGTCCCCTCAGCGCGCCTTCTCCATGGACGACCGCATCGCCTGGACGCACGTCCCGATCTCCGAGGCTCTGAGGCAGGGCGAGGTGGAGGACAAGTGGTTCTGCCTGAGCGGGCGGCAGGGCGACGACAAGGAGGGCATGATCAACTTGGTCCTGTCCTTCTCGGTGAGTGCGCCCAGCCGCGGGGCGGGGCCGGGGCGGGGGGCGCGGGGCCGGGGGGGCCCGGGGCCGGGCTGGCTCTAAACAAGCCCCGGGCTGCTGGGGCAGCGGCGCCGCCCTGCGCAGGCTGCTGGGGACTCTGTGTTGCGTGGAGGCTGAGTCAGGGGTCATGGCCCATCTTCCGAGGGGGCTTCCCTTGTGGCCAGGAGGACCCACCTGTGCACTAGTGAGGGGTCTTGTGTCCCTGGTGTCCCTGCCGGGCGTTCTGCTGGGACTGGCCGGGAGGTCTCCTGTGTGCGGAGCACCCTGTGACCCCGCGGCGGGCTCTGCTGTGTTGCAGTCGGTGCCGGCTGCCGTGGTGATGCCGCCGCAGCCCGTGGTCCTGATGCCCACCGTGTACCAGCAGGGCGTCGGCTACGTGCCCCTCACCGGTGAGTGCCGCTGCCCCTCCCGGGGTCGTTCTGGGTGCCGTGACCGTGGGGTGTTGTGGGTGTTCTTGCTGGGGTCCCGCTGTGCCTACTCGGGCCAGCCAGTGTCGCCCGCAGCAGTGCCGGCGCCCCAGAAGCTCCGGGATCCCGACCCTTGCGCTCAGCTGGGCCTCCCCCGCCCAACTCTGACCCCGGCCCGGGAGGCAGTTTCCTCATTCGAGAGCGAGAGAGTACAACGCTGCCACGCGGTGGTCGTCCTCGTGGTCTGTGGGAGAGCCCTCCCCGCCCTTCCCTTCCCTTCCCGCCGGTCCATGGGGGAATGGGCAGGGCCGCAGGGCCCCCGGGGCGGGGGGAGCGGCTGGAGCTGCGGCACAGTGCCAGGCACTGCCGGGGGCCCGGAGCCCCGCAGAGGTCACTGCTGTCGGGGGCCCACGCCTCAGCGACAGGACAGGCAGCCGCCCAGTCCGAGTCCTCCATCTGGCACAGAAGGAGGGACCACAGGGCACCTACAGTGTCTTGAACGTGGCCAGCCGTCGCCCCTGGCCGAGGTCGGCTCCCTTCTGCTCACAGTGCCACTTGGGTGACCTCACTCCTGCCAGACGCCCCCGGGAGGTGGCGTGAGGACCCACCTTTCACCTCGGAGCTGAGGCGACCCACCTCTCCGGACGGCCAGCCCTGAAGGCGGGGCCAGCTCCTCTGCCAGGCCCAGCCAGCGGGTCGGAGCGGAGGTTTGCGTGCGCCCCGTCTGCGCTGCGCCTCAGCAGGGGCCCGTCCCCGGAGCCGGCTCGGGTGCGTGGGCCGTGGCTGTGCCCTGCAGCCACCTCCCTGCCCACTCTCTGCTCGAGCTCCCGTTGGCTGCCGTGACCTGGGCCACTGCGTGTGTCCCCCGGCCCCGGGGGGGGTGCCCAGAAGAGCCGTCTCGGCCTGACCACCCCGGGCTGCTTCGCAGAGGCGCTGGGGCGGGACCCCGAGCAGCCGGCTGTCCATTGGGCCTGCGCTGCCGCCGGGTGGGGTCTGCTCTCGGGGATGGGCCGGGGACGGGCCAGGTCGGCCCGCAGGCACCCGGCCGCCCCGGGGTCACTGTGCTGCTAACAAGGGAGTGCGGCCCCTTCGGCGCCCCCGCCCCGCGCTGCTGTGTCATGCGTCGTTGTGCGCATCCTGTGGCGGTGGCGTGGCTGTGCATGGGGCGTTGTGGATGTGCACGTGTGGCCCCCCCGTCAGGCGTGCCGCACGGGCCCAGCCGGGGCGGGGCTCCCGGGTGTGAGATGGGGGAGAGAGCAGGCCCTCGGGAGTTGTGGTGAATGAGCAGCATTTGTCACTGACCCCTGCGCAGGTGAAGGGGCTAGTGTGGCCTTTGGCAGCGAAGGCTGACTCCTCCGGTTTCAGTCGAAGACGGCTGCGGGGGCGGGAGGTGTGGCCCCGTGTGTGCCACAGGCTGGCGTTCTGCCGGGAGACGGGGACGGGGCAGGTGGGGCTGCACCCGAGGACAGCACCCTTTCCTCCCTCTGCACCTCTGCACCTCTTGCCCCGCGTGACCAGCAGCCCTTCAGCCAGATGTGGTGTCGCGCCCCGGTGGCAGCTCGTGACCTCGGCCCCGCCCTGTGCTTGCAGGAGTGCCCGCCGTGTGCAGCCCCGGCGTGGTGCCCATGGCCTTGCCGCCGGCAGCCGTGAGTGCTGCGCCCCGCTGCAGCGAGGAGGACCTGCGAGCCATCCAGGACATGTTCCCCAACATGGACCGGGAGGTGATCCGCTCCGTGCTGGAAGCCCAGAGAGGGAACAAGGACGCAGCCGTCAACTCCCTGCTCCAGATGGGCGAGGAGTCCTAGACCGCGCCGCTTGTCCCCCGTCCCCGCACCCCACCCCCCGCCAGCCCGTTGGACTTCCCCCCCCAGGGTCCCCCACGAGATCCCCGTCAAGAGCCCGCACAGCCCCCGCCCTGGACACCCGTGTCGCCCCCACCCCCGCCCCGCCGGGTGTGCGCGGGCCCTCGGCTCCGGCGGCCGCTCCGGGCTGCCTGCCGGGCGTGGCTGTGGGTGGCTCCCCTCCCCACTGTGGAGAGACTGGGCCCTGCGCTGCGCCCTCCGTCTGCCTTCCCGCTGGGACACGTGTTCAGCTGCCGCGACGCCTGCTGCTGCCCCGAGGATGTTTGTGTCGGAGCGGCCGCACTTGGCCAGGGCTCGGCCCTTCCCTCCTGGCGGACGGCCCGCAGCCCTGCAGCTCGCCTGGGACGGGCCTGTTCATGTGAGGGCCACGCAGTCTGCCAGCAGCTGCCCCAGGGCTGCTCCAGGGCTTGCAGCCCGCAAACCCGCGTCCCTCACTCAGTGTTCTCTGTCCCCAGCCGGCATGGCGTGACCTCGACCACAGGTGTCAGCCTGAGCACGGCTGGCCGGCCGGCCCTGTCCCGGCCCTCAGGGGTGTCGGGCCAGGGCTGTTGGAGCTCGGAGGGACCCTGTCCCTTCCTGCGGGGCTTTGTGAAGCTGTGGGATCTGTTCTGTGGGCTGCACCTCCTCCCTTGTTTGCTTTGCACAGGGAGCTGACAAGGGTAAGGCCCGGCAGGCAGAGGGAGCGCTCTGTGGGCAGGGGGCGGGGAGCTGCCAGTGGGCGGGGCTGCGGTCTGTGCCGCCCCCCTGAGGGCGTGGCCTGGTGGCACTCACGGTCTGCTCGTTCCCCACGCAGCGGGAAGGGCGCGTGCGCCTGGTGGACTGTACCCTGGCGCTGCCCCCGCCACAGGCATGGGTGGGGACCGTTTGGGTGATACCTCGGTGAAATGTGAGGAGTTTCCTGGAACTGATGCGCTTTGAATCACACCTGTGAGTTGGCCGCTCCTGGGTCCGCTCATTAGCCGGCTCAGTTCGCACTAAGCCACAGTCACCTCCCTCCCCCAAGCACCAGGCCCTGGCCCTGGGATGCGCAGTCTTCCCCGCGGGGTGTCGGGACAGGGCCTGACCACGCGGACGTCGGAGGGGTTAGCCGAGGAAGTTAGACCTGGGCCCGTCTCCTCCCCTCCACACGGCAAGTTGTCATCAGGAAGACTCCGCGCCTCGGGCTGTGCCCCGGTCCGGCGCTGCTGATGGTGCGCTCCCATGAGCCCGGAGGGCGCCGGTGAGGGGGTCTTGGGCAGGTCTGCCATCAGCTGAGGGGTTCCGACCTCTGGCCGGAGCTCGGTGAGCGCCGCCGCCTCGTGCTCCCGCCTGCACGGGCCAGCGGCTGCGGCTCGTGCTCGGGGAGCCGGCTGCTCCCAGCAGACAGGAGTGCGGGGCAGGCCCACAACCGCTGCGGGCCGAGCGCGGGGCAGGGCGGGAGCTGGGTGGCCCCCGCGCTGCTGGCTGCCTTCTCGCTGCCGAGGCCCCAGGGAGGCTGCGCCCGCGTGGCACTGGGAGGGGTGCTCGCCCCCAGCCCGAGTGGGCACAGTCGGCTGGAGGGCGGCCCAGCTGCTGGGCATGGTAGTCCAGGGGGACCTACGCTTGCCACATCTCCGCTTTCTTTCCTCACGGACACCGCATTTTTTAATTGATCAAACAAAGACCCCATTTCACCAGGACTTTTTAGGTCCAGCTGGCCACGCTGCTGCCACGTCGGGCGGCCACGGCGGCCCGCCCCCACAGGGAAGGCGCGCTCCTTCCCCAGCGGCCCAGGGGGCCCCCGGGCAGGGCGCCCCGGCTGTGGCCCTTCCCACCTTCTCTGCGGGTCTCCCGAAGGCCCCCAGACCCCGGCCCCCTCCGTGTCGGCGCGTGCGAGGCCTCGTGTGTCTGTCTGGCTATTCCCGTGGGTTCAGTGTCCACATTTTTCTTTTGATTGTAAAATATATTTTTACTTTCCAGCCTTCTAATTTAATAAATGATCTATATAACAATAGAGAATTAAAGTCCTGCAGGGAAGTTGACCCTCTGTGTGCCCGAGTGGTGTTCACCGTGGCTCACGACAGCGGGGCCAACGCGGGCGTCCGGACAGCTCACTGTGGTGACCCGGCGACTGGACCATGCGGCGGAGGCCTGCCGGGGCCTCGGGCCCGGGCGCAGGAGTGGGCGGCTCCTGCCGACCCCAGTTCCCACAGCATGGGCACGTGCGGACCCCTGGGCCACCATCCCTGTCTGAAGGCAGCAGCCCGTCTATCATCGTGACCTTTGATTTTTATTTTCGAAACTAGTTTCAACACACCCCTTTGAGCTGTTGACTGCTGAAAAAAACAACTGTGGAAGCCGAGATCTGCAACCAGGTTTTATTTGAAATTTGAAGGTTGGGAATAAAGAACCCCCACAGGGACTCCCCCCGCACCGGGCAGCCCCTGCTTTCCTTGGGTGGAGCCCGGAAGCAAAGGCAGGCCCACGTTCCCAGGGCGAAGGGCGGTGCTGGCTGCCAGCAGACGGCGGTGCCCGCGGCGTGGAGAGGCGTGCCGTGCGGCTTCCCCCGGAGGGCCCTCGGGCCTTCTGCACGATGGCTCTGGCGAGGTGCGTCCCTGCCGTCCTTGGGGTCCTGCCAGCCTCCTGTGGTGCGAAACGTGAAAACCAGCAGTGCCCAGCCGTGTGCTGAGAGCCGCCCTCGCTGCCTCGGGCCTGGACGGCATTGCCAATGTCCGAGCAGCGAACCTTGCTTAGGACGCAGACTGGAAGGTGCCGAGAACTGCGGCGCAGGCGCCCATGGCGCCCGTCGCTTGGCCGGAAGCCCTGTGGAGCGCCCTTCCCTGAGGCCTGACGCCGGCCGCGGCCGTCCCTGTGGACGTGTGGGTGGTGCGCGGAGTCGTCCTGCGTGTGGAGACGCAGCGCCCAGGCTGCCGCCTGCCCCAGGGGAGCCCCTCCGGAAGCCAGGGCTGCCGGTGGGGGCCATGGGCGGGCGCCGTACACAGCCGCAGGGCCCCGGGGAGAGGAGAGACGCAGCCTGCGTCCCTGCATCCGCGCATCCCCGCTGGAGGGTGGCACCTTTCTCCAGGGACAGTGTCAGGCTTGTGGGGAGTTTTCCGTTGCCAGTGGCTCCCAGTGTGGGGTCACTTGGGTTTAAACAGTGTTCCTGGAAAAATTGAAAAGAGGAGAGAATGGGGTGGTGCTTCCAGCGACCTTGAGCCCCATGGAGGGGGGCGCATGGGGCGGGGCATGTCGTGTCCATGGGCTGCTGGGCTCAGTGTGTGAAGGTGTCAGTTTGAGTTAATTTCCCGTCAGCAGAGCATCCACCTCCCCAAGTCCTGCTTGGGGTGGTTCTTACGGGGAAGCCTGGAGGGCGAGGAAGGGCCGAGACTCCGCTGCGAGGGGAGCGTGGGGCACGGAGGCGAGTCCTGGGGAGACGCCAGCCGCGTCCAGGGGTCCGAGCGGAGGCCAGGGCTCCGGCCGACGGTGCTGGGGGGCGCCCTGCACGCGCAGGGACACGGAATACGTGGCATCAGAGCCCCGCTTCCTGCCGGTTCGGGGTGGGTGGGGACTGCCAGCGCAGGGGCGGGGCGGTCTCCCTGCCTGGACGGCGTCCCGGCGGGCGGCGGCTGGCGGGCCGTTGCGGACCTTGCGTCTGCCAGAGGGAGACTGCAACTGGCCGGGGGGACTCGGACGGTGACGCAGGGCGGCGGCGGCTCTCCGCACAGCAGCCACTGCCGGCGCCCCCGCCCCGGCGCAGAGCCCGCAGCCGCACCGCGCGTCGCCGCCAGCGTGGGAGAGGGCCTGTCCCCCAGACTCGGCTTCTGATCCCAGGGCTGCGGGGGGCGGGGTCCTCCCCCCGCACTGCAAGGCCCTCCCCATCACCTGAAGTGACCTCAAGCAACCTTGAGGGCCAGTGCCCTTTCTCCTCAGTGTTTCTCATTTTCCCCCTTTGGGAGCTGGACATTGAAGACTAGGACATTCAGAGAACCCCAGGAATTCAGACTGTGAGACACCGGCTGAGCGGACAGCAGGTGGCCACCGGGGGGGCCTGGGGCGGGTGGCCTCCCCCGCAGTGAACCCGTGCCCTTGTCGGCCCGCTGGGCCATCTCCGCTGACCGGGGAGGGGGGAGGCCAGGGTGCTGGCGGCGGCTGCTGGGAAGAGCCCAGGCCACCTTCCCACAAGAAGGCCCGCCCACTCGCCGCCGCCCCGCAGCCTGTGTGGCCTTGCCACCCAGGACCGTCTTGTCCACCTGGAGCGCGTCGCGCTCCCCTCCTGCGAGAGCCGAGCCCTCTGCACCCAGGGCGCACGCGCGGGCCCGGCGGGCACGTCCACTGCCTGCCACTTGGACACGTGCAGGTGGTGGCACTTCTGGGCGCGGGGACAGGAAGGGAACGTCGAAGCCCCCGCCCTCAGGAGAGAAGAGCAAGCACGAGTGGAGGGGCGCTAGTGCCCTGAAGGGGGCGCACCGCAGGACGGCGGGCAGCGGCGGCGGCTCCCTCCGGGTCAGCGCGGCCTCCCGGCCACCCCCTCCCACAACCACTGCGGCCTGGCCTGGGGGGCAGCTGCTTCCTGCCCAGGCCACCTCCTGGTGGCTGGCCCAGGCCCTCTCCACCTGCGGCCACTTTGCTCACGGGCCCCATGCGTTTGGAATAACGGAGGGTGTTGTCAAGCCCTCAGCCGATGCCGCTGGAAACGGACCTGCGCCTTCAGGCCCCCCAGGCGCCCGCTCTCCTGTCCCTCCTCGCGGACTCAGCACAAGCCCTGGGGCCGCCGCCGAGCCCGGGGGCCGCCCCGCACAGCCCAGCCCACAGGCGGAGGAGTGAGCCCAGGGGGACTCCGTTGGCACAAAGAGACGGCAGGACCAGAATGTGTGCACGATGCTCAGTGTTTATTTGCAGAGTTGGGGTTGGCGGAGCGGAGGCGGCGCTTTAGGCACTACTCCCTCCTCGGCCGCCCCTTGACCATCACCACCCGGGCCCAGGGCTAGCTGTGGGCAGAGGCTGCTCCCGGAGACAGCAGGCTCCGCCCAGGCAGGGGTCAGCGCATGTCGGCTGCAGGAGGTGCGGGCGGGACCCATGCTTAGAGCCGTGGCCCCCAACACCGGGAGGGGGTGAGCCCGGGCAGCGGGGGTGCCTGTTTCAGAGGCGGGCTGGCCTTGACGGCAGGGCAGGCAGCCAAGAAGGGCGGGAGGGCCTCCCTGCCTGGTGCCCTCGGCAGGTGGACCCTCGCCGCCCCGTCCCCTCCTGGGGCAGGTGGAAGGGGGGCGGGGGCAGAATGATGTCAGAGAAGCGTGGCCCCATAGGACAGCTAGGCCGCGGCCCCGCCCTCGCGCGCGGCCAGGGAGGGCGCGCAGGCCGTGGCGCAGCGGCACTGGTCCACGTGGGTGTAGCTGTACTGGATGGCCGCGCCGTCGGGGCACCGCATGGCCACCACCTCCTCGTGGGCCCTGATCTCCTGGCAGCAGGTGCAGCGCCGCTGCATGGCCTGGGCCTCGGGCGAGTACCTGCGGACACGCGGCCCTGAGACGCGGCCTCGCCCCCCAGGCCGCCCGCGCCTGCCTGAGCACGTGGGGCTTCGCTGCCCCAGCCTGGGCCGCTCTGTGGGCATTCAGGGTCATTGCGAACACCTGCCTTTCCCGGCCAGGCACTCTCCTCACTGAGCGTGCTGACCCTGCAGACCCCTCCTCCAGGAACCCAGCCCGGGCCCAGCCCGGGCCCACCCCCCGCCTCGGCCGGCCGCGGCCCAGGCCGGGGGCGGTGGGGCGGGGGGGCGCTGGCTCTGCCCCGAGAGCCGGGGCTCATCCCCTGCGTAGCCGCGGGCCGCTCTGTGCCTGGCTGCCCAGGCCTGGCTCTGAGGGTCCGGGCATTCTGCAGGCAGGCGGGCGCGGAGGGAAGTGGCCGGGGCAGGTCATCTGTGGCCACCCTCCCCCTTCCGGACCCTCCGGACCCAGCGCAGGGCGCCAGGCCAGGGCGGGCTGCAGGCCCACTCACTCGGACACTCCTGGGCAGGAGCCCTCGCAGAAGGTGAGGTTGACGAGGGCCTCGCAGCCCCGGTGCCGCAGGACCGTCCTGTTGACGCGGACCCTGCAGGAGTCTGTGCGGAGGAAAGGCGGTGTAGTTCGAGGCGGCTCCAGAGCCGACCCTCGGGCGCTGGCCGCACAGGGAGGACCAGGGAGCAGGGTGGACGCAGCTGGAGGGCAGGGACGGGGGCGTGGGGCGGTCTCGACTTACCCTCTTCCTCGCAAGAGTAGCAGCAACCGGTTTTCCTGAGGATGCCCTGCAGCGGGGGACAGAGGGCCGGCTGAGCGCGGGCGGGGCCTCCTGGGTGGAGGCGGGGATTCCAGGGTGGGACAGGGCGTGGCCTTTTGAGTGGGGGCGTGTTTTCCAGGGTGGAGGCTCCTGGGCGGGGCTTCCCACTGGACAAGGTTTTCCAGGGCTGGAGGGGGGGGGGACAGGGAGTGGGTGGGGGTGGCCTCTTGAGTGGGGGTGTGGTTTCCAGGGCGGGGCAGGGGCGGGGCCTGCGGGGCCAGACTGCTCAGCCACCGAGCTGGTGAGATACCGCTGGCACACACCTTGCAGCTGGACAGGTCTGGGCAGGCCGTGGGCCTCGGGATCAGCACGTGGACCCCGTTGTCGACTTGGCAGTTGTACTCGGTGCAGTTGTCCACGAGGCTGTTCACCCAGGTCTGGTTGGGCTGAAATGCACCGGGAGAGCGGAGGCCAGGCGCGAGTTACCACCTGTCCGGGAAGGGCTGGAGGGGCGTCTCCGCGGGGAGCGCTGAGGCCTAGCCGCGCTTTACCTGGAGCACCTGGCCGTCGGGAGTGAGGCAGCCTGTCTGCACGCATTCCCCGCAGCACTGCCCTGCCACCGCCGCATACTCGGAACCCTGGGGGTCAGACAGGAGCGTCCGGCCAGGCTTGGAGGGAGCGGGGGGAGGCCCCCTTGTCCTGCCTTAGCCGCGCCCCTGCTCCCAGCCCCTTCTCCATCTCCTCCTGCCCTCCGGGAACATGACCTCCATCCCCGGCAGCTGCCGGCCCTGTCCGCCCCCGCCCCTCGCCCCCCACCCTGTCCCCCTGCTTCGTCACCCCCCTTTGGGGCAAAACAAGAGCTAAAGAATCCGCCCTGGGGTCTGGATCCCAGGGACCTGAAGATGCAGCCAGGGGCTGGGCCGGGGTCGGGGCCGGGGCCGGGGTCGGGGCCGGGGTCCGCCCCCGGGGGCGGGCTCACCTGGGGGCAGGTGGCATTGCAGGTGTCCTCCTTGCACTGCACGGTTGGCTTCTGGTTGCCCACAGACAAGCAGGTGCATGTGTGGCAGGGAATGGCCGCTGGGAAGGTTGCGCCGACCTGCAGGGGATGGGAGGGCGTGGGTGCCGGGGTGGCGGGGTGCCGGGGCCAGCGCCTCCGCCTGCAGGGGGCTGGTGGGCAGCGCCCACGGCGGGCGTTCGTTCTTCTTCAAATGGAGTTCCAGACGGGACCCCCGGCGGGGCAGAGGCTGGGACAGCAGCAGGACCCCAGGCCGAGGCAGGGGTCCTGGGCACACAGGGAGGGCCGGGGGGGCTCTCCGCCCGAGAGGCCGCTTCTGGGAGACCCCGAAGCCAAGCTCTTGGGACCCCGGGTGCGGAGCCCCAGCCCTACGGAGCTCCCCACAGGAGGCACCGCTCCCATGTGCCCCCCGCATCCCCACCCGGCCCCGTGGGGCCCGGAGACCCTCTGCCGATCTGCTCCCCGGGCAGGAGGGGCGGACGGGACTGGGCTTGTCAGGCGAGGAGGGCAGGTCGGGAGGGGCGCGGGCCCCCCGCGGGCCCCCCGGGCCCCTGGGTCTTACCCCGTAGGAGGTGTCATTGTAGGTGCACAGCTTAGGCCCTGGAAGGAAAGGGAGGGCTGAGGATGTGCTGGGCCGTCGGGGGGTGGCACTCGGACACCCCCAGCCCCGAACGCCCCCCGAGAACTCACAGCAGACGAGGGTGGGGCAGCAGTCGCCCTCCCCCTGGACGCGGACCAGCTCCTCGCCCGGCCCGCACGTCGGGGGGCTCTGGGGGCAGGTGCTCACGTTGCAGACTGCGGGAGAAGCAGGGCGCTGCGGGCGGGGTGCCTGCCCCAACCGCAGCGCCCGGCCCCGGGGCAGCAGGGCCTCCCCACGGTGGAGCCAAAGAAGCGTTTCCTCCCTGTGGCCCTTCGGGGCTGCCTTCGGGTCCCCTCACGGGCTCCCTCACCGACCCCCTCCCCGGTCCCTCCCCAGCCCCTGGGCGGACCAGAGGCCGCCAGCCTCACGGCTGGGGGGAAGGATGACCGCGGCGCCGCGGCCCGGCAGCAGCCACCCCGGGGCACAGGGCCCCCTCAGCCCCGCGGGCCCGCCCCGCGGCCCCCCCGCCGCGGCCAGGGCGCGGGGCTCACCGCACAGCGTCTCCCTGCAGCATGGGCTGTCGGCCAGGGGCCTGGCCACAGTCACGAAGCCCGGCCAGCCGCACTCCGGGGGCGGGGCCTGGGGCTCGCACCGCACGGGGACGCACTGCACCGACACGGAGCCCTCGTCGCACACGCAGTCCTGGCAGTTGCTGACCCACCGCTCTCCAGGCTGGAAGAGACGAGGCCAGGGTCCCCGAGGGCTCCCGGCAGCGCCCCAACCCCGCAGGCGCCGCGCCCTCAGCCGGGCCGGGCCAGCCCTTGGCCTCCCCCCTCCAGCCACCGTCCCTGGGGCGGCCTTTGCGACAGGCGCGCCGCACGCCGAGGTGCCCCCCATCGGCCTCGCCGTGGCTGCCCGGGCAGAGCCGGCCGCTCCGACGGGGGGCTCCCACCCCCTGCTTGCAGGGCTGGCTGGGGGCAGAACCACTCACGAATTTGGGGAACCCATCCGGTCCCACGCAGGCTGGAGGGAAAGGAGAAAGGGGGTCACTGGAGGCCCCAGGGCGTGTGGCCAGGTGGCAGAGGCCACAGGCCGCAGAGACATGCCCTCAAGCCTGGCCGCTGTCCCCCCACCGGGAGCAGAAGCCCCGGGAGAACTGGCAGGGGCAGCCACAGCGCTGCTGGCAGGACGCGCCTAGGGCCGGGTGTCCCGCCCGGTGCCACCCCCAACCGTGAGTCACCGCCACCCGCCCACCAGCCCAGGGCACGGGGGCGCTTACGGCACTCGTGCACGCAGAGGTCTGTGTACGAGTTGAAGAGAATGTGGCCGTCAGGACAGAAGCAGCCCTCGGTGAGCCCCTTGTTCTCTGGGACCGGGACCCTGCAAGGCGAGGCGCCGGCCCTAGGACCCTCCGTCCGCGGGGACGGGCAGTGCCAGGGAGGGGGGCAGCGGGCGTGGCGGGGTGCTGGGTGGGTGCGCTGCCCTGGACGTCCCATGGGGTCAAGGGTGGTGGTCCGGGTGGGGCAAGAGCACCCCTGAGGTCTGGGCCCTCCTCCTGTCCCCCCCGGGCTGGGCCCAGGCCCTTCAGACACTGTCCCCACCATTCCCGCCTCTGGCTGGTGCTCACCGGGAGCCACAGGACATGGGCTGCACAGGGCCACATGGCTTGTACACCTTGTCCAGGGGGCAGGTGAAGTCTGGGGGCACAGACACGGGTGTCAGGCGTGCCGAGGAGGCCGGAACCCCCGGTGGCTGCCCCCGACTCACCGCACAGCCCGCCGGTGGCGTTCCGCCAGTCGCTGCAGACGCCCCGGGCGCGGCAGAGCGCGGCGTAGGCCTCCAGGGTCTGGCAGGGCGCCTGCGGGCGGCCTGTCTGGCAGGCGTCGTGGGCGCAGGTGCTGAAGAACAGGCCGGGCGGGACGAGGCCGTGGCACTCGGCGAAGATGCTGTGGGCGGGGGTGGGTGCGGTTGGAGCAGAGCGCTGGGCCCCGGGCCCTGGCAGGCGTCGCTGCCCCGGGGTGGCCCGGCGCCCAGGGAGGGACTCACGGGCTCAGCAACAGCTCGCAGGGGGGCGCTGCAGGGCACGGGGGGGCAGAGTGTGTGGGGGACGCCGGGGACGGGGCGCTGGTGGTCACGGGGGGGCCTGTTGGTGTCCGGCAGCTCCCAGGGACCAGCCAGTCGCTGGCCATGTCCTGACAGGTGGGCGCGATGGTGCCATCTGGCCGGCGGCAGTCATCCGTCTTGTTGTTGGTGCAGGTGCCTGGGGAGGGATGGGCCCAGAGGGTCACCGTGCGGGCCTGGCTGGGGGCCCCGCCACCCCGCCCTCCAGCCTCTGACCCCGCCCCCCCGCCCCGCCTCACCGAGGTCACGAGGTTACGAAACCCAGACTCCGGCCCGGGGCAGGCGGCAGGGGGCACAGGGCGAGTCTGGGGCATGGGGGCCGGGAGGCGGCTGAAGGGAGCAGCAGGGGCCCCCGGGGACGAGGAGGGAGGACCGGGCGGCCCACTTACCGCACTGGCCCTCGGTGTTGTTGCCAAAGTGGCTGTAGGACAGCCAGATCTGGAACACACGCCCGTCTGAGGTGACGCTGACCCCGAGGTCTGGGATGTCAACGCGCACCGTAGTGCTTCCTGCCATGGACACGTTCACGCCGTTCTTGCTGAAGCCCTGGCTCACCCGCGTGTGGTCGAACAGGACCTGGGGACCCAGTGGGGGGACCGGTCACCAGGGGCATGGGCCCCTCCCCGGCAGCCCGCCCCTCGGGGCCACGCGCCTCCGCCCCGCGCCCACCAGGCTCTCCTCCCGCCCGCCGGCGGCGGCCGCGGTGGTGAGGACGATCTCCGTGGACGCGTAGTAGATGAGGAGGGCGCGGGCACAGGAGGCCGTGGCGGCCCTGCAGTAGTGGCTGTCGAGCAGGATGGTGAGGTTCCCGTGGCGGGGGTGGATCTCCTTCACGAGAACGTGCGTGCAGTTGTCCCGGAAGGAGTAGGAGGTGCCGTCGAAGGTGAGGTAGTTGGAGCCGCCCCAGATGCTGCAGAGGCCTGGGGACACACACAGCACCCTCACCCCGCGCCACCCAGCACCGCCACCCCGGGGAGGCCGGCCCGCGAGCCCCCAGGCCTCAGCGGCCTCACTTATAAAGTGGGCCAGTGGCCCCGGCTGGCGCCGCTCCGTGGATCGAGCGCCAGAAACGAGGCAAAGGGTCGCCGTTCGATTCCCAGTCTGGGCGCAGGCCTGGGCTGCGGGCCAGGTCCCCAGGAGGGGGCGCGCGAGAGGCAGCCACACGTTCATGTTTCTCCTCTTCTTTCCCCCTCCCTTCCCCTCTCTAAAAGTAAATAAATAAAATCTTGGGGGGAAAAATGGGCGAGTGTGTTGGCTCCTGGCCCCAAGAACTTGTCCCCTAAGACCCTTCGAATGTGACCTCGTCAGGAAAGGTCTGCACAGCTGTTGTTAAGCCGAGGGTTGTAAGAAGAGGTCCCCCTGGGTTGCCAACCAGGTGGCCCTAAATCCAATGACCGGTATCCTTAGAAGAGACACACAGAGAGAGGAGGAGGGCCAGGTGAGGGAGGGGCACATAGCCACTACCCAGGAGCACCTGGACGAGGCAAGAAGGACCGTCCCCTGGTGCTCCAGGCGAGGGCAGCCAGGTGGCACCTTTGCCGCCAGGACGGGAGGGAGCCGGCAACCAAGCCCCAGTTTTGGGGTCCTTCCTGGAGCCAAACGCACAGGGGCCGCTCCAGACCGAGGGAGACACGCACCTGCGAGCCCCGTTTCCACCCACGGGTCTGCCCGACACACCGGGGGCGCTGCCCTGTGGGCGGGTGGCCTCAGGGAGGCGGCGCTGGACACCCGCCCGGCCCCGGGCCCGGCCCCGGCCGCTGCTCACACTCGCACTCGTAGTGGTACTGGCAGTGGTCCTGCAGGCTCTCCACTTTCACCGGCGGACGCCCGTTCACGCAGGTCACCGGCGCCACGGTCGTCCGCGGCATCAGGGTGATCAGGTTGTTGCCCTGGCACTGGGCCACGGTGCAGTCTTCCAACGTCCAGGTCTCGTTCACCTGCCAGACAGCAGGCCACGGGCTCACCAGGTGGGCCCCGGGGACCTGGCTGGCCCCCGCCACAGACGCGGCGCCAGCGGCCCAGGGCAGGGCTGTCCACGGGGGCGGACCGGCCGAGGGGCTCACGGGGACCCAGACGTCCGACCTCCCTCTGGCCAGAGCCATGCATGCAGGGTTCCTAGAGGGGCGGGGGGCCAGCTGCAACGGGACCCAGACCTAGCCCATGACCTGAGCTCAAAACACAGGCAGGTGACCAGAAGGGGGGCGCACCTGCCGGGGGCGGTCGGTGAGGTAGCAGCCAGTGAACGAGGAGGTCAAGGGCGTTGATTTCAGGACCTGTGAGGGGGTAGGGGAGATGCAGGTGCCCTGGAAGCGGTCGAGCTCACAGTGCTGGTTGCAGATGGCGTAGAAGCGGCAGCCAGCATGGTCAGTCCTGTTGTAGACGATGTCCCCTGTGGAAGAGAAAATCACAAAGATGACACACCCCAGCCAGCTAAGGAGAAGTCCCGAGGGGCAGCAGGAACTTGGGGAAGCAAGAGAGGCGCACAGAACTGGCGCCAACACGTGACTGCCCATCGAAGGCTGACACGCAGCAAGGAAAGAACGGGCTCCCGACTGACCTGGTGAAAAAAGCTGTCCAAATGCACGACAGAAACAAGAAGTGGTGGAAACAGGGGCGCTGGCGGATGCCGAGGGCCTGGGGCTCGGGAGGAAGGGAGACGACCCGGCGCTTGCCGGGGACGAGGTAGGAGGACAGTGGCGGAAGTCGTCACAGCACAGCACGCGGATCTCGTAGTTGAGGCACATCTTGACGCGGCCTTGCTGGTCGCGGTTGCGGCACACGAGCCCCTCCCCGAGGACGCACAGCACCTCCTGGCCCAGCTCCGGCAGGGGCACCTCGGGCCGGGACGCGGCCCGGCACTGCAGGGCCACGGGCCGCGCACAGAGGGGCACGCCGGCCGCGCGGAGGTTGGTGTAGGTCTCAAAGTCGCCGCCGGAGGCCCCGGGCATGGGGTAGCTCTGGTCCAGCCAGTCGGTCCAGGCACAGCGCGGCAGGCACTCCGTGGTCCCGGGCCCCGAGGGCGTGCGGCCCGAGGTCACGAGCGGCGAGGTGTGAGTGGACGCCGGGGGCACCGTAGGCGTGGCGACGGCGGAGGACGGGCCCGGAGTGGTGCCCGGCACGTGGCTGGTGCTCGGAGCCATGGAGGGCGGCCGCGGCGTGTGGGAGGTCTCCGGCGGCAGCGAGGACGGGGCCGCCGTGGTGGCCGGGGTCGAAGGGCAGTGGCGGAAGTCGTCACAGCACAGCACGCGGATCTCGTAGTTGAGGCACATCTTGACGCGGCCTTGCTGGTCGCGGTTGCGGCACACGAGCCCCTCCCCGAGGACGCACAGCACCTCCTGGCCCAGCTCCGGCAGGGGCACCTCGGGCCGGGACGCGGCCCGGCACTGCAGGGCCACGGGCCGCGCACAGAGGGGCACGCCGGCCGCGCGGAGGTTGGTGTAGGTCTCAAAGTCGCCGCCGGAGGCCCCGGGCATGGGGTAGCTCTGGTCCAGCCAGTCGGTCCAGGCACAGCGCGGCAGGCACTCCGTGGTCCCGGGCCCCGAGGGCGTGCGGCCCGAGGTCACGAGCGGCGAGGTGTGAGTGGACGCCGGGGGCACCGTAGGCGTGGCGACGGCGGAGGACGGGCCCGGAGTGGTGCCCGGCACGTGGCTGGTGCTCGGAGCCATGGAGGGCGGCCGCGGCGTGTGGGAGGTCTCCGGCGGCAGCGAGGACGGGGCCGCCGTGGTGGCCGGGGTCGAAGGGCAGTGGCGGAAGTCGTCACAGCACAGCACGCGGATCTCGTAGTTGAGGCACATCTTGACGCGGCCTTGCTGGTCGCGGTTGCGGCACACGAGCCCCTCCCCGAGGACGCACAGCACCTCCTGGCCCAGCTCCGGCAGGGGCACCTCGGGCCGGGACGCGGCCCGGCACTGCAGGGCCACGGGCCGCGCACAGAGGGGCACGCCGGCCGCGCGGAGGTTGGTGTAGGTCTCAAAGTCGCCGCCGGAGGCCCCGGGCATGGGGTAGCTCTGGTCCAGCCAGTCGGTCCAGGCACAGCGCGGCAGGCACTCCGTGGTCCCGGGCCCCGAGGGCGTGCGGCCCGAGGTCACGAGCGGCGAGGTGTGAGTGGACGCCGGGGGCACCGTAGGCGTGGCGACGGCGGAGGACGGGCCCGGAGTGGTGCCCGGCACGTGGCTGGTGCTCGGAGCCATGGAGGGCGGCCGCGGCGTGTGGGAGGTCTCCGGCGGCAGCGAGGACGGGGCCGCCGTGGTGGCCGGGGTCGAAGGGCAGTGGCGGAAGTCGTCACAGCACAGCACGCGGATCTCGTAGTTGAGGCACATCTTGACGCGGCCTTGCTGGTCGCGGTTGCGGCACACGAGCCCCTCCCCGAGGACGCACAGCACCTCCTGGCCCAGCTCCGGCAGGGGCACCTCGGGCCGGGACGCGGCCCGGCACTGCAGGGCCACGGGCCGCGCACAGAGGGGCACGCCGGCCGCGCGGAGGTTGGTGTAGGTCTCAAAGTCGCCGCCGGAGGCCCCGGGCATGGGGTAGCTCTGGTCCAGCCAGTCGGTCCAGGCACAGCGCGGCAGGCACTCCGTGGTCCCGGGCCCCGAGGGCGTGCGGCCCGAGGTCACGAGCGGCGAGGTGTGAGTGGACGCCGGGGGCACCGTAGGCGTGGCGACGGCGGAGGACGGGCCCGGAGTGGTGCCCGGCACGTGGCTGGTGCTCGGAGCCATGGAGGGCGGCCGCGGCGTGTGGGAGGTCTCCGGCGGCAGCGAGGACGGGGCCGCCGTGGTGGCCGGGGTCGAAGGGCAGTGGCGGAAGTCGTCACAGCACAGCACGCGGATCTCGTAGTTGAGGCACATCTTGACGCGGCCTTGCTGGTCGCGGTTGCGGCACACGAGCCCCTCCCCGAGGACGCACAGCACCTCCTGGCCCAGCTCCGGCAGGGGCACCTCGGGCCGGGACGCGGCCCGGCACTGCAGGGCCACGGGCCGCGCACAGAGGGGCACGCCGGCCGCGCGGAGGTTGGTGTAGGTCTCAAAGTCGCCGCCGGAGGCCCCGGGCATGGGGTAGCTCTGGTCCAGCCAGTCGGTCCAGGCACAGCGCGGCAGGCACTCCGTGGTCCCGGGCCCCGAGGGCGTGCGGCCCGAGGTCACGAGCGGCGAGGTGTGAGTGGACGCCGGGGGCACCGTAGGCGTGGCGACGGCGGAGGACGGGCCCGGAGTGGTGCCCGGCACGTGGCTGGTGCTCGGAGCCATGGAGGGCGGCCGCGGCGTGTGGGAGGTCTCCGGCGGCAGCGAGGACGGGGCCGCCGTGGTGGCCGGGGTCGAAGGGCAGTGGCGGAAGTCGTCACAGCACAGCACGCGGATCTCGTAGTTGAGGCACATCTTGACGCGGCCTTGCTGGTCGCGGTTGCGGCACACGAGCCCCTCCCCGAGGACGCACAGCACCTCCTGGCCCAGCTCCGGCAGGGGCACCTCGGGCCGGGACGCGGCCCGGCACTGCAGGGCCACGGGCCGCGCACAGAGGGGCACGCCGGCCGCGCGGAGGTTGGTGTAGGTCTCAAAGTCGCCGCCGGAGGCCCCGGGCATGGGGTAGCTCTGGTCCAGCCAGTCGGTCCAGGCACAGCGCGGCAGGCACTCCGTGGTCCCGGGCCCCGAGGGCGTGCGGCCCGAGGTCACGAGCGGCGAGGTGTGAGTGGACGCCGGGGGCACCGTAGGCGTGGCGACGGCGGAGGACGGGCCCGGAGTGGTGCCCGGCACGTGGCTGGTGCTCGGAGCCATGGAGGGCGGCCGCGGCGTGTGGGAGGTCTCCGGCGGCAGCGAGGACGGGGCCGCCGTGGTGGCCGGGGTCGAAGGGCAGTGGCGGAAGTCGTCACAGCACAGCACGCGGATCTCGTAGTTGAGGCACATCTTGACGCGGCCTTGCTGGTCGCGGTTGCGGCACACGAGCCCCTCCCCGAGGACGCACAGCACCTCCTGGCCCAGCTCCGGCAGGGGCACCTCGGGCCGGGACGCGGCCCGGCACTGCAGGGCCACGGGCCGCGCACAGAGGGGCACGCCGGCCGCGCGGAGGTTGGTGTAGGTCTCAAAGTCGCCGCCGGAGGCCCCGGGCATGGGGTAGCTCTGGTCCAGCCAGTCGGTCCAGGCACAGCGCGGCAGGCACTCCGTGGTCCCGGGCCCCGAGGGCGTGCGGCCCGAGGTCACGAGCGGCGAGGTGTGAGTGGACGCCGGGGGCACCGTAGGCGTGGCGACGGCGGAGGACGGGCCCGGAGTGGTGCCCGGCACGTGGCTGGTGCTCGGAGCCATGGAGGGCGGCCGCGGCGTGTGGGAGGTCTCCGGCGGCAGCGAGGACGGGGCCGCCGTGGTGGCCGGGGTCGAAGGGCAGTGGCGGAAGTCGTCACAGCACAGCACGCGGATCTCGTAGTTGAGGCACATCTTGACGCGGCCTTGCTGGTCGCGGTTGCGGCACACGAGCCCCTCCCCGAGGACGCACAGCACCTCCTGGCCCAGCTCCGGCAGGGGCACCTCGGGCCGGGACGCGGCCCGGCACTGCAGGGCCACGGGCCGCGCACAGAGGGGCACGCCGGCCGCGCGGAGGTTGGTGTAGGTCTCAAAGTCGCCGCCGGAGGCCCCGGGCATGGGGTAGCTCTGGTCCAGCCAGTCGGTCCAGGCACAGCGCGGCAGGCACTCCGTGGTCCCGGGCCCCGAGGGCGTGCGGCCCGAGGTCACGAGCGGCGAGGTGTGAGTGGACGCCGGGGGCACCGTAGGCGTGGCGACGGCGGAGGACGGGCCCGGAGTGGTGCCCGGCACGTGGCTGGTGCTCGGAGCCATGGAGGGCGGCCGCGGCGTGTGGGAGGTCTCCGGCGGCAGCGAGGACGGGGCCGCCGTGGTGGCCGGGGTCGAAGGGCAGTGGCGGAAGTCGTCACAGCACAGCACGCGGATCTCGTAGTTGAGGCACATCTTGACGCGGCCTTGCTGGTCGCGGTTGCGGCACACGAGCCCCTCCCCGAGGACGCACAGCACCTCCTGGCCCAGCTCCGGCAGGGGCACCTCGGGCCGGGACGCGGCCCGGCACTGCAGGGCCACGGGCCGCGCACAGAGGGGCACGCCGGCCGCGCGGAGGTTGGTGTAGGTCTCAAAGTCGCCGCCGGAGGCCCCGGGCATGGGGTAGCTCTGGTCCAGCCAGTCGGTCCAGGCACAGCGCGGCAGGCACTCCGTGGTCCCGGGCCCCGAGGGCGTGCGGCCCGAGGTCACGAGCGGCGAGGTGTGAGTGGACGCCGGGGGCACCGTAGGCGTGGCGACGGCGGAGGACGGGCCCGGAGTGGTGCCCGGCACGTGGCTGGTGCTCGGAGCCATGGAGGGCGGCCGCGGCGTGTGGGAGGTCTCCGGCGGCAGCGAGGACGGGGCCGCCGTGGTGGCCGGGGTCGAAGGGCAGTGGCGGAAGTCGTCACAGCACAGCACGCGGATCTCGTAGTTGAGGCACATCTTGACGCGGCCTTGCTGGTCGCGGTTGCGGCACACGAGCCCCTCCCCGAGGACGCACAGCACCTCCTGGCCCAGCTCCGGCAGGGGCACCTCGGGCCGGGACGCGGCCCGGCACTGCAGGGCCACGGGCCGCGCACAGAGGGGCACGCCGGCCGCGCGGAGGTTGGTGTAGGTCTCAAAGTCGCCGCCGGAGGCCCCGGGCATGGGGTAGCTCTGGTCCAGCCAGTCGGTCCAGGCACAGCGCGGCAGGCACTCCGTGGTCCCGGGCCCCGAGGGCGTGCGGCCCGAGGTCACGAGCGGCGAGGTGTGAGTGGACGCCGGGGGCACCGTAGGCGTGGCGACGGCGGAGGACGGGCCCGGAGTGGTGCCCGGCACGTGGCTGGTGCTCGGAGCCATGGAGGGCGGCCGCGGCGTGTGGGAGGTCTCCGGCGGCAGCGAGGACGGGGCCGCCGTGGTGGCCGGGGTCGAAGGGCAGTGGCGGAAGTCGTCACAGCACAGCACGCGGATCTCGTAGTTGAGGCACATCTTGACGCGGCCTTGCTGGTCGCGGTTGCGGCACACGAGCCCCTCCCCGAGGACGCACAGCACCTCCTGGCCCAGCTCCGGCAGGGGCACCTCGGGCCGGGACGCGGCCCGGCACTGCAGGGCCACGGGCCGCGCACAGAGGGGCACGCCGGCCGCGCGGAGGTTGGTGTAGGTCTCAAAGTCGCCGCCGGAGGCCCCGGGCATGGGGTAGCTCTGGTCCAGCCAGTCGGTCCAGGCACAGCGCGGCAGGCACTCCGTGGTCCCGGGCCCCGAGGGCGTGCGGCCCGAGGTCACGAGCGGCGAGGTGTGAGTGGACGCCGGGGGCACCGTAGGCGTGGCGACGGCGGAGGACGGGCCCGGAGTGGTGCCCGGCACGTGGCTGGTGCTCGGAGCCATGGAGGGCGGCCGCGGCGTGTGGGAGGTCTCCGGCGGCAGCGAGGACGGGGCCGCCGTGGTGGCCGGGGTCGAAGGGCAGTGGCGGAAGTCGTCACAGCACAGCACGCGGATCTCGTAGTTGAGGCACATCTTGACGCGGCCTTGCTGGTCGCGGTTGCGGCACACGAGCCCCTCCCCGAGGACGCACAGCACCTCCTGGCCCAGCTCCGGCAGGGGCACCTCGGGCCGGGACGCGGCCCGGCACTGCAGGGCCACGGGCCGCGCACAGAGGGGCACGCCGGCCGCGCGGAGGTTGGTGTAGGTCTCAAAGTCGCCGCCGGAGGCCCCGGGCATGGGGTAGCTCTGGTCCAGCCAGTCGGTCCAGGCACAGCGCGGCAGGCACTCCGTGGTCCCGGGCCCCGAGGGCGTGCGGCCCGAGGTCACGAGCGGCGAGGTGTGAGTGGACGCCGGGGGCACCGTAGGCGTGGCGACGGCGGAGGACGGGCCCGGAGTGGTGCCCGGCACGTGGCTGGTGCTCGGAGCCATGGAGGGCGGCCGCGGCGTGTGGGAGGTCTCCGGCGGCAGCGAGGGACGGGGCCGCCGTGGTGGCCGGGGTCGAAGGGCAGTGGCGGAAGTCGTCACAGCACAGCACGCGGATCTCGTAGTTGAGGCACATCTTGACGCGGCCTTGCTGGTCGCGGTTGCGGCACACGAGCCCCTCCCCGAGGACGCACAGCACCTCCTGGCCCAGCTCCGGCAGGGGCACCTCGGGCCGGGACGCGGCCCGGCACTGCAGGGCCACGGGCCGCGCACAGAGGGGCACGCCGGCCGCGCGGAGGTTGGTGTAGGTCTCAAAGTCGCCGCCGGAGGCCCCGGGCATGGGGTAGCTCTGGTCCAGCCAGTCGGTCCAGGCACAGCGCGGCAGGCACTCCGTGGTCCCGGGCCCCGAGGGCGTGCGGCCCGAGGTCACGAGCGGCGAGGTGTGAGTGGACGCCGGGGGCACCGTAGGCGTGGCGACGGCGGAGGACGGGCCCGGAGTGGTGCCCGGCACGTGGCTGGTGCTCGGAGCCATGGAGGGCGGCCGCGGCGTGTGGGAGGTCTCCGGCGGCAGCGAGGACGGGGCCGCCGTGGTGGCCGGGGTCGAAGGGCAGTGGCGGAAGTCGTCACAGCACAGCACGCGGATCTCGTAGTTGAGGCACATCTTGACGCGGCCTTGCTGGTCGCGGTTGCGGCACACGAGCCCCTCCCCGAGGACGCACAGCACCTCCTGGCCCAGCTCCGGCAGGGGCACCTCGGGCCGGGACGCGGCCCGGCACTGCAGGGCCACGGGCCGCGCACAGAGGGGCACGCCGGCCGCGCGGAGGTTGGTGTAGGTCTCAAAGTCGCCGCCGGAGGCCCCGGGCATGGGGTAGCTCTGGTCCAGCCAGTCGGTCCAGGCACAGCGCGGCAGGCACTCCGTGGTCCCGGGCCCCGAGGGCGTGCGGCCCGAGGTCACGAGCGGCGAGGTGTGAGTGGACGCCGGGGGCACCGTAGGCGTGGCGACGGCGGAGGACGGGCCCGGAGTGGTGCCCGGCACGTGGCTGGTGCTCGGAGCCATGGAGGGCGGCCGCGGCGTGTGGGAGGTCTCCGGCGGCAGCGAGGACGGGGCCGCCGTGGTGGCCGGGGTCGAAGGGCAGTGGCGGAAGTCGTCACAGCACAGCACGCGGATCTCGTAGTTGAGGCACATCTTGACGCGGCCTTGCTGGTCGCGGTTGCGGCACACGAGCCCCTCCCCGAGGACGCACAGCACCTCCTGGCCCAGCTCCGGCAGGGGCACCTCGGGCCGGGACGCGGCCCGGCACTGCAGGGCCACGGGCCGCGCACAGAGGGGCACGCCGGCCGCGCGGAGGTTGGTGTAGGTCTCAAAGTCGCCGCCGGAGGCCCCGGGCATGGGGTAGCTCTGGTCCAGCCAGTCGGTCCAGGCACAGCGCGGCAGGCACTCCGTGGTCCCGGGCCCCGAGGGCGTGCGGCCCGAGGTCACGAGCGGCGAGGTGTGAGTGGACGCCGGGGGCACCGTAGGCGTGGCGACGGCGGAGGACGGGCCCGGAGTGGTGCCCGGCACGTGGCTGGTGCTCGGAGCCATGGAGGGCGGCCGCGGCGTGTGGGAGGTCTCCGGCGGCAGCGAGGACGGGGCCGCCGTGGTGGCCGGGGTCGAAGGGCAGTGGCGGAAGTCGTCACAGCACAGCACGCGGATCTCGTAGTTGAGGCACATCTTGACGCGGCCTTGCTGGTCGCGGTTGCGGCACACGAGCCCCTCCCCGAGGACGCACAGCACCTCCTGGCCCAGCTCCGGCAGGGGCACCTCGGGCCGGGACGCGGCCCGGCACTGCAGGGCCACGGGCCGCGCACAGAGGGGCACGCCGGCCGCGCGGAGGTTGGTGTAGGTCTCAAAGTCGCCGCCGGAGGCCCCGGGCATGGGGTAGCTCTGGTCCAGCCAGTCGGTCCAGGCACAGCGCGGCAGGCACTCCGTGGTCCCGGGCCCCGAGGGCGTGCGGCCCGAGGTCACGAGCGGCGAGGTGTGAGTGGACGCCGGGGGCACCGTAGGCGTGGCGACGGCGGAGGACGGGCCCGGAGTGGTGCCCGGCACGTGGCTGGTGCTCGGAGCCATGGAGGGCGGCCGCGGCGTGTGGGAGGTCTCCGGCGGCAGCGAGGACGGGGCCGCCGTGGTGGCCGGGGTCGAAGGGCAGTGGCGGAAGTCGTCACAGCACAGCACGCGGATCTCGTAGTTGAGGCACATCTTGACGCGGCCTTGCTGGTCGCGGTTGCGGCACACGAGCCCCTCCCCGAGGACGCACAGCACCTCCTGGCCCAGCTCCGGCAGGGGCACCTCGGGCCGGGACGCGGCCCGGCACTGCAGGGCCACGGGCCGCGCACAGAGGGGCACGCCGGCCGCGCGGAGGTTGGTGTAGGTCTCAAAGTCGCCGCCGGAGGCCCCGGGCATGGGGTAGCTCTGGTCCAGCCAGTCGGTCCAGGCACAGCGCGGCAGGCACTCCGTGGTCCCGGGCCCCGAGGGCGTGCGGCCCGAGGTCACGAGCGGCGAGGTGTGAGTGGACGCCGGGGGCACCGTAGGCGTGGCGACGGCGGAGGACGGGCCCGGAGTGGTGCCCGGCACGTGGCTGGTGCTCGGAGCCATGGAGGGCGGCCGCGGCGTGTGGGAGGTCTCCGGCGGCAGCGAGGGACGGGGCCGCCGTGGTGGCCGGGGTCGAAGGGCAGTGGCGGAAGTCGTCACAGCACAGCACGCGGATCTCGTAGTTGAGGCACATCTTGACGCGGCCTTGCTGGTCGCGGTTGCGGCACACGAGCCCCTCCCCGAGGACGCACAGCACCTCCTGGCCCAGCTCCGGCAGGGGCACCTCGGGCCGGGACGCGGCCCGGCACTGCAGGGCCACGGGCCGCGCACAGAGGGGCACGCCGGCCGCGCGGAGGTTGGTGTAGGTCTCAAAGTCGCCGCCGGAGGCCCCGGGCATGGGGTAGCTCTGGTCCAGCCAGTCGGTCCAGGCACAGCGCGGCAGGCACTCCGTGGTCCCGGGCCCCGAGGGCGTGCGGCCCGAGGTCACGAGCGGCGAGGTGTGAGTGGACGCCGGGGGCACCGTAGGCGTGGCGACGGCGGAGGACGGGCCCGGAGTGGTGCCCGGCACGTGGCTGGTGCTCGGAGCCATGGAGGGCGGCCGCGGCGTGTGGGAGGTCTCCGGCGGCAGCGAGGACGGGGCCGCCGTGGTGGCCGGGGTCGAAGGGCAGTGGCGGAAGTCGTCACAGCACAGCACGCGGATCTCGTAGTTGAGGCACATCTTGACGCGGCCTTGCTGGTCGCGGTTGCGGCACACGAGCCCCTCCCCGAGGACGCACAGCACCTCCTGGCCCAGCTCCGGCAGGGGCACCTCGGGCCGGGACGCGGCCCGGCACTGCAGGGCCACGGGCCGCGCACAGAGGGGCACGCCGGCCGCGCGGAGGTTGGTGTAGGTCTCAAAGTCGCCGCCGGAGGCCCCGGGCATGGGGTAGCTCTGGTCCAGCCAGTCGGTCCAGGCACAGCGCGGCAGGCACTCCGTGGTCCCGGGCCCCGAGGGCGTGCGGCCCGAGGTCACGAGCGGCGAGGTGTGAGTGGACGCCGGGGGCACCGTAGGCGTGGCGACGGCGGAGGACGGGCCCGGAGTGGTGCCCGGCACGTGGCTGGTGCTCGGAGCCATGGAGGGCGGCCGCGGCGTGTGGGAGGTCTCCGGCGGCAGCGAGGGACGGGGCCGCCGTGGTGGCCGGGGTCGAAGGGCAGTGGCGGAAGTCGTCACAGCACAGCACGCGGATCTCGTAGTTGAGGCACATCTTGACGCGGCCTTGCTGGTCGCGGTTGCGGCACACGAGCCCCTCCCCGAGGACGCACAGCACCTCCTGGCCCAGCTCCGGCAGGGGCACCTCGGGCCGGGACGCGGCCCGGCACTGCAGGGCCACGGGCCGCGCACAGAGGGGCACGCCGGCCGCGCGGAGGTTGGTGTAGGTCTCAAAGTCGCCGCCGGAGGCCCCGGGCATGGGGTAGCTCTGGTCCAGCCAGTCGGTCCAGGCACAGCGCGGCAGGCACTCCGTGGTCCCGGGCCCCGAGGGCGTGCGGCCCGAGGTCACGAGCGGCGAGGTGTGAGTGGACGCCGGGGGCACCGTAGGCGTGGCGACGGCGGAGGACGGGCCCGGAGTGGTGCCCGGCACGTGGCTGGTGCTCGGAGCCATGGAGGGCGGCCGCGGCGTGTGGGAGGTCTCCGGCGGCAGCGAGGACGGGGCCGCCGTGGTGGCCGGGGTCGAAGGGCAGTGGCGGAAGTCGTCACAGCACAGCACGCGGATCTCGTAGTTGAGGCACATCTTGACGCGGCCTTGCTGGTCGCGGTTGCGGCACACGAGCCCCTCCCCGAGGACGCACAGCACCTCCTGGCCCAGCTCCGGCAGGGGCACCTCGGGCCGGGACGCGGCCCGGCACTGCAGGGCCACGGGCCGCGCACAGAGGGGCACGCCGGCCGCGCGGAGGTTGGTGTAGGTCTCAAAGTCGCCGCCGGAGGCCCCGGGCATGGGGTAGCTCTGGTCCAGCCAGTCGGTCCAGGCACAGCGCGGCAGGCACTCCGTGGTCCCGGGCCCCGAGGGCGTGCGGCCCGAGGTCACGAGCGGCGAGGTGTGAGTGGACGCCGGGGGCACCGTAGGCGTGGCGACGGCGGAGGACGGGCCCGGAGTGGTGCCCGGCACGTGGCTGGTGCTCGGAGCCATGGAGGGCGGCCGCGGCGTGTGGGAGGTCTCCGGCGGCAGCGAGGACGGGGCCGCCGTGGTGGCCGGGGTCGAAGGGCAGTGGCGGAAGTCGTCACAGCACAGCACGCGGATCTCGTAGTTGAGGCACATCTTGACGCGGCCTTGCTGGTCGCGGTTGCGGCACACGAGCCCCTCCCCGAGGACGCACAGCACCTCCTGGCCCAGCTCCGGCAGGGGCACCTCGGGCCGGGACGCGGCCCGGCACTGCAGGGCCACGGGCCGCGCACAGAGGGGCACGCCGGCCGCGCGGAGGTTGGTGTAGGTCTCAAAGTCGCCGCCGGAGGCCCCGGGCATGGGGTAGCTCTGGTCCAGCCAGTCGGTCCAGGCACAGCGCGGCAGGCACTCCGTGGTCCCGGGCCCCGAGGGCGTGCGGCCCGAGGTCACGAGCGGCGAGGTGTGAGTGGACGCCGGGGGCACCGTAGGCGTGGCGACGGCGGAGGACGGGCCCGGAGTGGTGCCCGGCACGTGGCTGGTGCTCGGAGCCATGGAGGGCGGCCGCGGCGTGTGGGAGGTCTCCGGCGGCAGCGAGGACGGGGCCGCCGTGGTGGCCGGGGTCGAAGGGCAGTGGCGGAAGTCGTCACAGCACAGCACGCGGATCTCGTAGTTGAGGCACATCTTGACGCGGCCTTGCTGGTCGCGGTTGCGGCACACGAGCCCCTCCCCGAGGACGCACAGCACCTCCTGGCCCAGCTCCGGCAGGGGCACCTCGGGCCGGGACGCGGCCCGGCACTGCAGGGCCACGGGCCGCGCACAGAGGGGCACGCCGGCCGCGCGGAGGTTGGTGTAGGTCTCAAAGTCGCCGCCGGAGGCCCCGGGCATGGGGTAGCTCTGGTCCAGCCAGTCGGTCCAGGCACAGCGCGGCAGGCACTCCGTGGTCCCGGGCCCCGAGGGCGTGCGGCCCGAGGTCACGAGCGGCGAGGTGTGAGTGGACGCCGGGGGCACCGTAGGCGTGGCGACGGCGGAGGACGGGCCCGGAGTGGTGCCCGGCACGTGGCTGGTGCTCGGAGCCATGGAGGGCGGCCGCGGCGTGTGGGAGGTCTCCGGCGGCAGCGAGGACGGGGCCGCCGTGGTGGCCGGGGTCGAAGGGCAGTGGCGGAAGTCGTCACAGCACAGCACGCGGATCTCGTAGTTGAGGCACATCTTGACGCGGCCTTGCTGGTCGCGGTTGCGGCACACGAGCCCCTCCCCGAGGACGCACAGCACCTCCTGGCCCAGCTCCGGCAGGGGCACCTCGGGCCGGGACGCGGCCCGGCACTCCAGGGCCACGGGCCGCGCACAGAGGGGCACGCCGGCCGCGCGGAGGTTGGTGTAGGTCTCAAAGTCGCCGCCGGAGGCCCCAGGCATGGGGTAGCTCTGGTCCAGCCAGTCGGTCCAGGCACAGCGCGGCAGGCACTCCGTGGTCCCGGGCCCCGAGGGCGTGCGGCCCGAGGTCACGAGCGGCGAGGTGTGAGTGGACGCCGGGGGCACCGTAGGCGTGGCGACGGCGGAGGACGGGCCCGGAGTGGTGCCCGGCACGTGGCTGGTGCTCGGAGCCATGGAGGGCGGCCGCGGCGTGTGGGAGGTCTCCGGCGGCAGCGAGGACGGGGCCGCCGTGGTGGCCGGGGTCGAAGGGCAGTGGCGGAAGTCGTCACAGCACAGCACGCGGATCTCGTAGTTGAGGCACATCTTGACGCGGCCTTGCTGGTCGCGGTTGCGGCACACGAGCCCCTCCCCGAGGACGCACAGCACCTCCTGGCCCAGCTCCGGCAGGGGCACCTCGGGCCGGGACGCGGCCCGGCACTGCAGGGCCACGGGCCGCGCACAGAGGGGCACGCCGGCCGCGCGGAGGTTGGTGTAGGTCTCAAAGTCGCCGCCGGAGGCCCCGGGCATGGGGTAGCTCTGGTCCAGCCAGTCGGTCCAGGCACAGCGCGGCAGGCACTCCGTGGTCCCGGGCCCCGAGGGCGTGCGGCCCGAGGTCACGAGCGGCGAGGTGTGAGTGGACGCCGGGGGCACCGTAGGCGTGGCGACGGCGGAGGACGGGCCCGGAGTGGTGCCCGGCACGTGGCTGGTGCTCGGAGCCATGGAGGGCGGCCGCGGCGTGTGGGAGGTCTCCGGCGGCAGCGAGGACGGGGCCGCCGTGGTGGCCGGGGTCGAAGGGCAGTGGCGGAAGTCGTCACAGCACAGCACGCGGATCTCGTAGTTGAGGCACATCTTGACGCGGCCTTGCTGGTCGCGGTTGCGGCACACGAGCCCCTCCCCGAGGACGCACAGCACCTCCTGGCCCAGCTCCGGCAGGGGCACCTCGGGCCGGGACGCGGCCCGGCACTGCAGGGCCACGGGCCGCGCACAGAGGGGCACGCCGGCCGCGCGGAGGTTGGTGTAGGTCTCAAAGTCGCCGCCGGAGGCCCCGGGCATGGGGTAGCTCTGGTCCAGCCAGTCGGTCCAGGCACAGCGCGGCAGGCACTCCGTGGTCCCGGGCCCCGAGGGCGTGCGGCCCGAGGTCACGAGCGGCGAGGTGTGAGTGGACGCCGGGGGCACCGTAGGCGTGGCGACGGCGGAGGACGGGCCCGGAGTGGTGCCCGGCACGTGGCTGGTGCTCGGAGCCATGGAGGGCGGCCGCGGCGTGTGGGAGGTCTCCGGCGGCGGCGAGGACGTGGCCGCCGTGGTGGCCGGGGTGGAAGGGCAGTGGCGGAAGTCGTCACAGCACAGCACGCGGATCTCGTAGTTGAGGCACATCTTGACGCGGCCTTGCTGGTCGCGGTTGCGGCACACGAGCCCCTCTTCTAGGACGCACAGCACCTCCTGGCCCAGCTCCGGCAGGGGCACCTCGGGCCGGGACGCGGCCCGGCACTCCAGGGCCACGGGCCGCGCACAGAGTGGCACGCCGGCCGCGCGGTGGTTGTCGTAGGTCTCAAAGTCACCACCACTGTGTCCTGGCATCGGGTAGTTCACGTCAATCCAATGTGTCCACCGGCACCGTGGTGTGCAGTTCCCAGTGGTTGTCGGGGTCCCGAAGGTGGGGGACGTTTTCTCGGTCGACGGCCGTGATGTGGACGTGGGGCAGTGACGGTCCTGGTCGCAGCAAAGCACGCGGACGTTGTAGTTGAAGCACATGTTGAACTGGCCCTTCTGGTCCTCGTTCCTGCAGATCAAGCCCGCCTGCAGGCTGCAGCTCACCACCTGCCCTATCTGGTCAAGGCTTACTTCGGGGTAGCTCTCCGCCCGGCACTCGATCTTCCGCGGCTCCCGGCATATCTTGCCACCAGCCGCTCTGATGTTGTCATAGGTTTCCATGTCTCCACCCGCGACCCCGGAGGTGGGGAAATCCACGTCAAACCATTCTGTCCACTCGCACTTTGGTTCGCAGCTGGGCACGCCTGGGCTCGTGGTGTCCTCCGGGGTGCTCTCTGACATCTTCGTCTGTGTTTGCGTTGTTCCCGGGAACGTTGTGGATGCTGTGGAGGCAGGAGCCGTCGTGAGGCTCCTGGTTGCCGACGTCACGCGTGTGACCGTGTGGCTGGGGCTTGGCGATGTGGCTGGGAGCACGGGTCCTGTCGAGGGGGCCGGCCCCGCCCACGTGGTTGTGACCGATGGTTTCGCGGTGGTGGCGGCGCTGGTCTCTTCACAGGGGCCCCGGCTGCAGCACAGCAGGCGGATTCTGTAGTTGTAGCACATCTTGAAGAGGCCCACCTGCTCGGCGTTCCTGCAGACCAGGCCGAATGCGGGGTCGCAGTATACCTGCTGCCCCAGCTCCTCGGGGCGCCTGTCGGGGAAGTTCTCCGCCCGGCACTCTATGGCCTGCGGCTGCTCACACACGGCGCCGCCCGCACTTCGGATCTTGTCAAATGACTCGACGTCGCCCCCGGCCTCCTCGGACTTGGGGTAATCCTCATCGAACCACTCCGTCCACCGACACGTGAGCTGGCAGGTGCTGCTCGGAGCCTCAGAGCTGCTGGCCTTCGAGGTCTCTGTGGTCCGTGAGGTGATGGTCGTTGCTGCCTGGACGGTGGGGGTGGGCGGCGGCCTGGGCGTGGGGCCAGCGGGGGTGCTGCAGGGTACGTAGTCGCAGCAGAGCACCCGCAGCTCGTAGTTGTGGCAGAGCGGGGGGTCCTGCTCGCTGTTGAGGCACGTGAGTCCCCGCGCCGGGTCACACTCCACCTTCTGGCCCAGCTGCTCCAGGGGCGTGTCGGGAAGCAGGCGCGCCCTGCACTCGATGCGGGTCGGAACCGGGCAGACCTGGTGGCCCGTCTGCCTCAGGTGTGCAAACGTCTCGAAGTCTCCACCTCCCATGCCGGGCTCCGGACGGCCACTGTCGTACCAGGCCGACCAGCTGCACAGCTCACGCACGCACACAGTGGAGAGGGTGGAGACTGGGACTGTGGGGGTGGGGGCAGAGGACTCTGTTATCCTCCCCTGCGTCCTTGTCGGCCGGACCCAGGGGGGAGGGTCACACACGCCTCTTGCCCCAGCGTTGGCAAGAATCCTGGTCCATCCCTGGCGCCCGGGACTTTTGCACTGAGTGCCTGCTGGTCTCCTTCCCTCACCCGGACAGTGGCTTCCCCAAGGTCAACTTACCTGTCGTGGAGGGCGGAGCCACGGTGGAGGTGAAGGTGAAGGGCGTGGTGGAGGGGGTTCCGGGACATTCCACAGTCTTCCGCGTGATCGTTCCATTGTTTCCGCAGACGGCTATCAAGCAGGCGCCGAGCCCATCGGTGGTGTTGTAGATGACGTCCCCGTAGCTGTAGGTCTTACCCTCGTAGGTGCACTTGCAGGCTGGAAGACGCGGCAGGTACAGCGCTCAGAGGAGCCCCAGCTCCCAGCCTCACAACCCACCAGGCCCCTCCTTACCTGCAGGGCTGTACGTGCACCGGATGCCCTCTGGGGCGCAGGCACTGGGAGGAGAGAAAGGAGCTGAGGGCCTAACGGGCCCCGCCCCTCGCCAGCTCCGCCCCGCCCCGCCCCGCACCAGCTCTGGCCCCGCCTCGCCTCAGCCCCGCCCCTCGCCAGCTCTGGCCCCGCCCGGCCCTCTGCCCAGGCCCCGCCCTCCCCGGCCCCGCCCCGCCAGGCCCCGCCCCTCACCAGCTCTGGCAGTTCTCCGCCGTGGGGACACTGGCACCGATGTCGTGGTAGTTCCCATCGTCGTCGTAGCAGCCGCACAGGGCCACACACTTCATCTGGTCCTCGTCGAAGAATGGCTTCTTGGGCGGACACTTAGGGTAGCAGCCTGGGGCGCGCACGCGGCAGGAGGAGACTCAGGCTCTCCGGCCAGGCTTCACGCCCCCCGCCCCTCCGCCGCCTGCTGGCGCCCTGCGGCGACGAGGCGCGGCCCCGGGACAGCCCGGCCCTCACCTTCCTGGCCCGGCAGGTCCAGCAGGCAGCGTCCACTGGGGTTCCGGCAGGTCCGCAGGCAGGGCACCCCGCAGGGCTGGTAGTGCCACGTGCACTCCCCGTGCGGGTTGTAGTAGTCGCAGAAGAGCGCTGCGCTCGGGGACAGAGGCCGAGGGCCCGCAGAGGCTAAGGCGTCGCCCGCACCCCGCGAGCCGCGCCTCCGGCACTCGCCCCCTCGCGCCCAGCCTCCCGCGCCCCGCCCCCCAGCACCGCGGGCAGAGCCCCACTCACGGCAGACGTCCGGGGTGCGCCAGGCCACGCACACGCCCACCTCGCGGCAGGCCTGGGCGTAGGCGGCCACGGCCGTGCAGAAGCACTCGCAGTCCCCGCCCGCGTCGCAGGCACACGCGTCGCTCACGCAGGCCTCGTAGTACTTGGTGGGGTCGACCTGGGGGCCCAGGGCAGAGAGGCCTCTTAGCCAACACCGCACCGGCTCTGGGACAGCCACCCACCCGCCACCAGAGACCTGTGACTGCAGCGGGGGGCGGGTCGGGGTGGGGGTGGCCGGGAGGTGGGCGCCTCCCCTCGTGCCCCTGGTTCCCCCTCTGACCCCGCCGCACCCCTGTTTGTTGCCTCTGCTTAGCATCCCGCCTGAGGGCAGACCAGCCCTCCCCGTGGCTGTGGGGGACTCTGTCCTGAAAAATAGGGGGCTGCCGTCTGTTTGGGGTGAGGGGTCTGCCCCCAACTATGCTCCTCCCTCCCAGGCGGCAGAGCCCAGCGGGCCCCAGTCTGGTGGGCTTGCACTCCAGGCTCAGAGGACATTCCAGGCCAGGAAGTGGGGTGGGGGAGCCGGCCAGGCAGGCCTGCGCAGCACCCTGCCCACCGCTGTGGGAGCGGGCACTGGCGTCCTCGGCACAGGGAGGACCCTCGGGCGGGCTCTGAGGCAGATCCCGGCCCCCTGCATCACGCGGCCTGACGGGGGTGCTGGCAGGTCAGGGCCTGTGGGAGACCAGGGCGGGACAAGGGCCCAGCCAGGGCCTGTGGGACCAGCAGCCCCGCTTCTGCAGCGAGGCCGCTCTGTGCTGGGACTGAGCTCGCCGGAGCCTGCCCAGTGGGAGGTCAAGACGTCTGCAGCGCTCACGCCTGCGGTCAGCGGGGAGAAGGCTGCATGTCCACCAAGGCCCAGGCCCAGCCAAATTCAGCTTCTGCCCGGAGGGCGGGAGGCCGCCCCACCCCGCCCGCCCTCAGCCCCGGCCCCCACGCCCAGAGCCACTGCCCGCCACCCACCTGGGAATGGCAGGCCGCGAAGGTGGCGCTGTTGAGGAGGCTGCACTGCTTCTGCGCCCAGGACTTGCGGTAGGGGTTGGCGGTGCAGGGGTCCCTGGGGGCCGGGGCGTCCGGGCAGGACGGGGAGAATTTCCAGCTGTTGCCAAACTCCAGGGCGTCGCCCACCACGGACTGGCTGCGCGTGGTGAAGTCGTTGGCGGCGTTGTCATCGAAGTTCCCGCACAGCCCGCAGACCTTCCCCTGCGGACGCAGAGGTGGGCGGGCCTGTGAGTCCGGGCTGCAGGGGACAGCCTGGCTTGGGAGGAGGGAGCACAGGGCGCATGCGCGCCTCAGGCAGCGCCCAGTGACCTTGCAGGAGGACGGGGCGCACAGTGGGCCCTGTGGTGCGCAGGTGGATAGGAAGACAGGCGGGAAGCCAGGGAGGCGGGCGGGCGGGTGGGCTTGCGAGCCGGTGGCCGGGTGAGCTGGGGGACAGAGGGACGGGCGGCACGTGCTTCCCCGCAGGACCGCGGCCCAGTGGGCGTGGAAGTGCTGAGTGGAGAGGCCGGGAAGCAGAGCGGCTGCGTCGCAGGACTGCGACACGCACAGGGGCGGCTTGGTCTCCACACACCCCTCCTGGGAGCCCCTGCCCTCAGCAGGCCGTCAGCTGCCAGAGGGTCCCGCGGGGGCCGGCCTGGGAGAGGGGCTCTGTCTCCACCTGAGGGGCCCGCGGTCCGCCTGCCCTCACCTTGTAATCCTGGTGCAGCCGGATGAACACGCTGGTCTTCCGGTCCCAGGACACCGCCAGGCCGCTGCGGGTCTCGATGGTCAGGTGGGTGCCCATGTACCGGACTCTGTAGGGCAGGTCTCCGCCCAGCCCCCTCTGCACCACCTTGTAGGTGCCCTCGTGGAGGATGACCTCGTAGTTCTGAGGAGGGGCATGAGGGAGTTGAGGGGCGAGGCCTGCCCGGGGCCCAGGGCCCCATGGGCGGCCTGGGCCGAGGCATCAGGCCCCTGACGCGTCAGGGAACTCCCGGCGGCCGGAGGCGGGGCAGGGAGAGGGTTCTTGGGGCTCGGCCACGCCCCCCATCCCGCACGCACCCCCACCGGCGCTGCGCCCTCCTCCCGCTCGTCCCCTGCCCCCCACCCGCTCCCCCGGGAGCCACCCCCAGCCCGCAGCCCCACTCTCCGCCCTGGGAGCTCCGCCCTCCCTCTACCAGAAGCGGAAGTCCGGGGATGGGGGGCGGAGAGGAGGCCCCCAAAGCCAGGCCCTGTCCTAACCCCGGAAACCTGTGCTGTGACCTAGCCTGGAACAAGGGTCTTAGCGGATGTGACTGGGGGAAGGGCCTGCAGATCTCCTGGATCTGGGGGGCCGCAGCCCAACGGTGGGCGTGCCTGTGAGAGAGGGGTGGGGCGCAGCCCCGGTCCCGGAATGACGCCCAGAGCCCTGAGGAGCTGGCAGGGGCCGGGGGGCTAGAGACCCCGACACGGGGATCCCGTCGGCTGCCAAGGGAGGAAGGAGATTCCTGGCCCCCTTCACCTCCAGGAAGAGCTTGATGGCCTTGGAGCAGGTGACACCTGTGGTCCCACAGGGAATGTTCTCGGTGACGATGCGGAAGGAGCCGCTGGTGGCACTGGCGCTGCCACAGTGGTCCTGGGAGGGGGAGGGCAACACACGGGTCAGGCCCCGAGCCTGGCGGCCTGTGGGGCGGAGCGAGGGGGCCGCGTACCTGGGCCAGCGTGTACTCGCAGCTGCCCTCGAAGCTGTACCGCTCGCCGTCGAAGGTGATGAAGTGGCCGTCCCCGTAGGACACGCAGGTGCCCAGGCAGGGCCGGCGGGTGCAGTCCCACCTGCGGTTCCGGCAGGTGCTGCAAGGGGCAGAGAGGGGGTCCTGCTCACCCAGCCACGGCGGGGACACCGATGTGGACCCAGCTGCTGCCCGTGGTGAGGGGCCGAAGGAAGCAGCTTCTGCAGCTCCCAGCAGTGGCCGCCCTGCCACATGCTGGCAGAGGCGGCGGGGCCCTGCGGCCTCTCCCCGAAGACAAATGGGACCGAACGGGGCTTTCCAAGGGGCGGGGGCGGCGCCTGGCCTCCAGTCCTCTCTGCCCTTGGCCAAGGACCGCCAGGCCGCTGTCCCTGAGGCCTCTCAGCTACTGCTCTCTTCCCACCCCCCGCAGCCCGGCCTCTGAGAGGTCCTGGACCCACCAAGTGTTACAGTCCACGCGGATGGTGTCCCCAGGCTTGTAGGCAGCCTCGTTGTGCAGACAGGGACAGTCCTCCTCCGCCACGCAGCCCCCACTCCCGTCAGACACCAGCCCCGGGGGGCAGACGCAGCCAGACACGCAGTGAGTGCTGAACTGTGGACAGAGGGGTGCCGGTCAGCGGTGCCTGCCCTGCTGCGGCCCGGGGACCCCCAGGGGCGGCCGCGCCCTCCCGACCGACTCACGCAGTCCACGTCCAGCAGGTGGCAGCTCCGGAGGCACTCGGCGCCGGGTGTGCCGGCCGAGGCGTTGCTGCAGTCCAGGTACACCATGGGGGCCGCGCAGCCTGTGGAGGCAGGGCTCACTGCGGGCGGCCCCAGGGCCGGGCCCCGCCCCAGGCAGGCAGAAGCCCCTCTCCGCCCGCCCCGGCTTCCACCTCAGTGGGGGCCCTGGCTTGCGGCTGGCGGGAGGGGAGGCAGGCCGTACCTGCTCTGGCCTGCTCCGCGGTGCCCAGGCAGCTCAGCTTCCCGTTGGCGCACGAGCTGTGGGGGAGACAGATGGACGACTGATCTGGGCTGCTGCCCGCTGCCCGGCCAGACCCCGGCTGGGAGGGTGCGGGCCCGAGGCCTGGTCACGAGGCAGGACAGCGTCTGCTCCGGGGTCACAGCGAAGGCCCCAGACGCCGCAGAGGCGCTCGAGGACGCGGGGAAAGCTATGGGAAGCAGTGAGACTCGGGCGCGGAGGGCCCGGCCCCGGCCGTGCTGGTGCCGCCTCCAGCCTGGCAGGGTGCATGCAGGGGGCACCCGGGCCGCCCACAGGGCGCACCACCCGCCCAGGGCCCCCGTGGGCCCTGGCCCCTCAGAACGCTCTCCTGTGCCCAGGGAGGGGTCCCTCTTTACAGAAGGGCTGGCGGGGGCGGTGGGAACTTCCCTCCCCCAGAGCCCTCCTTGCGTTCCTCATTCCCCTAAGTGTGGGGCAGGTGGGCGTGGCATCGGGGAGGGCCGCTCCGGGGGCAGCGCGGTGGGGTCCTCACCACACCACGCCGTGGTCGTGCACCACCTCCCCGGGGGCCACCACGGAGCCGCGGAAGTAGCAGGGACAAGCCTCGGCAGACACGCAGTTGCCAGCATCGTCCAGGAAGGTGCCGTGGGGACAGGTGCAGCCATCCACAGGCACAAAGGTGACACCGCAGGTGACGTCAGCCTGGCTCAGGGCTCGGCAGGTAGGTTGGCAGCCGTCCACCACATAGGCGTAGCTCTGGGACTTGGGGCAGGAGCTCATGTACTTGGCTGGGGGCGGGGGGAGGGTGACACCCGGGTCAGTGGCCGGGCTGGGGATTAAGTGGCCCGAGACTCAGCTTCCGCTCTGGGCCGGGGCCGGGGCCGGGGGTGGGTGGGCGGCGGTCAGAGCACCAGGCTCTGGGCGGGGATGGGGGGAGGAAGTGCCAAGCCCCGGCCGAGGACGCTGGGGGGGTTGCTGCCCCGGGGTCACTGGCCCCGGCCCTGCCCAGGGAGCTGGAGCCCCGCGCACTCACTGCAGACGCCGGCCCTCCAGCCACTGAGCAGCACGCCCCGGGCGGCGCAGGCGCGGACGTAGGAGGACAGGGCCGCGCACAGGCAGTCCTCGCTCTTCTCACAGTTGCACGTGTCAAACAGGCAGTTCTGGGGGCGGGGCGTCGGGCGTCAGGGACCCCAGCCCACCAGAGACCCTCTTCCCCGGTCCATCCTCCTGGGACCCCTGCCAGCCGGGAGCCCTGCCCCCAGGGAGCACAGACCGACGGAGGCGGGGCCTCCGGCCACCAGGAGAGACGCTGCCCACTCAGGGGCAGGACAGGCCGGCCGGCGGGGGTGGGCAGGACAGAGGCCGACAGCTGGGCTGAGTGGAGTCTGTGGCGGGGACTCTGCGGGACCAGGACAGGGACCAGGGAGAGCCCCTGACACTGCGCTGGTTGTGCTGCCCGGGGCTGGGGGGTGCCCGGATGGGGCGGGAGCGCGGGGCAGGTGGGGTCCACCACTCCCCAGCAGGGCAGAGGCGGCCAGTGTTCCTGGTGTGGACACGCCTCTGGGGGCGGAGCCATGTGTAGTTTGGAGCTTTGAGCTTCAGGAAGTGAGGCCTGGGAGCTCAGGGTTGTGGGTGGTGCTGGGGCCCCCCAAAGGGAACCCCTGGGGCCTGTAAAGGTGGCCTGATGGCAGATGGGGTCTTTGCGGATGTGACGAAGGAAAGACGAGGTCCCTAGTGCGGCCCCTGGTCTGACAGGTCTGGCGCCCTTACGCAAAGAGACTTGCACACGGACAAGAGGACGGCGGGGCTATGTGACAACAGACGGAGCCGGAACCCGGGGTGGGGGGCGGCCACTGCCGGCGGAGGCCTGGAGCCCCCGAAGCTGGGAGGGGCAGGAGGGCCCCCCGGAGCCCGCCCCAGAAGAACCCAGTGTGGGGCCCCGGGGCCGGGCTCTCACCGAGTGGAAGGGCGCAGGGCCGATGACGTGGTGGCAAGGTGAGAAGGGGCCGGCCGGGGCGGTCAGCAGGGAGCACCAGTGCTGGGCGTAGTTCTCTGGGGGGAGGGGCATGCGGGGACGGTCGCCGGGCGCAGCTCGCTGCCTCCTCCCCGCGCCCCGGCGTCCCGGCCCCTGCCCCGCGCGTGCGGCCCCGCTCTGGCGTGGGGGCTCGCCCGTGGCCGCCAGTGGCACCCCTCACAGGCAGCGAGAGGGTCTTTCCGGAGGCAGGCTCCCAGCGCCCTGCCCTGCTCACCCCAGGCCCCGCGGCCGGCGCGCCCACCTAGAGAGCGGGTCCCCCGGCCCCCGCCCGCCCCAGGGGCCCGGGCGCAGCAGGTGGGCAGCAATCTGAAGGCCCCCCGGGGGTGGGGGTACCGTTCTCCACGCTGAGGGAGCAGGGGTCCTGGAAGCTGTTCCTGACGTTGGGGCAGGAAGCCTGGGTCTTCCAGGTGTTGGCGAAGGCGGCGGCCGTGCCCTCCACCACGCCGCTGAGGGTCCGGAAGTCGTCGGCCTGGTTCTGGTTGAAGTTCCCGCAGAGACCTGGGGGCGGGAGGGCCATCGGCAGGCTGCCCGGCCCAGCCCCTGCTCCCTGGCCCTGCGGGGTCTCCCACCCGTGATTTCGGTTCCAGCTCCAGTGGGCGTCAGCGCCTCTGCGAAGCCCCCCGAGTGAAGGCAGCCTGGCTCGCTCTCCATCGTCACAGGCTCCCCGCCCCCCACCCCCGCCAGGGGTCGGATGGGTCAGTCGCTGGCGTCCAGGGAGCCGCTGCCCCCCAGCCCCCGTCTCCGGCCACCCTCTGCGTCCCCCGCTGGCAATGGAGGCCTGAGTCCGGCTCCCCCCCACGGCCCCAGCTCCTCCGGGCCCCCGGGCCTCACCACACATCTGGCCTCGGTGGGCGGGGTCCAGCCTGAGGAACACCTGCATGAGGGGCACCAGCTGCACCTCCAGCTGCAGCCCGAGGCCCGTGTGCACCAGGATGAAGAAGGTCGAGGGCCTGAATATGGTGATGTTGGCTGTGGAGGGAGGGGCACGGTCCGAGGCGGCCCGAGGCCAGGCCCGGCCACGCTGACCACCAGCGCCTGGGGCTCCGTGCTCCCCGGACGGCCTGGGAGGCGGGGACGGGCTCGGACAGGCGTCCCGTAGCCCCCAGGAGCCAGCAGGAGCTGCCACGCCGGCAGGGGCTGTGACCGCGGACACCCTCCCCTGTCACGGCAAACCAACCCCGGGGTGTCCAGCAGCCGCCCGCGGCCACGGGGAGCCAGCGGGGGCCTCTCTGGACCTGACCCCGCCGTCCCCCGGGCCCCGCACCTGCTGACAGGGGCAGCTGGGTGTAGATGGAGTTCATGAACACCGCGCCGTTGGCCTGGATCCGGATGGTCTGTGGCGGGGCAGGGGGGCGCGGTCAGCGTGGGGGCGCCCCGGGGTGCAGGCGGGGAGCGGGCGGCAGCCCCCCCCGCCCGCCCCGCGCCCCCCCGCGCGCGACGGAGGCCCCTCACCGTGTCCCCGCCGTGCATGCTCAGGGTCACAGTTTTGAGGCAGTTCTCGTCGTCTGTCAGGCCGCATCTCCGCAGCTCGGCCAGCACTGTGAGGCTGTTGTCTGTGCACTTCTGAGGGTGCAAGGAGGGGGGGGGGGCGCTGAGGGTCTGCGCGGGCGCGCCTGCGGTGGCCCTGCGCCACGACAGCCACGCGGCCGCCAGCGGTCGCCTCCAGGCCGCGCATCTCAGGGCCCCGGAGCCCCTCGTCCCCTCTGAGTGTCAGCCCAGGGGCGTCCCCTTGGTGTGGGACCCGGGGGGGGGGGCTGTGGGCGCCCCCCAGTTTGGCCGCCACAGGCCCTCCCGGGGCAGAGAGGGCTGAGGGCCCGGCCGCACCTTAGACAAGACGTAGCTGCAGTCGCCGTGCACGTCGTACAGTTTCTCATCGTAGGTGGAGATGTGGGCGCCGCCCTCCACGGAGCAGGTGCCGGGGCACGGGAGGTCCTCGCACTGCCACAGGCCCCCGGCGCAGGTGCTGGGGGCCGGGAGCAGAGCGGCGGTGAGGGGCGGCGGGGCGGGGCGGGGGCGGGGCGCGGGCACCGCGCCGGGGGCGGGGCCGGGCGGGGCCGGGCGGGGCCGGGGCGGGGCGGGGCGGGGGGCGGGGGCGGGGCCGGGCGGCGCCCTACCAGGAGCTGCAGCTGGTGGTGAAGGAAGCCCCCGGGGCGTAGGTGCGGCCACCGTGGGTGCAGGGGCAGCGGTCGAGGCGCAGGCAGCCTGTGTCCGTGAGGTCGTCCAGCACCGTGCCTGCGGGGGGGAGAGCTGGTCAGCGGCCGCCAGGGTGGGCGCCGGGAGGTGTCCGCGTGGGGGCCAGCCCCTGCGGGCGGGGGCACCTGCCTGGAGGGCAGAAGCAGCCGTCGACACAGTGGTCCTCGCACAGCTGGGAGCGCTCGGGGTTGGAGCAGGTGTCCACGCAGGGCGAGCCGCACTCCTGGTGCCGCATGTTGAGGGGGCACATCCGGGCTGCAGGGGGGGGGGGCGAGAAACGCGTCGGGCCCGCAGGAAGCCACCCCGGGGCCAGGTGGGCAGACAGGCCTCCTCCACGCCCTCCTGCCGTGTGCCACCAGGGGTCCCCAAAAGCCACAACCGGCCTCAGAGCCTCGCTCTCAGGAGCCTCAGCTCTGCCTGTCCCAGCCCCAGCTGTCTCCCGGGTTCCGCCGTGCCTGGGCTGGGTGCTCCGCTGGGTGCCCCGGGCCCCCAGGCCCGGCAGAGTCTGCGGCACACCCGCCCGTCCCCCCTCTGTGTCCCCGGGGGCCCCCCTCTTCACCCCTCCTCAGAGCGGGCACAGGGCCCGGGCCCTGGTCGCGGGCACTCACGGCAGAGGTCGGGGCCCCTCCAGCTCTGCGGCTGGCCCCCTGCGTGGGCACACTGGCGGGAGTACTCGGCGAAGGTGGCACACGGACAGCTGGGGCAGCGGCACAGGTCCTGGGCGCAGGCGGCCACGTACGCCTCAGGGTCCACCAGCCGGTTGCACTGCGCAAAGCCTGGGCCCAGCAGGGTGCGGCGGCAGACGCCCTCCTGGGGAGCACAGGGGCCGGGTGGGGACCCCCGCCGGCGGCCTTCGATCGCCCGGGCAGGGAGCCCGCTTCTCCCCTTGGGACTCCTCCCACCCACCCCCGCCCTCCTGCCCCGTCGCGGAGCGTGCCAGCCCTGGCGCAGAGCCCCGCTGGGCTCTGGAGAGAGACCCACGCCCTGGCCCCGCCGCCGCCCCCCAGGGCTCCAGGACACGCGCGGGGCTCCCAGGAAAGGTGCCCGCCCGGCCCCTGGGGGCGGCTCCCACACGGGAAGGGGCGGTGCCCCGAGCAGGGCAGCCCCCAGCAGAAGGTCCTCCTGCCCCCGCCGCACCCGCTCCAAGGCCTGCTTCAGGGCTTGGGGCTTTTGCTGGTTTAGGGGGCCCAGGGCTTCCAGGCCACTTCCAAAGGCGGGGTTCTCCCAGCGCATCGGAAGGGCTCCCCAAGAGCCCCACTCATGGCAGGACTGTGGGGGGTGTATTTACACACGCCCTGGGCCAGCACCCTGACTCGGGGTCGCCTACACACTTAGATGCAGGGGGGAGTGGGTAGCACAGAGGGTGCACCTTGAGAACGGAGGCGGAGCCATCGGCGCTCCCCCCCGCCACCCCGCCCGCGCCCAGGAGACCCTCCCCCACCCGGCCACCGCGGGTCGCGCCCCAGGGAGGCCCGAGCGGCCCTCAGCTGTCCCCAGCCCTGGGAGGCGGGGGCTGTGGGCAGGCCGCCCCGAGGCGCTCACCTCCAACGTGCAGTTGTCGGCTGGGGAGGGCGGGGGGTCCTGGCACTGCTCCGTGGGCCCATCCAGCTTCTGCAGGTTCCCGAACTGCAGCGGGGTCAGCCTGGCGTCTGCGGAGAGGGGCGCTCTGTGTGGGGGCTCCGCCCGGCGAGGCCGCCCATGCCCAGGGCGCCCCCCACCCTGCCCCACACCCCCGGGCCCCCAGGGACTCTCCGGCCCTCGGGGACCGCACCCGGACCCCGGGGGCACTCACTGTGGCTGTGGAACTCGTTGACGGCCCGGAGCCCGTTGAAGTCCCCACAGAGGCCGCACGTCTGGTTGGCATACTTGGGGTCCAACTCCAGCTGGGGGCGAGGGAGGGGCAGCTCCAGCCTCTGCGGGCCGGCCGGGGCCCCCCGCCGTCCCCCAGCCCGCCGGCCGGGGCCCCCGCAGCCAGGACGGGAGGGGTGGGGGCGGGCATCTCACCAGAGCGCTGTCCTCTCCGTTCCACATGAAGGTCAGCACCAGCCTGATGTTGACCTTGGTGTAGCCGCTGATCCGCTCTACCAGGAGGCCAGCCTGGCTATAGGGCAGCTCCTCCCTGGGGCAGAAAGCACGGTCCTCCCTGGGCCTGGCTCAGGCCGCCCGCCCCGCAGTCCCGGCCCCGGAGCCCGCTGGGGTCCCGGCCCCTCCGGCCGCGCTGGGCTCACCGCCGCCCGTTGATGAGGATGGAGCCGTTGGAGACTTCCAGCACCAGCCCCTGGGCCCGGAGGGTCACATGGGTGATGGTGGGCCTGGAGCCGTCCAGGCCGCGGCGGAGCTGGACGTTGAAGTCCTCGTAGGCGGCCCCGCAGTGCGCGGAGAAGACGTAGTTGCAGCGGCCGGGGAAGCGGAAGATGTCGCCGTCGAAGGTCTTGTAGTGGAAGTCGCCCCACGTGCTGCACACCCGCCCGTTGTGCGCCGGGTTCAGGGCTGCGGGGAGAGCGTGGTGGGGCCCCCGCTGGCCGCGGCGCCGGCCTCGCTCCCCTCAGCGCCTCTGACTCCCCCGGCCCCGGACGCCCTGCCCAGCGCCCCGGGCGGCGCGGGGAGCTGGGCACAGGGGAGGCTCCCGGCCGCGCCCGAGGCTGTCCAGCTGCCCAGCTGCCCCTCACGGTCCCAGCTTTGCCCCAGGTAGGCGACCCCCCGGGCAGGCAACCCACCCCGCCTCCATCAGCAGAGGGCGGCGCCCACTTACGGCTCACGGTGGGAAAGCCGTTGAGGGTGAAGGGCGGGAGGAGGACTGTGCGCTGCTGGGCTGCAGAGGGAGGGCAGGTCACAGTGGCGATGTGGCCGGCAGTCGGGCCCGGCCTGGGAGCCCCTCCTCACGGCCGCCGTGGGGTCGGGAGCCTCCCGCCAGCCCCGACCCACCCAGGGAGCCCAGGGCTAATGGCCGTCCCCTGCTGGAGCCTCCCTGTCGGCCGGAGGCGTACTCCTGCCCTGGGCTTCCGTACGCGTGGGAGCACACTCATGCAGGTGTGTGTGCCTGTGAGCGTGCGCGTGCACATATGTGTGAGTGTATACGTGTGTGAGCATGTGGATGTGCGTGTGCACGGTGCACGCCCGTCAGTGCGGGAGTGTGTGGACATGCATGTGCACACACGGTGTGCGCGTGTGAGCATCCGCTTTGCGTCTTCCTTTTCCTTCTTCTCAGGCAGCCCCCTCCCCTGTCTCCTCCCCTGGGCAGGCGGGACCCGGGGAAGGGCTCCGTGCGCTGCGGATGTGGAAGGGGGTCTGCCCCCGCCAGCCCCTCCTGCCTGCCCCGGCCGCGTACCTGTGTGTAACCTCTGACCGCTCTTGGCAGCCACTGCGCTCGCCCAGCTCAGCTCCCCGCCGCCCTGGCTCTCTGGGGGAGCAGGGGACAGGTCAGGAGGCAGCCGGACAGGTCACCGCCCCCCGGCGGCCTGTTCACGGGGCCCAGGGGCCGGTCTCCGAGGCTGCAGGGTGGCGGCCACAGGAGCAGGCTCTGGCCTCCAGGTCACTCGGGGGAACAGAACACGAGCACCCCCCGCCCCCGCCCCGGGCGGAAGTTTCTGGCCTCTTCGGTGGCCCCATGCTGATCCCCCCTCTAGCTACGAATTCGGGTGGCGCCTCCTCCCTCGTCTGGCAGGTGACAGGGCACAGAATGGAACCAGGAAGAGGCGTTGACCCCGTCCGCCTCAGGGAGAGGGCTCAGCCCCATCCCACGTCCCTCAGGGGAGCACAAAGGCAGGCTTTGTCGGGGAGAAGGACACACTCCGGCGGGGAGGCCTCCGGGCGTGACTTAGCAAAACCCGAGGCCAGAGCGGCCAGGCCTGGCAGCTGGGGGCCTGGAGCCCCAGGGCCGTGGTGGCTGAGGTGGCCTGTGCCCGCCGCCTCCAGGCAGGCCCCCCGGCCGGCCTGACAAGGGCCGAGCCCCAGCCACCTCTCGCTGCCTTGGTGGACGGAACTGAGGCTCAGGCCCCTCGCCGCCAGGTTCGGGGGGCACCCCTTTCGAGGCTCAGGGCCCCGTCCTTGCGCCTGCCGGGAGCCCCTCGCTCAGCCCGGCCTGGGCTCTGAGGGGAGGGCTCCGTGGGGCCCCGGTGGCCCCACAGTGGCCGTCGAGCGGAGCCGCCCTCTGTCACACTCTCCCGGGCAGACCACGGACGCCTGGAGCCCCCGTGGACACTGGCCCCGCACTCGCCTGCCCCCGCCCCGGAGCCCAGCGCCGCCCTCGCCCATCTGCCCCCCTGATCCCAGACCCGCAGCCCCTCCTGCCGGTCCCTCGCCCCTGGCAGCAGCGGCCTCAGCCCCCCGAGAGAACTCAGGTCACTGGCACCCTGTCCTCTGGGTTCCTGGCCGGGTTTCCAGGAGAATCGGCTCCATGCACGGCCCTCCGTGGGCGGGGGCGCCGGCCAGCGAGCCCCCACCGACCCCCAGCAACGGCGATCTGGGCGCACGTCCCCAGGTGTGAAGGCCCTTCCCTCAGGGCCCACCCTCACCCGTCGCTAGTGGAGGCTTCCGCCACGGGGACCCCACCCAGCACGGGGCACCCCCACCCGGCCCCCAAGGGGAGTGGACGGTGGGTGGGCCCACGCAGGCCCACGCAGGCGCAGGGCCCGAGGTCGGCAGGGCCCCGGGGCCGGGAGGAGCCCGTGGAGCGGGGACGCGGCGGCCCAAACCGGCGCCGCAGGCAGCGCCCCAGGACCGCCACCGAGGGCAGCTGTGGGAAAGCCCCCGCACCTCCAGCCCGGCCCACCCCGAGGAAGGGGCCCAGGGCCGGGGCTCGGGGAGACAACGGCTGCCCTGTGCCACCCCCCTCGTCAGCCCGGATCCCCCAGCTCAGGGGGAGGCTCTGAGGGAACAGCCTGCAGGAGCTGAGTGCCGCTGGGGACAGCTGGGGACAGGCGTCACCCAGGCCCCCGGAGGCTGCATCCTTTTGGTTGACTGTGAGTGTGACAGGCAGACGGGGCGAGGCGCCCGGGGAAGGCTGAGTCGCGGGTGTGCTGTGGGGGGTCGGACATGGCTCCCCGCCCTGGCGGTGACTCACCCCTGGCAGCCCTGCGTCCGGGGGACCCACAAGCTGCTGCAGGGCTGCCCGGGGGGCAGAGAGCAGGTGCACCCGTCCGGGCAGGGACGGGGGCTTGTGGCTGCCCTGCCCGTCCCGAGGGGGGCCCGCGGGGAGCAGCGCGACCCCCGGACTCGGGCCCTGCTGGCGCTCACCGCAACCCATCCCTGAGACCAAGGCCCTCTTGGTCTCCCCCGGGGACCCCGCATCTCCAGACACACGGGCCGGGTCCTTCCTGCCTGTCGTTCTCAGCGGGGAGCCCCGGCCGTGAGTGTGGGCGTGGGCCCTGCCTTACCTGCCTTCTGCACCAGGAGCAAGGCCAGCAGGGCCCACACCGGGGCCCGGCACCTGCTCGGGGGGCCCATCCCGGGGACTGGTGGGCGGGGGGGGCGGAGACGCGGGAGCGGGGAGCGGGGTGAGGTGCTCGTTGCCCTGGCGGCCCCGGGGCTTATGTAGCAGCGGGGCTGGCCCCGAGCCCAGCTCCGGGCCACGGGGGCACCGTCCAGGCCGACGCGCCAGCCACGTGTGTTTGCCCTCGGGGAGGGGCCGAAGCGGGAGGGTGGCGTGGAGGAGGGAGGGCCACGGCTCTGGGCCCAAGGACGCAGGACCCCTGCCCCCAGCAGCTTCCGAGAACCAGCAGGGAGAGGGGGTGCCCGTCCCCCGACGCCACGCCCGGACAGCACTGCTGGCGGCCCTTGTCGCCTGCAAAGCACCCACAGGCTGGTCGCCGGGCGGTCCTGCCCGCCGCCGCCCCCGCCTCATTAGGGGGAGGGTGGCCAGCACATGCCTCACTCTCAGCCCCGTGTCCAGCCCCGCCCGGGACCCTGGTGGAGGCTGAGGTGGGGGGGAACGGGGGCAGCAGGCCTCGGCCCCCCCGCCTGTGCCAGGGCGGGGAGGGGGCTTCGGGCTGCGAGCTCAGGGCCCACGCGCCGGCACACACACAGCCCCGGGCCCTGCGGCTCCACGGCGGGGGCGGCCGGTCAGATGTGGGGGGCCAGGCGCCTGCTGGCTGCTCGCGGGGGTCCCAGGAGGAGGCCTGTGCCCAGGAGCCCTACATGCTGACCGGTGCCCCTTGCCGGTCTCTGGGCTCCTGTGTGTCCTCAGGCTCAAGTACATGGGGACGCAGGGCCTTGAGAGTGGACATCCCGGTCATGCGGCGGAGAGTTGGCCAGCACCTGTCCAACGCCACCGTGGCCAAGGCAGGGCGGGAGCGGCCAGCCTGGGGCCCCACCTACCCCGCTGCACTCTGCTGGTGGGCGCCCTGGACCCGCCGGGGGCCCTTGGCCCGCAGCTGGCCACACAGGGACCAATGTGTAATGGCAACATGCCCCTCAAGGCCCCAGGGGGCCGACGGGGTTACCTCGGGGGGCCCCGGGGCGTCTCCCCCCGTACCTGCCCCGCGTCAGAGCCGCAGCAGCCCCGCTCCCCGCTGCCCAGCCGGGGGACCGCGGGCCACATGGTCCCAATGCCCCGCCTCCTCGCCCCCTGGCTCTCACAGGGCCCTTTGGAAGGGACGGGCAGGAAGCGCCGGGTCCCTTCCCGGGAGCAGCGCCTTGGGCTGGCGGCAGGTGGTTTCCGGGTGGGCCGTGTGGCGAACAGAATGGGGCCCGGCGCCCGACTCGCCGAGGCCGCGTTTGCCGCCCCGTGGCTGCGGGGCCCGCCTGGGTCGATGGCCCTGCGCACGGGGCCCGAGCCGGGCGGGAGGCCTGCGGGCCTCCGCGCGGCCGACTCCTGCCCCCGGCGGCCACCGCCAGCCCGCTCACTGCTGTCCCCCCCCCAGGTGGCACATCCGGGGCCTGGTGCCTGGGTGTCCAAAGCTGTCCCCCCCGGCCCAGGTGTCCCCCCGCAGGCGGAAGGGCGCAGCGGGGGTGGGGGCCTCTGGGGGAGGCGGGGTGTCCTCGCGGGACAGGCCTGGAGGCTGTGCCCTGTGCTTCCTCTGGCAAACAGCCGGCACTGGGTGGTACAAAGAGCTGGTGCTTGGTGATGCCCAGTCTCTAGGGTGGGGTGGGGGCGGGGGGCGCGCACTGCCTGGACCGCTGGCAGCAACGCCCCCGGGACCCTGGGGGAGCTGGGATCTGTGGCCCTGCGAGGCCTGCGGAGCGGGGGCTCCCTGCCGCTCCCCTGGCCCTCAGCTCGCCCTCCCATGAGCGCCTCCCGGCTCGGGCGGCGGAGACGTGCGGCCCAGTTTCCTGGCTGTTGAGACATCCCGGATGCGCCCCGGCCCAGCCTGTTTGCTCAGCCAGTTTACCCCTTCACACTTGAGGGAGCCCAGAACAGAGGCGGGGGGCGGCGGCCTGCGGGGAGGGAGGGCTGGGCCGGGGCCTCGCGCAGCTCCCGCCGCTCCGCTGCGAGGCTCTGCCAGGCGGCGCGGTGCCAGGAAGGGCTGCCTCGGCACACCCTGCCTCACTTCAGCCCCGGGCGGCGGCACGGGGAGCCGCACTGGGCCACACGGGGCCCGGGGCGATGTGGCCCCAGCTGCGAAGGAAGACCCCCGCCAGCGTACGGGGCGGCTTCCCTGGCCTGCCCCCAGCCCTGGCGGACACGGGCCTCCCAATGCCCCCCCGACGCCCACCCGCAGTACAGTTCAAGGGCACCTGAGCGCCCCGGCCTCGGGCATTTATTGAGTGCTGGCTGTGTGCCCAGCTGGCCCCCGGGCCCCCGGAGGGTCCAGAGGGTTGGGCACAGCCCTGGGAGGCACAGGTGGGGCTGCTGCAGGCCCCAGAGTGCCCGCCCGGGGCGTCTGGGGTGGGGCGTTTTGGCCCCCCACCCCTCGCTGCCTCCTGCTCCCCAGAGGGCTGCATGGATGGGGGCGGCACCAGGGCTCCTGCGGCCCTGGTCTCCGTGCTGAGGGCCACACCCCCGGTGCACGGGGGCCGGGGGGGGGCCCAGAGCTGTGACCCAGTGCGGGCTGTGAGCCAGACAAGTCCAGGGCTGGGTGGTCCAGGCAGGGAAATGCCTCCGGCCCTGGGCCTCGGGGTGGCCCAGCCTGGTCCCTGCCCCAAACACACTCGGGGTGTGTCCAGCAAGTCTCAGGGCACCAGTCTGGTCCAGAAGAAATGGATGGAGGACATATTGGGCCACTGTGGCCCCCAGACCCTCTGACGCTAATGAGCACCTGGGATGTGGGGTGCAGTGAGGGGGCCGTGGCAGCCCTGCTGGGCAGCGAGGCTGAGGGGGATGGGCAGGTCGCCCTCCACCTGAGCAGCCTGGTCCCAGGGCTGCTCCACCATGTGACCAGCCCTGCCTGGGGCTGCCAGGATGTGGCGACCCCTTCCCCCGAGGCCCCCCCCCACCCCATGTGACGACTGTGACCTGATGGCCTGGTCTGCACGCAGGTCCCTTCCCTGGCTGCTTCCCCTCTGTGAGGGTGGCCAGTGACGCAGGCTGGGGACGCGTTCACAAGGAGGGGGAAGTGCAGAGAGTGAAGCCTTCCTTTTACTTTCCCGAGGGAGGGAAGGGCCGGGCGCTGTGGGCTTTTACTAGGCAGCTGGGTGGTCCTGCAGCCGGGTGCTTCGGTCGGCCTGGTGGCGGCTGCGGCCTGGCTCCGCGTCTGTCTCTTTGGCGACAGGGTCGGTCCCTCGGTGCCGCGGCTGTGGCCTGGCCCGGCCCGCCTCCTCCCGTAGCCCCGCGCGCTCAGGGCTCTGCCGGTAATTTTCAGCTCCTGAGGACAGAGGCTCCCTAAACACTCAGGGTCGGTCATGCTTTATGGGGTCCAGCCAGCTCCGGGAAAGGGGCCTGAGAAAGGGGCTTTTGTCCTGTTACCTCTCTCCTCCACCCCCTTCCCCTCCTTCCAGCGAGCCGCGCGGGGCCCTGGGCCCTGTGCGTTCCAGGGGGACGGGGAGCCCAGGACCCGCCGGGGGGGCCTACAACGCGCACCCACAGCCTTTAGGGCAGCAGCAGGAGCCTGAGGGGCCGAGGGGCTCACAGCGTTGGGGCGAGGGGGCTGCCGAGTGGAGGGAGGAGGGGGCCGCGCCTGCAAAGCCGGGATCGGGTCCCCCAGGGAGGGGCAGCAGGGGCGCGTGTGGCCCCCTGGAGGGTCTGAAGGTGGCTGGGCCGCAGGCCTGGGGCGGGCGGAGCCCGAGATGAGGGTGGCTCGGTCAGATGAGGGAGGACTGGGGTTTGCTCCCAGTTTGGGGGGGGTGGAGCGCTTAACGCAGGGAAGCCCCAGGGGAACGAAATTCACCGTTTTAACCACTTTTTAGAGTACATGTAGTGGCGTTAGGCCCATTGATGGTGTTGTACAACCTTCACCAGCGCCCACCTCCGAAACGTTCTCTTCCCCCAGGGAGAGAATCCACTGGACACTCCCCGCCCAGCGCCCGGGCCCCGGACCCCACCACCTGCTTTGTGTCTCTGGATCTGACCCCTAGGGACCTCCTGTGAGTGGGGTCACACAGTGTCTGTCCTCCCGGGTCCGGCTCGTCCACGCAGCACGTGTCCCAAGGCCCATCCACGCCGGAGCAGGGGCCAGGCTAAGCGGGAGTCTGCCGCGTGGGTGGGCCGCGTGCTGCGTGTCCAGCCTGCGTCCGTGGGCGCGCGAGCTGCTTCCGCCGTGTGTGTGTTGTGACTACCGCTGCCGTGAACGTGGGGGCCAAGAATCTGCTCGGGTCCCTGCTTCTGTTTAGACCCAGGAGTGGACGTGCTGGGTCCCCTCGCGGCTCCGTTGGACTGTCTGCGGACTCCCCGAACGATGTTCCACAGCGCGGCGCGTTTTCCGTTCCCAGCCGCGGCGGACGGAGGCCGGGGCCTCCGCGCCCGCTGGCCCGCGCGCTGGTTTCACACCCCCGTGGGGGGAGGCAGCACCTCGCTGTGGTCCTGATTCGCAGTGGTCTAAGGGCTGTTGATGTGGAGAATCATTTCCTGTGTTTATTAGCTGTTTGCGTATCATCTTAGGGGAAAGGTCTGTTCAGGTCCTTGGCCCATGTCTGGGTTGGGGTGTTTGGGTTTTTATTGTTGCTCTTAAGTTCTAGGACTTACTAACTTTGTAAATATTAATATAAATGTTTGCAAATATTTTCTCCGCCCTGTGGCTGCCTTTTAACTCTTCAATACTGGCCTTGGACACACACGAGTTTTTCTCTTCTTTGCTTATTTATTTTCAGAGAGGGGAAGAGAGGGAGAAAGACAGGGAGAGGAACGTCCACGTGTGGTTGCCTCCGGCGCGCCCCCCACTGGGGACCTGGCCCGCAACCCTGGCCTGTGTCCTGCTCTGGAAGGTTTTCATTTTGATACAGTTCAACTTACCTATTTTGCTTGTGCTTTTTGGGTCATGACCAAGGAATCGTGGCCAAATAAATATGTCACAGAGATTTCCCCCATTTCTTCCGAGAGTTTTATAACCTTGGTTCTTCCATTTAGGCCTTGGATGTATCTTGAACTAATTTTCATACGTGGTGAGAGGCACAGGTCCCGCTCCCCAGCGCCATTTGCAGAAGGGACCGTTGTTCTGTTACGGACACCCCCCCCCGAAAATCGGTTCTCCTCGCTGACACCGTGGCGAATTACAGATCAGCGAGTTACAGATCTGAGCGTGCGGGCAGGTGGCGTGGGCTCAGGGAAGGGAGGCCGCACCGAGGGTGGGGAGGAAGGCGAGAGCGAAGGCGGCGAGGGCAGGGGCGAGCCCTGTGCCACGAGGGCTCCAGCCGGCGGGCGCCGGGGGGCGGGGGCGGGCGCCGGGGGGGGGCGGGGGCGGGCGCCGGGGGGGCGGGGGCGGGCGCCGGGGGGGCGGGGGCGGGCGAAGACGGTCCCTGTTGAGGGACCGGTGAGGCGCCAGCTTCGGGGGCGGGGCGGACGCCCGGGGCGCCAACGGGCTTGTTCCTCGGGGCCCTGGGGCCCCCCTCTGGCCTTTCTGGCCCTGCAGTGAGAGCACCGTTTCGAAGGCTTTGCCTCGCAGACGGCAGGGAAGATGCGCAGGGCCCAGGGGCTCCCGGCGAGACGGTGGGGCCCGGCCCGGAGTCACCGGGGGAGCCGCGTCCCTGCCGCTCCCTGCTCGGTCTGCCTGGGCTACCTGGCGCGTCCCCCGCAGGGTCTGCAGCCTGGCCGAGGGCGCCCCCCCGCGGGGGCCCGGGCTCCTTCCTGGCCCCCGGGGTCCGCTCCGCGGGCCTCCGAGTCTGGCTTCAGGCCGGGCGGTCGGTGCTTCGAGCGACTCGGCTTTGCACTCGGTTTTGAAATCAGGAAGCTTGAGTCCTCGGGCTTTGTTCTTTTCATCGGGAATGTGCTGGCTGTTCAAGGTCCCTGGAGATTCTGTATGAATTTGAGGATGGATTTCTTTTTATTCCTACCCCCCAAAAAAACACCATTGGAATTTTGATAGGACTTGACTTACCTCTGTAGGTCCCTTTGGACGATATTATTCTCTTACCACTGTTACCATATTTTGCCGTGTCTAATGGGCACTTTTTTGCCCCCAAAATAAGGAAAAATGAGGATGCGCATTCTACGTGGGTAGTACTGATTCCATACCTATATAAATGCTTTTAATTCTTTTAAAAATTTCTTGTACCTCGTAGCTGTTCTCGTGTTTTGTAATTGTTTGTTATGTAAGATTTCTTGCACCACAATATGTTCAAAAAAATAATAACTGCTACAATTCCTTTATAAGACAAAAACCAAGCCTCTGAATATAAATAAATAAATAATTGAACCAAAACATTGAAATCAAAGATTTTCCCCCCCGAAAGTTAAACGTGGGTGCGCATCATACACGGCAAACATACGGTGAGCCCTCAGAGCCCCGAATGTGGGCTGCATTCCTACTTACGTACGTGTGCTTTCATTTCTTTCAGCGGCGTTTTGCTGTTCTCGGTGTGCAAGTTTTCCTTTGCCTCTTTGGTTAAACGCATGCCTCACGTATCTGGGTGCTTTCCGCGCTCCTGTGAACGGGGCTGTGTGCGTCACCTCCCTCGCGCGGTGCTCGTTGCTGGTGGAGAGCGCCCTGAGGGACCCCGGTACCGCAGCCGGAGCCTGTCCGGGCGGCCGGGTCAGAGCGCGCCGCAGGCCTCAGCAGCTTCAGGAGGACAGAAGTGTGTTTCTCACGGCGGCGGGGGCGGCGGCTCCCGGGCCGGGCAGTGGGGTCCGGCCGCGGGAAGGCCCTCTCCCCGGCCGCAGCCTCTGCTGTGAGGCACCGCCCCGCTCCCAGCTGCAGCACCCCCCAAAGACCCCCATACACTGTCACCTCCGGGGCCAGGACGTGAACCCTTGGATGCAGAGGAAACACACAGAGCGCACAGCAGCCCAAGGAGGCTCTTTTGGTGGAACTCTCAAAGCTTTTTATGCATCGATCACGTCGTCTGTGACTGGGCATGGTTTTACTTCACCTCCAACCCGGCGCCTCTCGCCCCGCCCCCTCCGCCCTGACCCCGGCTCCGGCCGGGCCGCCCGGGACTGGGCTGAGTGGACGTGGCCGGAGCGGACGTGGCCAGGGCGGCGCCCCTGCCTCGCTCCTCGTCTTGGGGGGAAACGTTCGCCTTTCGCCGCTGACTTGATGTTGGATGCCGGTTTTCTGTTACAGCTTTTATTACGTCGAGATGGTTTCCTCCTGTTCTAGTTCATTTAGGTTTTTTTTAAAATTATGAAGGGGTGTGGAATTCCAGCACGTTCGTTTTCCGCCTCGGTTAGGACAATCACGTGGGGCTCGTCCCCTTCACTCTGTTAACGCGGGCGTGGGCTGGCTTCATACGCTGAACCCCTCTTCCATCCGCAGAATAAAACCCACCTGGTCGCGGTGTGCGGTCCGCCCACCGACCCCGCACCGGTGTGCGGGCATTCGGCTGAGGAGTTTTGCCTGGACACTCACAAGAGATACGGGTCCATAGTTTCCTTGCATGTCTTTTTTTTAGTTTGGTCCCAGGGTGAGACTGCCTCACAGGAGTGAGTACATGTCCCTTCCTTTACCGTTTCCTTGGAAGCATTGGAGAAGTATTTGTGTTAATTCTTCTTTAAATGTTTGATAGGTTTCACCAGTGAAGACCTCATTGTGGACTTTCATTCATTGGGACTGTGAGGGATCCTGATCCAATCTCATTACTGGTTATAGGTCTATTCAATTTGTCTATTTCTTCATGAGTCAGTTTTGTTAGACTGTGTGTTTTATGAACATGTCCATGTCTTCTATTTGTTCAAAAATATTCTTTTTAATAATAGCTTTTCGGTAATCAGTAGTAATGCCCCTTTCATTTCTGACTTTAGAATCTTGAGTCTTCTTTTTTTTCAGTCAGTCCGGTTAAAAGTTTGTCAATTTTGTCAAACCTTCAAAGAACCAATGTTTGGTTTCTTTGATCTTCTCTACTGTTTTCTATTCTCTATTTTATTTATCTCTGTTCCAACCTAATTATCTCCTTCCTTTAGGAAATAACTCCTTTTGTTTTAGGTTTAGTTTTCTCTTCTTTTCTAGTTTCCTAACATGTGCAGTTAGGTTATTGATGTAAGGACTTTCTTCTTTTTTATGTAGGTATAAGTTTTCCTGTTAGCACTTCCTTTGGCGACCCTCACAGCTTCTGTGTTTTTCAAATTCCCCTCTAAGTGTTTCCCAATTTCTTCTTTGAATTGTTTTCTTAAAAGTGTGTTGTTTAATTTCTACACATCTGTGCATTTTACAATTTTACTTCTATTATTGATTGGAAGCTTCATTCCTTTTTGGTTGGAAAATAATACTTTTACATGATTTTAATCTTTTAAAATTTATTGAAACTTTTTTTGGAGCATTGCATACCATTGATCATGAAGAATGTTTCCTGTATCCTTGAGAAAGATGTGTATTCTGCTGTAATTGGTTGGCGTGTTCTGTATATATATATATATATATATATATATATACAGAACAATTGGTTTCCAGTATTGTTAATGTCCTTTATTTCCTTATTGATCTTTCCTTATTGATCTACAAGCCAAAACTACATACAAGAACAGTGGCTTTTATATTTACTCACATGTTTGGCTTTACTGGAAATTTGTTTCTTTATACAGCTTTAGTTCACTGCCTCATGTTCTTCAGCTTCAACCTGAAGGACTTTGTTTCTTCTGCGCTCCGTGTGGGGTAGGTCCGGTAGCAATGAGCTCCCTCAGTGTTTGCTGACTCGGAAATGTCTTGATGTCCCTCCCGTTTCTGAAGGAGCGTTTCGCCAGATGCAGACGTCTTTGTTCCCTGTGCTGTCTGTCGGGACTTCGACTGTGACACTCGCTTTCGGGACCCCAAGGACCCTCACACCGAATGGGCTAATAGTCCTATGGAGAACGTCTTCTACGTGACAGGTCGCTTCTCTCTTGGTGCTTTTACGATTTTCTCTTTTTCTTTCAACAGTGTGGTGACAATGTATGTCCGAAGGCGTCTCTTGCTTGCAGTTTGTCCTACGTGGAGTTTGTTGAGCTTCGTGGAAGTTTCCAGCATTATTTCTTCGCATCGTATTTCCGTCCGCCTCTCCTCGTGGCTGGGGCGTCCGCTGTGCGTGGGCTGCCCTGCTTGACGGTGCCTCGCGGCTGCTTCTGCTCTGTTCCCGTTTCTTTACTCTTCTTTCTGCTCCCCAGACTTAGTAGTTGTAGTTGTTCTGTCTTCAGGTTTGTTCAGTCTCTCTTCTGCTTGCTCATGTCCGTGGTTGCGCCCCTCTAGTGGATTTTCCATTTCAGTTGTAATTCCTGACTCTGGCATTTCTGTTTCTTTTTAAAAATAATTTTCACTTTTTTGTTAATATCTCTTTTTGTACATGTGTGTTTTCCCTTATTTCCCTCGGCTCTTTGCCTACATTTTCCTTACCTCTTTGAACGCCGTTTAAGACAGGTGTTTGAAAGTCTTTGTCTCATAAGACTGATACTGGGACTTCTCAGGGATGATTTTTGTGAATTTATTTTACTCCTTTGAATGGGCCATATTTTTTGTTTCTTCGTAAGTCTTGTGATCTTTTCGTTGAAAACTGGGGAGTTCACTATTATAATACAGTCACTGGAAAGCAAATTCTTTCCCCCTCCACGTCTGCTGTCTTCTCTCTCTCTCTCTCTCTCTCTCTCATCCTCTCTCACACTCTCGCTCTCTGTTTCTTGCTTTTTCTGTTGTTGCTGTTATTGTTGAAGGCAGTGTTGGTCCATTTGTTTTGAGACTTTTCCAAACAACTTTTACAAAGACTATTCCTTGTTGTGTGTGATCACTGAAGTCTCTGATCCTTTAGTTCATGTTTAGCTAATGTTTCGGCAATTTACGTGAATACCAGGAGCTTCCCCAGGCTCTGTGGCCTAGTTCTGCGGAGGTGGCCCTGCAGCACATAGAGAGTAGACCTGCTCCGAGCCTGGGGGTCTGCCCAAGGTGGTTCTGTGTGAGTCTGGCCTCCTCAATTCCAGTGTATGCATGCCTGCTTTAGGATGTTCTAACTGTCCAACAACCTGACTTCAACTTCTCCAGGCATTAGGTGGTCTACTGATGCCTCGCCCTGTAATCTCTTGCCCCAGGAGTCTGTCACTTAGTAGCTGTTATGAGCAGCGCCTGCTGCTTTTGCCCCCTGAATTTCAGGTAAAGCAAAATGGAGATGAGCACCTTGCACGAGTCCTTCAGATACCCACCGAGCAGTTTAGGACAGAGTACACGGCAAAGCGCGGTACAGAGCGCACGGCATTCTCTGCTCCTGCAGGCGTGCGCAGTGGGCGGTGGGATAGGGACCAGCCCGGCAATTCAAGACCAAGACTGCCAGTGCGCAGGGGCAGGGGCTGCGAGGGCGAGCAAAACCCCAGCGTGCCACAGAACGCGCTTCCCGCTTCGCAGGAGGTCTTCTCTGGGCTGGACGTTGGCTTGGTGGCTGTAAACCTTTGGCTCTCTTCCATAGTTCTGACAAAGGTGGTTCCTCTTTCTTTTTTTTTTCTGAACATTTCTGGGGAAAGGAGAGTGCAGAGCTTCCCAGTCCACCACGTTGCTCATTGCTGTATGTTTTTAAAAAGATTTATTCTGAAAAATAGCAGTTCATGAGGCCGTACTAATTTAAGTGAGTGAAGAAAAATAAATAAATGGGAGTGGAAAGTCCTTTCTGCCTCAGGATGCCAACAAAGAGGGGGGACGTGACTGGGGCAGCCTCGGTGGGTCCCCGCGCCAGCGGTGATGGGCTGACAAGTGGCGGGGAGCTCGCAGGGGCCCCCGGCACCCCCCAAACCCTTACCCAGTCCAAGGGGAAAACGGCGGCTCTCCAGGGCAGAAACCCAGCACACGAGGGACGAAGGTGCACCTCCCAGAGGCGGGTGCACCGGGCATCACGGGCCTCGGACGCCAAGGCCCCAGAAGGACACAGTTCACACGAGGCCCCTGCCGGACATCTGCCCGAGCCGGGGCTGGAGGGAGCCGCCCGCAGGCCCGGACCCGAGGGCGCCGCGCAGCACGGCCACCGGCACCCCTCACACAGGTCGCGGCCAAGCAGCAGAGGAAGACTGAGGACAGGTTCCAGAGCAGAGGGGACGTAAGGTGCAGTGCACGTGGGTCATGTGGTCCTGGGTCCGCCCTGGCCTGGGGGACATGGACACAGTCAGGACAACAAGATGGTGGCTGAGGGTGACGTGTCATCCTTGACTCCACTGACGTGACCCCTGCCCTGTTCCCAGGAGACACGTGCCCCCCTATTTAGGGGGAAGTGGCATGCTTCTCACATACGAGAGGCTCACAAAGCCCACGTAGACATGGGGAGGGGGAGGGGCGCACACCTGAGCAAACAGGGAAGGGGAGGGAGAAGCAGGCGGGCGCCTGAGGCCTAGTGGGGGCGGGCGGGCAGGCGCCTGCGGCCGTTTCTGCAGGTTGTCCCTACGCTGGAAACCCCGCGGACGCCCCACGCTGGCCGGGGTTTGGGCGGACGAGAAGTGGCCTCCACGCTGCGGCCCCGCAGCGGGCCCGAGGGAGGGAGCTGCTGTGAGTGGTGGGTCTGGGGAAGGGAGGGCCGTGGGAAAGGGGGGGGCGGGGGGGGCAACGAGAGATGAAGCCTGGGGGGCCGGGAGGACACAGGAAGGGCTGCGGAGGGGCGTGCGCTCTGCCTGCGTGGTCAGCAGGTGGGTATGTGGTGGCGGCTCTGTGGCGGTGGCCCGGCGGGCCCCCCCGGGCTTCGCCCTCCCCCCTCTTCCCCTTCGCCCAGCCCTGGTGACTCCCCTGGAGAAGCAGCACCCGGGGTGAGGCCGGGTTCGCAAGGCCCCCCAGAAGCCCCCCGCAGGGAGCAGAGCCAGGCCAGCGGGGCCAGGCGCAGCCCGTGCGGCCCAGGACGGCCCGGCGTGGGCAGGGCGGGTGTGGGCGGAGGAGGAGGCCAGGCGGCCCTGGGCCCTCGTTTGCTGGGGATTAAGGCAGCACAGTGCCGAGCAAACAGGAGCGCGGCCCATGCCCAGGGGCCAGCAGCAGAGATTAACCGAGTGTCGGTGGGCAAACAGGCCCGCCCGTCCCTCCAGGAACCCCGGTGTGGACTCAGCGCCCGCAGAGTTTGCAGAGCTGCCCGGACACAGCCCCTCATAGCCCCGGGCCACTGCCCTCCCCGCTGGTGCTGACAGAGGCTGGGGGTGCGCACGCACGCCCAGCCCCGCCCGCCACCCTGGCCCATCCGGCAGCCCAGCCGCAGGGCCGGGCGAGGCCCGGGCACTGGGAGAGGGCGGCTGCGGGACGCGCTGCCCTCCTGGGCCGCCCCACCTTGCCCTGGCTCGGGCTCCCGGGGCGGGGGAGGCAGAATGGCAGGGCACAGCCCCCGTTTCAGGCCCGTCCCTCGGGAGGGACTCGAGCCCAGGTGCGATCTCCAGCTTCCCCAACCTCACCTTGCAGTTTGGGGGGAAGGCCAACGGAAGCTCCCTCGCACCCAAATACCTTATCTGTGTTCTATCGGGGCCTGGGTTGTGCCCCCTTGTCTGAGATGTGGCCCACACCCATGGAGCCTGGGGCACAAACGAGGCTTGGGGGACAGAGGTGATGCGCGGGGGCCTGGGCCACGAACCCCAGGCCACCCCGAGGTGCCCTGGCCAGCGGTTGGCGTGCTTGGCCTCTGAGCTGCGGCCCCGCTCAGGAGGGGGCGGCATCCGGCGTGGGCAGGGTGGCCAGGGAGCACCCGAGGGGCACACACAGGGATCCGCCTTTGCGGGTGCAGGAGGGGCCTCTGCCCACCAAGCTGCCCAGCCCTCCGTCCCGGACACCGGGCCAGGGGCTGTGTGAGCGGCGCACCCCGCGGCCCAGCGCGTGATTGCCGCCCTCGCTTCTTCAGAAACGCAGCTGCAAGCCAGCCAAGAGTCCGTGCTGCCCTGCCAGGAGAGGCGCGGCCACGGAAGCGCAGGCAGCGCGCACTCCACACGCCGGCACGGCCACGTCCTCGCTGCGTGGGCTCCGGGCCTCGAGCAGGCCTTGCTCCCCCGTGGCTGTGCTCTGGGGACGGTGGCCCCAGGCCTGGGGGCGGGGTCTCACGGGGCCACTCCCCGCAGGGCCCCAGCTCTTGGTTTGCAAGAGACGCTCATGGTGCCCTCAAGGGACAGAGGAAGCTCGGGAACCTCCACAGGCGCAGCACGCGGCTGCTGCACGGAAAGAGCCTGGCCGGGGGAGGCCAGCGGGGAACGCAGGCCCCACCCCAGAGGGGGACGCCCGGCCCGACTTCTGCTGCGCCCTCCGGCGGTGGGGGCTCCCGGTCGGGGGTGGGGCTGCAGGCAGCGGCCTGAATCTGGAGACCGGGTTGGGGGGAAGCCCCCCACCATGAGCTTGACGTGGGACTTGTGAGCCTGAGTCGACACGACCTGAGGCTCTGGCCGCTGCTGCCGCCTGGGGACCATCTCGCCACCCAGCCCCCGGGCCACCCCTTGCTTAGGGCCTTTCAAGGTGGGCCGCACCCGCTGACAAGCTGGGGCCCCCGGGCGCACCGCCTGCACCTTCACTGCGTGGAGGGGGAGGGGCTGTGTTGCTCATAGAAGGTGGGGGGGCCCTGCGCCTCGCTCGGAGGGCGGGGCGGGGTTCGGGCAGACCCCTCGGTGCCTGTTGACGGGCAGTGGCTTGGCCGCCCGCCCTCTGCTCCTGGCACCAAGCTCCCTGAGCCCCGTGGGGCTGCCGGCCTCGGACGTGGGGCCTGCTGGTTGGCTGCGTCAGCCCTGCCTGCCCTGCCCTGAGGGTCCTTCCTGGGCCCCCCTGCGGGCCCCACCGGGCAGTCCCCGCTCCACCCCTGAGGCCCCGGGGAAGGGGCGCCGGGCCCGGCGGGGCCCCGGGCTGACCCCACAGCCTAACGGTCCTTTGTCCACACGTCCTGGTGGTTTTGACTTGCAGCTCCGGGCCTATTCCAGTCACTCCCATGTTCCTTGGAACCTCAGTCGTCAGGACATTTTCTTCTGGGACAGGGGACACGTGGGGACAGGGGCATGTGGGCTTTGTGACAGTAACACTTCATGTCTTATTTTTTTATTCCATTCTGTAAAGAAATGAAAACCCAGGGTGACCCTCAGGTGGCTGGAGGTGCGTGGAGAGGTGACCGAGAGGGGAGAGACCAGGAGGGGCCCGTCTCTGTGACCGTGCGGCCGCCGCCGCTGCCCGCTGGCCGGGCCTCCTCGCGTGCAGGCAGCCAGAAGCCTCGTCTCCCCCGCGGCGTCCAGTCCTCCGGCCCCAGGCCCCGGGTCGGCCAGGCCCACGCTCTGCGGACCCTCCCGGATGGGCCCGGACACGAGGGCTGGGGGCTCCGTGGGCCTGACCCCGGCGTGTGACCCCGCCCACCCGCCTGCCTGACCTCTGCACCTGGGTCCAATGGTCCAGCGGCCTCGCGACCCCGTGCCAAGCCCCTCCCTGCCCCCTCCCCCCCCCCGCGGCGTGTCCGGTCCCTTCACCTACACCCACCTCTGGGCCACAGCACGCTGTCGCCTTCACTTCCCACGCCTCTTGACCCTCCTGCCCAGTGCTCCCCACCCCCAGCGGGTCCCCTGTCTCTTCCACTGCCCAGGGTCGAAGGACCCGCCTGAGCTGCCCTCGCTCACAGGCATGGCCTGGTCTTCGCCGCAGCGGACCCTTTCCACCCCCCTCCGGAGGCCCCGAAGGTCCCAACTCCCTGCCTGCCACACATCAGGCCCTGCTGGGCTGGGCCGCCCTCCCTCAGACCCCAGCCATCGAAGGCTGCCCCCCCCCCGCCTTCCCTTGGTCCCCTTTCCTGCCCTCCCCCCGGGCAGGAATCTGTCCCCTCGGCTCGTGCAGTGAGCACCCAGCACCGAGCACCCAGCACCCAGAGCCCCCGGGCGGGGCAGCGGGCACGACTCGTCCTCACAGCTGGCTCCTGGGGTCCACTGACACCGTGGTGTGCCGATGGCCCCGGTCCCACGTTCGCCGTGCCCTCCCACCCCCCGTTGGCAGGGCAACGCCCTCCTTGTCCTTCCTTGTCACAGTTGACTGGATATTTGAGGATGCTGACATTCAAGCAGATTCTACAGGGAGCCTGCCAACTTCCCCCGAAGACCGCGCCCGGCCGCTCCATCGGAGCCGCGCTGACGCAGAGCTGCCCCCCACTTCCGGGGCTCGGGTCCTGTTCCGCGCCCCCGCCCCTGCCCGGGGTGTGGCCATCCTGCTGGGTCCCACGGTGGCTCGGGCGCTGCTGCAGAGGCGGCTGCCTTCTGAAGACGCGGCCGTCGGGGCCGGGGGCGTGGCGACGAGCTGACTTCAGGGCTGCCCGGGGCCAGCCACCGGCAGGGCCGCGCTGGTTCCTCTGCTCAACACGCCCCGTCCCCCAGGCTTGGCTGCAGGGGGGCGCCCCGCACGGTGTCCCTCATGTTCCCGCCGACGCGGAAGGCCCTCCTGGCCCTGGGGTGAGTGGCCAGCGCCCGCCGGCTGCCCCCTTGTCCGTTCCCCAAGTCCAGGAGCCCTCACTTGTCCCCAAAGTCTTTCTTGGGTCTCTGTCCCCAGGGCTTAGCTGGCCGCCCTGAGGCCCCTGTGCCCATCGCCTGCTGGGGCCAGGCCTGTGCCCAGGCCCCCAGCTCTGAGAGGTCACCCCACTGCCCCGGGCCCTGGTCTGTGGCTGAAGAGATCAGGGCTGCAGCCCGTGTGCCTGGAGCCAGGCCGGCGCTGGGCCCCAGCTCGGACCTCAGACCCAGCAGCCTTCCCCAGGGAATCGGTGCCAGCGTGGGAGTCCGCAGCTCCGAGTGTCTTGGGTGTAGGGAGGGCGTGCTGGGGGCAAAGGTCAGGGGGTGGCTGGGACCTGACCTGCCTACCACGGTCCTAGGCTTCTCTGGGAACCCCCATATGTGGCTGCAACTGGTGTTCCCTGGTGAGGGACACCCCTTCTCCGTCGGACTGGGGCCGGCGCGGGCGCCACGAGCGGGCCGCAGGAGGGGGCTGTGGCAACGCCCCAGGCCTCCCCTGGCCACGCGCCCAGGCCCCGGGAGCCACAGGTCCGCCCCCGCCCCTCCGGTGTCCGGGACAGCGAGGGGGCCCAGGCCTTGGCCCGGAGGAGCCACCCCTGTGGACTGAGCGGTGTGGTGGCCTCCGTGGGCCACGCCCCGCTTTGTTGCTCTTTCCGGAAAGGAAGGGGCAACTTGCATAACCTGGCGGGGGCTGCTGGGGCCGCGGTGGGCGGGCGGCTATCTGGTTACTTCCTGCCGGCCAGCGGCCTCAGTTCCAGGCAGGGGGCCGTGTGCTCCGCGGGGGGTGGGGATTAGTCACGGGGGTGGAGGTCGTCCCGCCCCAGAGGGAAGGGCGGCTCACTCGCTCTGACAACCGATCCCCTCCCATGGGCAGGGACGCTGATTAGGCGTCTCCTGAGGCTGCGGGGTCACGGGCACTGGGGCAGCGGCCCTGGAGCCGGGGGCCCAGAATGTCCCGCTCCTGGAGTGGGGGTGTCCTGCCACCCTGGGGCCACGTCCGGGCCCGAGGGGCTGCCTGGCCTCTGGCCGCCGACCCGCCAGCTCCTAGTCTGCCCCTGCCCGGCCAGGGTCAGAGCCCGCAGTCCCCAACCTGGTCACTGACCGGAGGGCTCGGGCTTGCGGTCAGCTCTGCTGCGTGTGGCCTGTCAGAGCATGGCTGGGGGACTGGGCCAGGACACGGCCCTTCCTGCTCAGGGTGCAGGAGTAGGGTGGGGTGGGGGGAGCCACCTGGAGCCCCAGCGTCACCCAGGGGCCTCTCGGCCCTGAGGCCCAGGGCACGGGCTGGCCTTGGGGGGGTGTGCGGGACTCCCAGGACCCCGGACGCAGCATCCAGAGCCCCAGGCACGAGCCGGAGCTGCACGGGACACGGTGCCGCCCCCTGAGGCCCCCGCCCGCCTCACAGGCCGGGCCTGGTTCTCGCTGTGAACGCAGGGCGACTTTGGACACAGAGCCTCGGGTGTCTAACTCCAGGTGCCAGGGCTGGGGAACCTCCCCGCCAGAGACGGGGACATGGGACCAGCTCCCTGCCCCAGGCCCCTGACCCGCAGGCCCTGCTGGGCCTGTTTCCCTTTGTGAGACCAGGGGACCCTCTTACTGTCAGGGAGGCCATGGGCTTAGACATCGCCCTCCGCGCCGAGGCTATTCCTGGCTCCTCGCCGCCCCCCACCGGCGTCCACAGGACCCCGAGCCCCCGGACGCCCGGGGTGGCCAGGCCTGTCCAGCCTGCCGGACCCCCCGCCCTGTCGGCGTGCAGCCCCGGCGGCGCCCCAGCCCTGCAGGGCCGGCAGCCTGGGGCCTGGGGCCTGGGCCTCTTGGCCGGCCGGCTCTGGGTGGCTCTCCCCACACTTGGGAACCGCCCCCTGCTCCCGCCCGGTACCAGCCTGGGTCTGGGGCTGACCTCGGGCTCCCCTGTGTCTCCACACCCCACCCCGCCCCGCCCCGCCCCGCCCGCCCTCCCCAAGTGCAGCCTGTGGCAGGTGTGTGAGTGCTGGGGGCCCCCCTGGGAGCTCCAAGGAGGGGGAAGGGGCTTTGCGTGCGGGGATTCTCAGGGCGAGGCTGGGGCTTGCAGGTGGAACGAGGGGAGCGCCGGGGCTCCTGGAGCCACACGCAGCCCTCTGCGGGGGTGGACTCGGGTGCGCACGCACCCGCGCACACAGCTGGGCCTCCGTGTGGTGCGAGGGTCCAGAAGGCTGGGCGCAGCCCCCTCGCGGCCTCCCTCCCTCCATCCTGGGATGGCATGTCTGCCCCTCCCCACTCCCCAGTTTTATGGACAAGCTGAAAAATCACACACAGTCCGGGACTTGCAAAATGCTCCACGTGTATTTCTGGAACAGGGGGCCTCTCCCGAGGCCCAGGCAGAGCTGGGGGGCTCCGCCTCCTGGCAGCCGGCCAGCGGCCGATGGCGGGTCCCGCTGACCGTCATGGACAAGACCCCACGCGATGCTGACGTCTGGGGTCCACGGCCAGAGGAGCCCCCGCCCACCCACCCTGCCCTCTCTGGGCCCCGGACAGGGAACGGGTGGTGGACGGTGCGCCCCGGGTGCGGCCCCCGAGCACGGGGTCAGGCTCCTGCCTTGGAAGCCGGGCTGGGGGTAATAAAGGGGGACGTGTCGGGAGAGGGTGGCCCGTCAGGCGGTGGGCAAGGCCGGGCCCTCAGCCCCAGCGCCCACCCTCGGCGACCCGGCTCTGCAGGGGCGCCTCCCCGCGACGCTGGCCGAGGGCGCCCCAGGCGTCGCAGCGCAGGCCCACGCAGCCGCACTCCTCCACCTGGGCGTAGCTGAAGGCGCGGCGGGAGCCGTCGGCGCAGCGCAGCGTCACGCTCCTGGGCGCCGTCCGCAGCTCCTGGCAGCAGCGGCACAAGCGCTCCAGCCCGCCCGCCGCCGGGGAGAACCTGCGGGGCGGGGGGAGGGGCCGCTCAGCGCCCGGGCCGCGTGTCCCCGCCGGCCCGAGGCCGCCGTCCGTCCGGACACCCCGCTCCCAGAGGCACGCTGGCCCACCGCCGACGCCAGGGCTGGGGGACGCTCGGGGGACCCCACGCCGGGCGTCTCAGTAAACAGAGGCACGTGACTCCAAACAGGCCCGGGGCCTCCGTTTGTCTCAGCCCAGGAGACCCCTCCTGTCCCGCCCCTTGGCTGCACCCGCGTCAGCCTGGCCGCACAGGGGCCGCGGGCGGGCGGCCAGCCAGCCAGGGCTCACGTACACGGAGGTGGTGTCCCCGCAGTTGCCCTGACAGTAGGCCAGGCGCACGGGCCCCACGGAGCTGCAGCCCTGCAGGCGGATGACCTGGAGCTTGTGGTAGACGGCGCAGGTCGACCCTGGGGAGGGACGCAGGGGGCGGGGGCGCAGAGGGTCAGGACGGGCCAGGCGCTCCTGGAGCCCCGCCCCGCCCTGGCCACGCCCACTCACTGTTCTGGGGTGGGAGTTCCGGGCAGATGAGGCAGCAGCCGTCCTCGCTCAGCCGAGCCTGGGCCTGGGCCAACAAGGGGGTGCCGTCAGTGCTGGAGGGGGGCCCCGGGGACGCCGGGTGGGGCGCGTCGGCAGCCGGAGGGGGGCCGGCGGCCCGCCCTGCCCACACTGGGCGGCGCTGGGCGGGGCCCCGGGACTCACCGCCAGGCAGCTGAGCGGGGGGCACGTCTTCTTCGTGGTCACCACCACGAGCCCGTCCTGGTGCTTCTCACACTCGTGGGTCACACAGCGGTTCCCGGCGTCTGACCAGGACTCCCCAGGCTGCAGGGGGCGGGGCCAGCGGGTGAGACCCTCCCCAAGGCCGCCCTTCAGCGGGAGCGGGCCCTGCGTCCGCCTGTCCATCCCCAGCCTGTGGGGGCTTCTGCTGGGGGCACGCGCGGCAGTGACATCTCCCCAGAGGCCCGATACCGCCGCCGCAGCCCCATCAGGCCCTTGCAGGGCCGTCCCCACAGGCAGCAGCGAGCAGCTCGTCGAGCCTGGCCTTCCCGGGGCCCACGGGCGGGCTGTGCTCCTGGCCTGTCTGCCCTGGTGTCCTGCCTGGCCCAGGACGCCCCTCCCCCCACCCCCGCAAAGGCCCCAGCTACTCACCCGGAAGAGGTGGGCGGAGCTGTCGCTGGTGTTCATGACGCAGGCCACCTGCACGCAGGTCCCGCAGCAGCGCCCCCTCTGCTCCTGGTACTCGAAGCCCTAAGGGGAGGAGAGGACTGAGCCTGAGCCCCGCGGGGCGCTGCGTGGGGGGCGCTGCATGGGGCTGGCAGCGGGCACTCACCACGGGGCAGCGGGTGTTGCAGGTCTGGGTCTCGCAGCTGATGCGGAAGGTGTCCGAGGGGGAGCCGCGGGGCACCTCGCACCGGCACGTCTCGCAGAGGCTCCGGGAGACCACGGCGCCGGGCTGAGGGGCGGGGCGGCCAGTGCCAGGGGTGAGCCGGCGCCCCGGCGGACGGACATCCCCCCCACTGCCCGTCCCCCGTGGACCTCAGGGGCTCCGCCTCGGGGGCTGGGCCTCCGCGGAGGTCTCGTCCCCAGGGCCGGCTGGGAGACACCGAGGCTGCCGAAGAGGCGGGGGGAGGGGGCCTTGCAGCGTCCACACCAGACCCGGGGCCCTGACCTTGAGCGGCCTCTCACCTGGTACAAGGTGCCGTTCACACTGCAGGCGGTCCAGCCTGTTCGGGAGGAGACGGGAGGCCTGCGGACCCGCCCCTGCGCCCTGCACCCCCACCCCTCACCCCACTGCCCGCCCGCCCGCCCCGGCCTCGCTGCCCCGGCCTCCTCCTGAGCACAGCGCCCCTCCACTCAGAGCCACCCCTTCTAGTTGCGCAGGGAGCGAGGCGGGGTCCCCAGCCTGCAGCACCCGGGGAACAGCGTTGCGGGGGGCGTGGGGGGTGCCTGGCCGCCCGGCGGGACACTCACTGCATTTCTGGCTTGGGCAGCAGGCCCCGTCCTCGTAGGTCATGACCTGGCGGGAGCCCTCGGGACAGCCCGTGAGCGCTGGGCAGTAGCTGGCGTTGCACGCTGCGAGGGAGGGGGGCGGAAGGGGGCGCTCAGACCTGGGTGCTGCCTCAGGGGCTCCACGGGCGCTGGGCTCCCAGGGGCGAGGCTTCCTGCCTGCGCGGTGCACGGGCTGGGGTCCCCGATGAGGCCACGGCAGGAGCGGGCGCCGCGTGTCCTCCTCGGTCCCGGCCCCGGGGGCCCGCGCCCCGAGCCCCGCGCGGGCAGAGCTGCCAGCCCTGAGCCAGCGTGTGGTAGGCCCTGGGCAGACGCGAGGGCAGCGGCCCGCCGCCCAGCCCGGGCTCACCGCAGGTGTACTGGGGGCAGCACTGGCCGGCCTGGGGGGCCGCAGGCACCGGCACGAACCCGGGCTCCGGGCAGGCGGGCGGCAGAGAGCAGGGCTGACGCCGGCAGCTCATGGTCCACGTGCCGCCCTTGCAGGTGCACTCCTGGCAGTCGAAGGTGACCGTGTGGCCCAGCTGCAGGGGAGGCACAGAGCCCCAGCCGCCCGTCACCTGCGTGTCCCGGAGGCAGCTCCGGAGGCAGGGGCGCAGGGGGACCTGAGGGGAGGGCCTTTAAAAGGGCAGGGGGAATGCCTGCAGCCCCCGGGGCCCGGGGACGGGCAGGCAGCAGCTCTGTGGACGGCCAGCCCTGGCCTTCACCATCTGAGCGGAGCAGGAGGGGTCCCCGCGGAGGGCCAGGCCTCCTGGGCGCCACCCTGGAGTGGGCCCCCATCACGGCAGCCCCTCCGTTCTGCTGGGACGGCCGTGCCCCCGCCCCTGGCGCTGAGAAGCCCTGCCACCCAGGCAGCCGCACTCACCTCCACAGGCTCCCCGTGGGGCCCCCGGCACCCTGGAGGAACAGAGGTCAAAGTCACTGCAGGGCGGCCACGGCCCGCGCGGCCCTCAGGGCGGCACCGTGGACCCGGCGGCCACAGCGAGCCCGTTCGGGCGGAAGGCGCCCCCCTCACCGCCCCCCGCCTGCCGCAGGGACGTACTGGGGCAGCCTGTGGGCACGCAGACGTCCGTGTCCAAGCTGAAAGGGGTCGTGCCCTCGGGACAGAAGCAGCCTTCTGTGACAGGGCCGATGTCCCTGAGGACCCTGCAAGGGGGCAGAGGGTTGGCCGGGCCCCCGTGCCCTCGAGGGCCGCGGGTGCCGCCTGGCGGGGAGGGGAGGGAGGGCACGTACATGAGGCTGGCGCTGTTGTCCCCGTAGCAGTAGGAGGGCACGGCGGGGCCGCAGGGCCGGTACTCCTTGTCCGCGGGGCAGACGAAGGCTGTGGGGGGCAGAGGCCGCACCGAGGTGAGGACCCCGGCCAGGGACAGCACCCTGGCCGCGCTCCGGGCGCCTGCTGGGCCCTGCGACCAGGAAGGCCCTCCCACCTGCCCCGGGGCCAGACCGCCCACCAGGAAGCCCATGCCCTGCGGCGCCGGAGAGGGCGGGCACTCACGGCACGTGTGGTTGGTCTGGCTCCTCCAGTCGACGCACACGCCGTGGGTCGCGCACAGCGAGGCGTACATCTCCAGGCCGGAGCAAACCACGTCCGAGTCGGGCAGGTGGCACAGGTCAAACACGCAGCCTTCGTAGTACGGCTGCGGGGGGATCACGGCGTGGCACGGCTCGAAGACGCTGTGGCACAGGGACACACGGTGGTGGGGCGGTCCAGCTCCCTCTGGCCGGAGGCCCGGGAGGCCCCTGAGCGGCTCCCGGGCAGGAGCCGGCGGCCGAGCCGGCCCGAAGACCCGGTGCCCCAAGTCCAGACTGCCCGGCTGCGGCAGGCCCGGTCGCTCTGCACGCTCCCACGGGGCCCCCGCGCCCTGCCAGCCTGCGTGGCAATGACGTCTCACGCTCTGACCCCCAGTGCACTGGCCGGCAGAGCCTCGGGGAACGTCCGCCCCCGCTCCGCCCCGGAGCCCCGTGCCTGGTGTCCCGCCCGCAACAGCTCCTCTCGGAGCCTGTGGACGGCCACGTGGGACCCACACCAGGGCGGGTGCGGGGGGCATCTCTCCTGTGCCCTCGTCGCCTGCACCCTCGTCACCTCCGCCCCGGGCAGCCCCGCAGGCCGCTTCTTCCCGCCAGCCCCGGGCCAGGGCGTCAGCCGGGCGGCCTCCCTGCTCCCCGCACCCCCCGCTCCCACCGCTCGCTCCCGGGCCTCACTCGCTCAGAATCAGCTGACAGATGGGCGAGGGCGGGCAGGGGGCGGGCGGGGCCGTGGGCCCCACCGGCTGGGGCGTCGGGGGTGGCCCGTGGCAGGACGGCTGGTCGGGGTTGGTCACCTTCCAGTGCCCGGACATGTCAGAGCAGGAGGCCACCACGGCCCCCCCGGGGAGGCGGCACTCGTCCTTCTGGTCGTTGGTGCAGGTGCCTGGGAAGGGGGCGGGAGTCAGGCGAGGACGCAGCAGCCACCCGCTCCGCCCCCAGGCCGGCGTCCCCCGGCTGCGCTCCGAGGGTCCCCTGACTTCCCCCGGACGCGGGGCCCCGGGGCCGTTCCCGCGGAGGGTGGACCGGTGGGCCTCGGGTGTCCCTGCTGGCGCGGCTCCGGGTGCGGCCCCCCCCCGGGACTCCCGAGGCCGAGCCTCCCCACCCGGCCCCTCGCAGTGGCGTTCGGTGACCAGGGACGGGGTGGGGGGGGGGGCTGGCCGGGGCCTGGGGCGGGGCCCGGGGCTCACCGCACTGCCCCTCCGTGTTGTTAGCGAACTTGCTGAAGGGCACCTCCACTGAGAAGATGAGGCCGCTGAACATGACCTGGACGCCGATCTCAGGGATGCTCACGTACATCCTGATGCCGACTTGGGAGACCACCAGGCCGTCCCTCCCGAAGCCAGGCCGGACCACCTCGTTGTTGAAGAGGATCTGGGCGTGGCGGCACGCGGGCGAGCAGGGGAGAGGGGCAGGGCATCAGCGGCTGCCCGCAGGCCCGCCCACCCGCCCGCGCCGCCCGCGCCGCCTGGCGGGGCACCCACCTCGTTGGTCATCACCCCGCGGACGGGCCTGCGGGTCAGCACGACACGGGCCTGCCGGTACTCGACAGTGATGGACTGCGGGCAGGACAGCCCGTCCTGGGCGCCGCAGAAGTAGTTGTCGATGAGCACGCGGAAGTGGCCGTACACCGGCACGACCTGCTGCACCAGCACATACGTGCAGTTGTCCAGGAAGGTGTAGTAGGTGCCGTCGAAGGTGATGTAGTGTGGGTCGCCCCAGCCGCTGCACACACCTGCGGGCGTGAGGGCGGCTCACGTAGGCCACCCCGCCCTGCCCCCGCCCCATCCCCCCGCCGGGTCACAGCCAGGCACAGACGGCCCGGGAGGCGCAGGAGGCGGCCTGAGTGGGGCCGGAGCCCTCGGGCTGCGCCCGGTGGGCACGGCCCCGGGCCCGAGGGTGCGGCACCGGGTGCCCCCAAGGCACACTGGCACGGCCTGCGGTCAGGCGGGCCGTCCGGGGTCCCCGCGAGCCCCGCCCCCTGGGCCCCCGCTCACACTGGCACTGGTAGTGCTGGCAGCAGCCATCCTCGTTGTCCACCTTCAGTGCGGGGTAGCCGTTGGCGCAGGTGGGCTTCCGCAGCGGCGGGCAGGGCCGCGGCCGCAGGGTGACGACGTTGTTGCCCTCGCAGGTGGCCTGCGAGCAGTTGGGCATGGCCCAGGTCTCCCCCGTCTGCGGAAGCAAAGGCCGCTGCAGGCGCCGCCCCGGTAGCCGCCCCGGGACACCCTGCCGGGCCCGGGCCGGTGCGCTCCGGCCCCACACGCCCTCTCTGGCTGTCCGGCCGCGTCCAGAGCAACGGTCACATGCTCCGGTCCCCCGTCCCCCAGAGGCAGGAGGGTCTCAGCTCGGGCCCCACTCTCCCAGCTACGCGGCCGCACCCCGACGCTCAGCCTGCGAAGCCCAGTCGCGGCCTGTGAACCGCGGCTGACGGCAAGGAGGCTGGGGGCGCCGACGGCCCCGCCGCCCCGAGAAAGGCAGGAAGGGGATGTTACCGTTCTCGGGGGGACTGCGCTGGGGCACCCCGGGGTGGTGACGGGCACGGGGGCCGACAGGGAGGACCCAGGCGGGGCGGTGACGGGCGTGGGGGTCGGCGCGCGGGTGGGGCAGGCGCGGTCCGTGAGCCGCACCACGTGGCAGTCCAGGCTGCACACGGCGTAGTAGCAGTGGCCCGCAAGGTCAGCCTCCTGGTATATCATGGACCCTGCACGACAAGACACGGCGTCAGCCGCCCGGGGCCTCCCCTCCAGACGCCCGCGCAGGGGACCCTCGCGCCGCTGCAGTCGGAGAGCGGGCGCCCGCCCCCGTGCCCCGTGGCCCCGGGCGGAAGGGGCACCTGCAATGGGTCGCGCAGACCACAGACGCCCCGACGCCACCCACCTGCAGGGTAGAGCGTGCCAGACACGCTGCAGTAGCACGTCGGGGCGGACGGCGCGGGCGGGCTGCGGGAGGGCACAGCAGAGACCGGGGAGGTGGGCTTCGTGGCGGGCAGGGACTCGGCAGGTGAAGTCATGTAGGGGGTCACAGAGGTCAGGGGGCAGCCCTCGCGGGGCTCGCAGCAGAGCACGCGCACCTCGTAGTTGAGGCACATCGGGAACCGGCCCTCCTGGTCGCGGTTGTGGCACACCAGCCCCACGTCCGGGCGGCACTGCACCACCTGGCCCAGCTGGTCGATGCTGACCTCGGGGTGGTTCTCGGCGCGGCACTCGAGCCTAGCGACGTACTCGGGCCGGTGGCAAACTTTCTCTCCGCTTCTGACGATGTTGCTGTAGGTCTCCAGGTCTCCGCCGTGGGGCCCGGGGGACGGGAAGTCCACGTCGAACCACTTGGTCCAGGTGCACCGTGGCTGGCAGGAGCTGGTGCCCGGAGGGGTGTGGGTGGTGGCCGGTGCAGGGACAGAGGTCGTGCTGGTTGTTGGCGAGGAGGTTGTGCTGGTTGTTGGCGGGGAGGTTGTGCTGGTCGTTGTTGGGGAGGTTGTGCTGGTCGTTGGCGCAGAGGTTGTGCTGGTTGTTGTTGGGGAGGTTATGCTGGTTGTTGGGGAGGTTGTGCTGGTGGTTGGCGCGGAGGTTGTGCTGGTTGTTGGCGGGGAGGTTGTGCTGGTTGTTGGGGAGGTTGTGCTGGTTGTTGGCGGGGAGGTTGTGCTGGTTGTTGTTGGGGAGGTTGTGCTGGTGGTTGGCGCGGAGGTTGTGCTGGTCGTTGGCGCGGAGGTTGTGCTGGTGGTGCCCAAGTGCGGAGTTGTCTCCGTAGGGCTGGTGGCGCTCACACTTGCGGTGCTTGGGACTGTGACTGGTGGGTAGGTGGGGCAGCCCTCGCGGGGCTCGCAGCAGAGCACGCGCACCTCGTAGTTGAGGCACATCGGGAACCGGCCCTCCTGGTCGCGGTTGTGGCACACCAGCCCCACGTCCGGGCGGCACTGCACCACCTGGCCCAGCTGGTCGATGCTGACCTCGGGGTGGTTCTCGGCGCGGCACTCGAGCCTAGCGACGTACTCGGGCCGGTGGCAAACTTTCTCTCCGCTTCTGACGATGTTGCTGTAGGTCTCCAGGTCTCCGCCGTGGGGCCCGGGGGACGGGAAGTCCACGTCGAACCACTTGGTCCAGGTGCACCGTGGCTGGCAGGAGCTGGTGCCCGGAGGGGTGTGGGTGGTGGCCGGTGCAGGGACAGAGGTCGTGCTGGTGGTTGGCGGGGAGGTCGTGCTGGTGGTTGTTGGGGAGGTTGTGCTGGTTGTTGGCGCGGACGTGATGCTGGTTGTTGGCAGTGAAGTTGTGCTGGTTGTTGTTGGGGAGGTTGTGCTGGTCGTTGGCGAGGACGTGATGCTGGTTGTTGGCAGTGAAGTTGTGCTGGTTGTTGTTGGGGAGGTTGTGCTGGTTGTTGGCGCGGACGTGGTGCTGGTTGTTGGCAGTGAAGTTGTGCTGGTTGTTGTTGGGGAGGTTGTGCTGGTTGTTGGCGCGGACGTGGTGCTGGTTGTTGGCGGTGAGGTTGTGCTGGTTTTTGGCGGGGAGGTTGTGCTGGTCGTTGGCAGGGAGGTTGTGCTGGTCGTTGGAGCGGAGGTTGTGCTGGTCGTTGGCGCGGAGGTTGTGCTGGTGGTGCCCAAGTGCGGAGTTGTCTCCGTAGGGCTGGTGGCGCTCACACTTGCGGTGCTTGGGACTGTGACTGGTGGGTAGGTGGGGCAGCCCTCGCGGGGCTCGCAGCAGAGCACGCGCACCTCGTAGTTGAGGCACATCGGGAACCGGCCCTCCTGGTCGCGGTTGTGGCACACCAGCCCCACGTCCGGGCGGCACTGCACCACCTGGCCCAGCTGGTCGATGCTGACCTCGGGGTGGTTCTCGGCGCGGCACTCGAGCCTAGCGACGTACTCGGGCCGGTGGCAAACTTTCTCTCCGCTTCTGACGATGTTGCTGTAGGTCTCCAGGTCTCCGCCGTGGGGCCCGGGGGACGGGAAGTCCACGTCGAACCACTTGGTCCAGGTGCACCGTGGCTGGCAGGAGCTGGTGCCCGGAGGGGTGTGGGTGGTGGCCGGTGCAGGGACAGAGGTCGTGCTGGTGGTTGTTGGGGAGGTTGTGCTGGTGGGGGTGTGTTGTTGGCAGTGAGTGTGGGGAGGTTGTGCTGGTTGTTGGGGGACGTGTGTGGTTGTTGGCAGTGAAGTGTTGGTTGGGTGGTTGTTGGCGCGGACGTGGTGCTGGTTGTTGGCAGTGAAGTTGTGCTGGTCGTTGTTGGGGAGGTTGTGCTGGTCGTTGGCGTGGAGGTTGTGCTGGTTGTTGGCGCCGACGTGGTGCTGGTTGTTGGCAGGGAGGTTGTGCTGGTGGTTGGCGCGGAGGTTGTGCTTGTGGTTGGTGCAGACGTGGTGCTGGTGGTTGGCAGGGAGGTGGTGCTGGTGGTTGAGCTGGTCCCGGGCGACGTGGCGTGTGTACGGACTGTGTATTTGGTTGCTGGGGACACAGGCTCCGAGCTGGAACTCCCCTGCGGTGTGGAGGTCAAGGGGATTCCCGTGGTCCGCGTGGCCTGCGCTTGGGTGCTGGCTTCGCGTGCAGTGGAGCGGGTGGCCTCGGGTGCCGCGGAGGGCACGGTCCTGTCCCTGCACATGTCCACCCACTCGCAGCACCCGATCCGGATCTCGTAGTTGTAGCAGATCGGGGGCAGCTGGTCCCGGTTGCGGCACACCAGACCCACGCTGCTGTTGCAGACCACGCGCTGCCCCAGCTCCGCCAGCGGCGTGTTCGGGAAGCTCGCGGCCCGGCATTCCACCTTGCTGGGCCTCTCACAGAACTTGTACCCCTTGGATCTCAAATTCTGAAAAGTGTCGAAATCTCCACTGTCGATGCCAGGCTCGGGGTAGCTGCCGTCGATCCAGCCCGTCCAGCGGCAGTGCTCCTGCAGGCAGGAGGCCGGGCTGGGCCCCGGGGAGGTCGTGCTGCAGGCCGTGCGAGGAGGCGTCCGGGTCGGGCCCCCGGAGGTGGGGCAGGCCCGGGGGCGGCAGCACAGGACCCTGATCTGGTAGTTGTCGCAGAGCCCCGAAACCTGGTCCCGGTTGTAACAGGTCAGCCCCACCGCGGGGCTGCACTGCACGCGCTGCCCCAGGTCTGGCAGCGGCACGTCGGGGGTGCGCTCCGCGCGGCACTCCGCCGCCCTCGGCGCTGGGCAGACGTGGTACCCGTGGGCGCGGAGGTTGTCTAGCGTGTCGAAGTCGCCGCTGTCGATGCCCCGTCCTGGACGGCTGACGTCCAGCCACGCTGACCACTGGCAGTCCTCCCCACAGCCGGCGGGGGCGCTGGAGGCCGTCGGAGGCCTTGGCCCAGGGGATGTGCCCACCGCGGGGGGCGGGGGGGAGCCCGTGACCACCGGGCTTGTGACAGGGCCGTGGTGTGGGCCGGGACGACCTGTGGAGCTCGCAACTGAGGGCAGAAGAGGAGGCAGAAGGGCCGGGGGTCAGGGGCCCACACCCACTTGGGGTCCTTGGGCCCCCCACATTGACCCCGTCCTTGCCCCCCGCCCATCTGCCAGCCGCCGCTGGGTTTCACCACGTCAGTCCGCCTCTGCCAGGCACCCAGGCCCGGGCTGCCAGGCCGTGCCAGCCTTGAATAAATAGGCCAACCGGCCCCTTAGAAGGGGTTCCCCGCCCGGAGTGGCACCTGGGCCTGCGGCCCAGGAGCCAGAGTTCTGGGGACTCTTTCCCCTCGGGGGAACCTCTGGAAAGTTCCTAAGATGCCCCCAGCATCGGGCAAGGGCTGCAGCGAGTGGAGAGCGGCGCAGGCGAGTCGGGCGGGGCCCCACGTGTCCCCCCAGGCCGCCCTGGGGCGCCTTGGCTGACAGCCGCTGCCCTGGGCGCCGGAGCACCAGGGAGACCCAGGGCGGCTGACTCTTCTAGGCTCTAATCGCTCCTGAGGGACGGCCCCGCGTGGCAGCCAGCGCGCCTGCTCACCGATCGGTGGGGTGGAGAAGGAGAAGGTGGTGGGGGGCGCGGGGGTGCTGGGGCCGCAGGCATGGACCCCCCTCTCGATGGTGCCGTCCGCCCCGCAGCGGGCGGAGATGCAGCCCCCTGTGCCATCTGTCGTGTGGTAGATGGTGTCCCCCGGACGGAAGTGCCGCCCACCGTAGGTGCAGACGCAGGCTGTGGGGAACAGCGCAGCCGGGCAGGTCAGGGGCTGGGGGCGCGGGGGGGGAACCCCGGGACCCCAGACCCGACGGGGGCCTCCGCTGCTCACCCGCGGCGTCGTAGGTGCACCGCACGCCGTCCTCGGTGCAGACGCTGCCGGAAGAAGGAGGGGGGTGAGTCTGGGGCTCAGGGCGTCCTGGCTGAGCCGGGCTGGGGGGGGGCAGGCAGGAGTGCCCCACAGGGGTGCCCCGGGGAGCCTGAGGTCATACCCTCCCAACCCATGACCGTGAGCCCCTCGGGGTGACAGCGTCCTCACCGGGGCAGCTGTCTGGGGCCCCGGGTGGCTCACGCTCAGCCCCGGCCCCACCGGCCCCTTGCAGGCCCCCGCAACGGGGAGGCCCCTTGGGAAATCCAGGCCCCAGGGACCCCTCCTGGCCCCTCCGGGAGGGGCAGTGGAAGCCTTGTCCCCAGGGCGGTGGCCCGGCGGATGCCCCTGAGCTCCCCGCTCACCAGGAGTAGCAGTTCTGGTCCGAAGGCACCACTGCGCCTGGCCGGTACGACTTGCCCTGCACATGGCAGGGTGGCGGCGGGGGCGGGGACGGGCACGCGGCCACACACTGCATGTTGTCCTCGTCGAAGATGGGGGCCTCCGTGGGGCACCTGGGGTAGCAGCCTGCAGGCCGGAGGGGCTGAGTTCCAGCCGGACAGACTGCCGGCCGCCTCAGCCCCACGGCCTCCCGCCGTCCCCAGCCCGGGGCCCGCCCATCGCATCGGGATTGGGGGGGGGCTGGGATGCACCCACGCAGGCGCCTCGAGGAGTCAGGAAGAGGCCAGCCCGCCAAGGGCCGCAGGGTCCCCAGGGCAGCCCACCTTCCAGGCCTCCGGTGTCGTGCAGGCAGCGCCCGCTGGGGTTCCGGCAGGTCCGCAGGCAGGGCGCCCCGCAGGGCTGGTAGTGCCACGCGCACTGGCCCTTGGGGTTGTAGTAGTCGCAGAAGAGCGCTGCGCGGGGACGCGGTCGGGGCGGGGACGCGGTCAGCGCGGCCCCGGCCAGGAGCCCTCCTCCAGCCGCCCCAGGGATGGCGCCCTGCAGGGCAGCCCGGGCCCCCGTGTGCCCCACTCTTCCCCCTGAGTCTTGGGGCTGCTCCAAAGCCTGTCCCTCCCATGACCCTGCACGTGGTCTCGGAGGGCGTGGAGCCCCAACCCTGTGGCTCAGGGTCTGGCCGCAGCAGCTCCCCAGCTAGGCCGCCCTCTGGCCAAACCATCTGTGCTGGACAGGGGTGGGGGTGGGGGCTCTGCGGACCCCTCAGTTCCAGAAAGTTCTATCGCACCTGCCATCTCTCCGTCAGCAATGCGCCCCTTTGTTTTCCTTTTAGAGACCCCCGCCCCCATGGGTCAGCGAGTGCACTCACGGCAGACGTCCGGGGTACGCCAGGCCACGCACACGCCCGCCTCGCGGCAGGCCTGGGCGTAGGCGGCCACGGCCGTGCAGAAGCACTCGCAGTCCCCGCCCGCGTCGCAGGCACACGCGTCGCTCACGCAGGCCTCGTAGTACTTGGTGGGGTCGACCTGCGGGGGGACTGGCCTCAGGCGCTGGGGACCCCCCGCTCATGGGCTCGTGGGGCATCGAGCCTGCATCGCGGGGCTTAGGAAGAGCCAACTCATGGTCCCGCGTGGCCGGTCCTAAAGGTCGGCCTCACCCCAGCAAGGCTACTCTGGCCCCAGGCCGGCCCTCCCTCCCCAGGTGCCTGGGGGCTGCCCCACGTACGTGGGCGTGGCAGGCCGCGAAGGTGGCGCTGTTGAGGAGGCTGCACTGCTTCTGCGCCCAGGACTTGCGGTAGGGGTTGGCGGTGCAGGGGTCCCTGGGGGCCGGGGCGTCCGGGCAGGACGGGGAGAATTTCCAGCTGTTGCCAAACTCCAGGGCGTCGCCCACCACGGACTGGCTGCGCGTGGTGAAGTCGTTGGCGGCGTTGTCATCGAAGTTCCCGCACAGCCCGCAGACCTTCCCCTGCGGACGCAGAGGCGGGCGGGCGGGGGGCGGCTCAGGGCAAGCGCAGCTGGAGCCAGGGTCCTCTTGCCCACCCGCCACCCCCAGACCCCACCTGCCCCCCGGGAGGGGGCTGCGGCCAGCAGCCAACAGGCACCCAGCTCTGCCCTGAGCAGAGGCCCATGGTGCTGCACCCAGGCCCCTCCTGGAGGACGGGGTGCAGGCGGGAGAGGGGCCTGGCCCCCTCCGAGAGGCTCCGTGGGGGCCTTTCAGGTGCTATCGGGGTGCTGACCCCAAGACCCATGACGGTGGCCTCAGGCGGAAGTGGGGTCTCTGCAGAGGCTAAGCCGGGGCTAAGCAGAGGGTGCCCCAGATCGGGTGGGCGGGCCTGGTGGCCGGGGTCCTTCCCAGACGAGGATGTGAGCCGAGAGACGCACACTGTGCCAAGTTCAGTGGCCACGAGGGCACAGGCTGGGGGCTCGCGGCCAGGAGCCCGGGAGCGCTGGTGGCCCCCGAAGCTGGAAGAGGCGGCAAGGAGCCCCCCCAGGAGCCTCCAGGGCAGCCAGCCCGTGACAGCTGCACTGGACGCTGGCGTCCAGGACGGCGGTGCCGGCCGCCCCAGGACCCCGGCCTCCACAGCACAGCGCCTCCTGCTGCCCACCGCTCTGCAGGCGGGCCGGGCCGCCCCCCCCCCCGCCCCATCTCTCTCGGTCCCTCTCCGTCTCTCTCCCCAGCCCCGCGCCCGCTGCTTGCCCCTTGGTCTGGGGTGAGGGCAGGGTGGGCGGGCGGAGCCTCACCTTGAACTCGGGGCTGAGCCTGAGGAAGATGCTGGTCTTCTTGTCCCACAGCAGCACCAGGCCGGCCTCGGTGTCCACCACCAGGTAGATGCCCACCTGGCGGATGGCGTAGGGCGCCTCCCGGCCCACTCCCTTCTCGATCACCTCCACTTTCCCATCGCTCAGCTTCAGCTCGTAGCTCTGTGCAGGGAGGGGTCCTCAGAGCCCCGGAGGACCCCAGGCTACCGCCCGGGAGGGCCCGCCCGCCCCACGGTGCCTCCCGGCTCAGGCGTGGGAGCGCGGCCTCCCTCGGGGTCCTGGAGCGGCCGGGGCTGCTCCGCCCCCCACTCACCCCCAGGAAGAGCTTGATGGCCTTGGAGCAGGTGGTGCCTGTGGTGCCGCAGGGGACGTTCTCGGTGACGACGCGGAAGGCGTCCCGGGCGCTGCCGTTCCCGCCGCAGCGGTCCTGTGGCGATGAGGCGTGCCGCTCACCCTCCCGGAGGGGGCTGAGGCGGCGGCGGGGCGGACCCCTGCGGGGGGACCGCGGGGACCGCGGGGACCGTACCTGGACCAGCGTGTACTCGCAGTTCCCGTGGAAGCTGTAGCGCCGCCCGTCGAAGGTGAGGTAGTGGCCGTCTCCGTACACGGCGCAGGTGGCCAGGCAGGGCTCGTGGGTGCAGCGCCACATCCTGCTCTCACAGGTGCTGGGGGAGGGGGCGCAGGTCAGGCCGAAGCCGGGGGCCTCTCAGGGGCGCAGGCCCGAGGCCTTGCCGGCTGGGGCGCGGGAGCCCCCGGGACGGGGCCCCAAGCCGCCACGTACCAGGTGTTGCAGCCCACCCGGATGGTCTGGCCGGCCGGGTAGCTGGCCTCGTTGTGCACGCAGGGGCAGTCGGCCGCAGCGATGCAGCCGCCTTCGCCATCGGCCACCAGCCCGGCGGGACACACGCAGCCGGGCACGCACTGGGGGCTGTACTGTGGGCGGGACAGGCACCTCAGGGGACAGGGCAAGGCAGAGAGCACACGCCCGGGGGTGGAGGGCCCCTGAGGCCGGGGCGGGGCCTGTGCCCGGCTGGGTGGCCTCCGGGAGCCGCAGGGACAGCAGGCCCACCCAGCTCTCAGGCAAGGGACCTCCTGCCACCGGCCTGGTGGACGCCTCCACAGGACCCGGGAGGGGCGCGTGGGGCTGGAGCCGTTGTCGCCGAGGGCACAGGGGTCGTGGGTCACTCACACAGTCCATGTCCAGGGTGTGGCAGCTCTTCTGGCAGCCCGCCCCGGTGGCCCCCTCCGAGGCGTTGCGGCAGTCGAAGTAGACCATGGGCGGGGTGCAGACTGCGGGGGGGGGAGCACCGTTCAGGGACCTGCCCCCGCCAGGCCCAGCCCACCCGAGGGACACGCTGCCGCCCCCTGCACGCGTGTCTCCCTGCGCCCCTGCCTGCGGTGGGTGCCTGTGTGCGTGTGTACGTGTGGTGGGGCGTGTGCAGCATGCGTGTTTTGTGCACATGGGGGCATGTGCAGTGTGTGCGTGTTCAGCCTGTGTGTGGAGCGTGAGTGTGCAGTGTGCATGTGCCATGTGCCCACCTCCCCCCGCCGCCCCCTCACTGAGCCCAGCGAGCAGAGGCTGCCAGGCAGAGATGCCGAGGTGCCCCCAACGCCCGCCTGCTGCCCCGCAGGCCTGGGGGCGTTTCCCCTGAAGCTTCCCGGGGAGGGGGCTGAGGCCCCGCCCGCCCTCCCTTCCTGCGTCCTGCTCACCTGGGTCAGGGTCAAGGCCTCCGATGCAGGTCAGCGTGCCCTTAGTGCAGGTGCTGCGAGGAGAGGCGGTCAGGGGTCTGCCCCGCCCCCGCCCAGCCCAGCCCCGCCCCCGCCCCGGCCCCGCCCTCTGCGGGGGCCCCTACCAGACAGCCCCCTGCTCGTGCACAGACTCGCCGTTGGGGATCACGGAGGCGCCGCGGTAGCAGGGGCAGCTGGCGGCGGGCACACACGTGCCTGTGTCGTCCAGGAAAGTGCCGTTGGGGCAGGCACAGCCGTCCACGGGCACAAAGCTGATGCCGCAGGTGGGGTCCTCGCTGCTCAGGGCCCGGCAGGTGGGCTGGCAGGTGCTGATGTGCTCGTGGTAGGTCATCGACTTGGGGCAGGTTTCCGTCGGCTTTGCTGGGGGCGACATCAGGAAGGGGGTGGCACTCAGGACGGCGTGGCCGTCCCCGGCCCTCCCCCCGCTCCCCATCTCTGCCAGGCCTGCCCTCCGGGGCGGCGCCCGGGGCTCCCAGGCCTCGGTGCCCTGTGCAGAGGACGGGCCCCCGGAGCGTGTGCTCCGGCCACCGGGTCCGCTGGCCCGCGCACTCACTGCAGACGCCGGCCCTCCAGCCACTGAGCAGCACGCCCCGGGCGGCGCAGGCGCGGACGTAGGAGGACAGGGCTGCGCACAGGCAGTCCTCGCTCTTCTCGCAGTTGCACGTGTCGAACAGGCAGTTCTGGGGGCGGGGCGTCGGGCGTCAGGGACCACACCACCGTCCCACCGTCCCGACCTGTCCAGACCCTCCCTGCGCCGAACCTGCAGGGAGCCCCGTGCAGAGGGCCCCGGCCCCGGACCGGCAGCCCTGCCCCTCCCGCCGGCCTCCGACCCCAAAGCGCCTCGGCCGCGGCCGCGTTTCAGCCGGAGGCTCGAGAGGGACCAGGTGCACGTGGCGAGCGGCTGACTCAGGAAGGGGCATGGGCCGGCCCCAGACCTGCAGCCACAGCCCTGGGGACCACACGGGGCCCTCCCGGACCCCCCGCGGGCAGCCAGCGGCCAATGGCAGAAGCCGCGGGCAGCGTTACCGAGTAGTAGGAGCCAGGGCTCAGGACCGCGTGGCACCGGGCGAAGGCGCCCTGTGGGTCCGTCAGCCGGGAGCACCAGAGCTGCGCGTACTTCTCTGTGGACAGAGGGGGGCGGTCGGGGGCGGCCAGGGCACCTTCCTTCCACCCCGAGGTCCCCACCTGCCAGGTGAGCAGGCCCCCAGGCTCCTGCCGGGCGCCCCCAGGACCCTGTTTCTTCCGGAACTCACCATGGCCAAACCGGAGACACCTGCCGGCGAGTTGCCGGTTTACCCCCCACCGACGTCCCCACCTCGGGACCCGGCGGGCGGCCGGAGCCCACATACCGTTCTCCACGCTGAGGGAGCAGGGGTCCTCGAAGCTGTTCCTGACGTTGGGGCAGGCGGCCTGGGTCTTCCAGGTGTTGGCGAAGGCGGCGGCCGTGCCCTCCACCACGCCGCTGAGGGTCCGGAAGTCGTCGGCCTGGTTCTGGTTGAAGTTCCCGCAGAGACCTGGGGGCGTGGGGACGGGGAGGGCCCGTGAGCCCCGTGAGGCCTGGCCGCCCAGGGTGGACCAGGCCCCGGGGGGGGCGCCTCTTACCGCAGGTCAGCCCCCGGAGCTCGGGCGCCAGCCGCAGGAACACCTGCATGGTGGGCACCAGCTGCACCTCCACCTGCAGGCCCAGGGTGGTCTGGACGATGATGAAGAAGGTCGAGGGTCTGAAGAGCGTGACGTTGCCTGCGGACAAGGGGACGAGGGTCTCAGTGACGTCCTGGGCGGGGCGCCTGGGGCACGTGGCCCGCGCTCTCACCTGCCGAGACGGGCAGCTGCGTGTAGACCTGGTTCACGAACACCTCGCCGCTGGCCTGGATGCCGACGACCTGGGGGCGGCAGGGGCACTCGCAGCTGCCGGTGGCCCCCAGCCTCCCCCGAGGCTGTGAAATGTGCCGGGGACCCCCCCGCCCCCTGTGAGGAGGAGCCGAGGACCCGCATGCCCCGGGGCCCCCTACTCATCTCAAGTTCTCCTACGAGGACCGAGGCCGTGAATTGTCTTAATCGCGTGAACACCGAAGTGATTCCAGGACACCGAGACGCTACCACCGCTTCACGGGGGCAGGAGCACGTGTGGAGGCCCCGGGGCCACGCCTGGCGCCTGCTGCCCACGGCAGGGCCGCGGGCTTGGGCCGCGCCCCCCCACCCCGCCCCCGGGCCGCACTCACCGTCCGCCCGCCCAGGCTCAGCGTCAGGCTCCTCAGGCAGGTCTCGCTGTCGGTCAGCCCGCAGCGGCGCAGCTCGGCCAGCACGGTGAAGGCGCCGCCCTCGCAGGGCTGCAGACAGGGGTCCTCAGGCCCCGCCCAGCCCCCGCCGCCCCGCCCCCCTCCCCGCCCCCCTGGACACCCTGTGGAGGACGAGGCTCAGGGGCCGGGGCGGCTGCAGCGGCTCGCAGCGCAGGCAGGGGCCGGGCAGGGCGGGGGACGGGGGCCACAGCCGCCCCGAAAGCCGCACCTTGGCCAGCACGTAGCTGCAGTCCCCGTGCACGGTGTACGACCGCTCGTCGAACGTGGAGAAGTGGGCGCCTCCCAGCACGGAGCAGGTGCCCGGGCAGGGGGTCTCCCGGCAGCTCCACCGGCCTCCAGAGCAGGTGCTGAGAGCAGGGAGAGACGCCGGTGCCGGCGCTGCAGCGCTGCCCCCAGGCCTGCCCGCGCCCCGCGTGGGAGGGGGCGGCCCTCCCCAGGGCACACTCGGGGGACGGGAGGGCAAGGCCCGGGGTCCTACCAGGTGCTGCAGTCCGTGGAGTGGACTGCCCCCGGCGCGTAGGTGGCTCCGTTGTGCACACAGGGACACTGAGACACGGGGACGCAGCCGGCCTGGCCGATGTCGTCGAGCACCGTCCCTGCGGAGGCGGGAGGTCTGTGTGGCAGGTGCCGGGCGGGCCGGGCGCCCTGGGCGCACACGTGGGGGCATCGGGCCCTCTGCCCCGGGGGTCCTGCCCCGCAGGCACTCCTCAGACCCCGGGGCCCAGAGACGCGGTGGGCCGGGCGGGGGCGGGCGGCCGGCGGTGGGCGGTGGGCGGTGGGGCGGGGCTCCGTCTCACCCTCGGGGCAGAAGCAGCCGGCCACGCAGTGGTCCTCGCAGGCCTGCGAGTGCTCCAGGTTGGAGCAGGTGTCCGCGCAGGGCGAGCCGCACTCTCGGTACTGCATGTTCAGGGGGCAGGTCCGGGCTGCAGGGAGGAGGCAGGGCCCCGTCACCTCCTGCCCCAGCCCGGGGGCCCACGCAGGGCGGCGGGGCGGGGCGGGGGCGGCGGGGACACTCACGGCAGAGGCCGGGGCCCCGCCAGTCCAGGGGCAGCCCCCCGGCGTGCGCGCACTGGCGGGAGTACTCGGCGAGCGTGCGGCAGGCGCAGCTGGCCAGGTCGGCGGCGTCGCGGCAGCGGCAGAGGTCCTGCTGGCAGGCCTGCACGTAGCCACCGGCGTCCACCAGGGGGCGGCAGCCCAGGAACCGCTCGCTGCGCAGCAGCTCCTCGCAGACGGCCTGGGGGCAGGGCAGGGGGTGCTGAGTCCAGGCTCTGAAGGCCGCTGGGCTCGCCTCGCCGCCCGCGCCCCCCCCCGCCACGCCCAGCCACGCTGGGGCTCACCAAGCCGGCGGAGCAGTTGGCGGGGGGCGCAGGCACCGGGTCCTGGCACTGCTCCGTGGGGCCATCCATCTTCTGCAGGTTCCCAAACTCGATGGGGGTCAGCTTGGCGTCTGCAGGGAGCACAGTGTGGGCCCCGCGGCCACGGTGGGTGTACCCTCGCCACCCCCGCTACGCCCACCCCCCGGCACTGCCAGGTCACGCCGCAGCTCCGCAGGATGTCTAGGGGTCTGAGGTGACGCAAGGGGCTGCCATCGCGGGGCTGAGGCTGGCACACGGCCCGGGGGACGGGAGGGTGACTGTGAGCTCCTGCCGGCCTTCAGGGCCCGGCCGGGCCTGCACTGACGTCCCCAGCCAGGGCCACGGACGCTCAGGCGGGCTTGGTCCCCCAGGGCCAGAAGCCCCCCGTGGGTGGGGATCACGGGCCTGACGGAGGGGACCCGGGGATTGTGCAGGTCGCACGGAAAGCCACTGCTTGGTGGCAACAGCTCGAGGACGAAGAGCTGCGATGGGGTCTAATTCCAGCTCAGGGGCCGCCCACAGCCACCCCCCGAGAGCGGCAGCTCGCCAGGACCGAGTGGGCGAGCGCGCGCACGCTGGAATCGCCCGGCAGCGTGGGGGCGTCTGTGCGCATGTGTGGGTAGAGCCGCGTGCGCGTCTGTGCGCGTCTATGCGCCTGTGCGCGTGCGTGTGTGGCCCGACTGCGTGTGGGGGCAGGGCCCCCGCGGCGGAGACGCCTGGCAGGGACCCGTCCGGCGGGGGCGCGGGGGCGGCCCGGGGGGCTCACTGTGGGAGAAGAACTCATCGAAGACGGGGACACCGTTGAAGTCTCCGCAGAGCCCGCAGGTCTGGTTGGCGAACTTGGCGTCCAGCTCGAGCTGAAACGAGAGCACCTGTCGCACGCCCGCCCCAGCAGGGCCGCCCGGGACGGAAAGGACAGGCGCGGAGCGGAAGCCGGGCCTCCGAGGAGGGGCTGGGGCCGCTCGGAGGTGACCCGGGCCGGGGACGTCCCGCGCAGTGCACGGACACAAGACCACGAGCGAGGCCTGTCCCGAGGGAGGCGCGTGGGGGGCAGGGCCCGGCCCTCCCGCCCACCCTGGCCAGGGCTCCGCCCTTAGGGAGGCTGCGCGGCTGCAGGCGCCCCTGAGGCCCCCGACGCACCAGGAGGCTGTCGTCCTCGTTCCACATGAAGACCAGACCCAGCCTGGCCGACACCTTCAGGTAGTTGACGCTGTGCTCGACAAGGACGCCGGACTGGCTGAAGGGCAGCTGGGTCCTGCGGAGCGGGGGCCGCTGAGGCGCGAGGGGCACGCGAGGGCGGAGCCACAGAGGGTGCCCGCGGTCCAGGACCGGACACGGTCGCCGCGCCAGGGACGGCGCCCGTGGGCGTGACAAGGACGGCCCTGAAGCCCTGGGCAGGGATCGGCGGGGCAGAGGAGCCCAGGGGGCTGCGCGCAGGGCCCGGGACGCACCCCGCCCGGCCCTGCTCTCGAGGGTGACCCCACGTCCCTCCCACCACCACCCGGAAAGGCCCTCGGCCTCCAGGGGCCGGGACTCACGGGCGGCCGTTGACCAGCACGGAGCCCTTGGTCAGCTCGAGGACCATGCCGTTGAGCTTCATGGTGACCTTGCTCAGCACGGCGGCGTTGGACTCCCGGCCGCGGCGGAGCTGGACGTTGAAGTTCTCATAGGCGGCCCCGCAGTGCGCGGAGAAGACGTAGTTGCAGCGGCCGGGGAAGTGGAAGATGTCGCCGTCGAAGGTCTTGTAGTGGAAGTCGCCCCACGTGCTGCACACCCGCCCGTTGTGCGCCGGGTTCAGGGCTGCAGGGAGAGCGCCGGCCACGCTGAGGGTGCCCCCGCCTGGCGCCCCCCGTGCCTGCGCCCGGACGGGCTGCCGCCCGAGGTGGGCGTCTGGGAGGGTCCTGCCAGGACCCAGGTGCTACTTTTGAACACGCGATCCATGTCCACCCCGATGGGGCCCCCCAGACCTGAGCGAGAAGACCCTGAACGCAAGCCCCTCCGCCCCGCCTCGCGGGGTCTGACTCACCTCGCACCACGGCCGTGGTCCGCAGAGGCGGGAGGATGGTTACCCCGGGGGGCGGGTCGCCTGTGGAACAGGGGCTTTGACGCACAGCACCCCCCCCCCGCCGCCCCCACTGCCAGGCACGGCTTCCGCGGGACGGGCTGTCCCTGTGCCCGCGAGCGGCCGGCTCCGAGACCCATCGCAGGGCCGGCCTCCCCGCCCGCCCGGCGGCTCTCCCTCCGACCTTCACGCCCTCTCAGCCGCCGCCCAGGCCCAGGGCGGTCGGTCGTGTGCCCGCGTTTCCCGGCGGGGGCCAGAATCAGCCCCCGCGGCTGCTGAGACCGGGGCAGGCGTGCTCCCCGGGAGTCGTCTGGGGACGCGGCCCTCGCCTCCGCCTCACCCGGAGCCGCGGGGCCCGCCGCGCAGCGTGGGCACAGAAAAGCCCCGAGGGGCTGCTGCCAGCCCTGCCTCCGGCCCGGGGGACGGGCGTGCAGCCTGGCGCCCCCTCTGCCGCGTGAGGTGGGGCAGGTGACGGCCTGCAGGGGACCGACGGCGCGTCCTGGCCCCGGTGGGGCCGGCCGACAGGCACCCAGTGGGGGTGGCCCCTCGGGATCGCGAGCTGGGGCGGGGGGGCGGCAGCTCTGACGGGCGGGCGGGGCGCTCGCTTCACAGGGAAGGGTCTCCTCTCTGCACGGAGCTGGGCGCGCCGGCCGCGCAGGCCACGCTGAGCCGTAGCGCTGCTTGGGCGGCCCCCCGCTGGGCCCACGAGCATCTGGGGGAGACCCCGGCCCTGACCGGGGTCTCAGGGGCGTCCACTCATCCGCAATGAGTGCCCCCCACGGGCCAGGCACCGGTGTCCTCGCTCGGGGCGAGGGACAGAATGGGCCACAGCCGCCCGGTGCCACAGCCTCTGAGGGGTCAGCTGGTAAGACACAGGGGTCCCTGCACCTTGTCGGGAGGCCCCCGGGCCCTGCAGGAAAACTGGGAGCCAGCTGGGGACCTGGGGGCCCAGAGTGGGGAGGGGCTGACTCTAAATGGGGCGCTAAGGGCCACCGATCAGGGCCTCGGGCGCAGGGGGCCGGGGCCGGGCCGACGGACGGCCGGTGCACCCTCAGGACAGCCCGAGACCCCCGAGGCTGATCTCTGGGGTCCTCAGAGGCAGGCCAGCAGGGCAGGAGAGGCACCAGGCCCAGCCCTGGGCGAGGAGGACCCTGAGGGCGAGGGTGGGGTCAGGGGTCAGGGGCCCGGGGCCGCGCGCTGCGCACGGCAGAGGGACACAGGAGGCCGAGCCTGTGTGGGAGAGGGCTGTCCACTGCCGGGAGGTGCAGCAGGACCAGGGGCCCCGGGCCCCCTGCAGCCCCGAAGCCCCACCCCACCCCAGCAGGCGCAGCCGGGCAGGGCCGAGCGCCGGAGCTGCTCTCGGACACACTCAGCCCAGCTTGTCCGGAGCCGGACCGGGGCCACCCGTCCTCAGAGGGGCTGGGGCCCCATGGCCGGCGGGAGAAGCCGGCGGAACGAGCTCACCTGGGTGCTGGGCACAGGCCAGGGCCAGGGCCAGGGCCCAGAGAGCAGCCAGCTCCCTCCGGCCGACTGCCATGGTGCGGGGGAAGGGGGAGCCCAGCAGCCGCCTCTGAGGACGGACAGGAGTGGCAGGAGGCTTTTGTAGCCCCAGTGACCTCACCTGGGTGGGCGGGGCAGGCCCTCGACTCCCCTCATCTGGCAAACAGTGGGCGCTGGCTTGGGGCTGGCCTGCAGCCGGAGCGGGCAGCGGGGGGGCTGGCTTCCTGAGGGCTCCCCAGGTCCTGGCCCCAGGCGGGCCCCTGCTGGACCCCGCCCCAGGGCTTCTCTGGGCAGCGTCCGTGCAGCGGCCCCTGGGCTCCTGGCACCCAGAGAGGCTACGGTCTCCCCCCGGGGTCAGCCTCGTTGCAGATGGGCTCAGGGCGGCCCCGGGGACAGGGCCTCCTGGCACCCAGAGAGGCTACGGTCTCCCCCCCGGGGTCAGCCTCGTTGCAGATGGGCTCAGGGCGGCCCCGGGGACAGGGCCTTCCCCCTCCTGGCCGTGCTTCGGGCCGTGGCCCCCGCGGGCGGCGGGCGGCTCGATCCACACACGGGCCCGCGGCTGTGGGGCAGGAGGCCTGTGCCCGCCCGGTGGGTGCGCCCGCACGCCGCTCCCGCCGGCGTGTGCCCTGGTAGAGAAGGCACCACCGTGCAGGCCACCCTGCCCCCAACCGGGGTACGAGCCCCGGGCTGTGCCACGGTGGGCGGCTCCGCTGCCCGCAGCTGGGCCTGGCCAGGAGGCCCTGCCCGGGGAGGGAGTGGGGGCGGCTGGGCTGGGGTCTGGGATCGGAGGGGCCTTAGAGCTGTGCTGAGAAACTGCTTCCCACTCTCAGAGGGCCGGTCCCAACCGCCTCTCATCACCTGGTTCCCTGTGTCTGAGCCGTCCCCTCCCCAAGCCCTGACTTGGCGGCCGTACCGGGGAGAGAGAGCGGCTCACCTGTCCGGGACAAGGTGGGCGATGAGGGAACGGATGAGGGAATGAACGAACAAGAGCGTGAACGAAGGAACGAATGGATTAACGAGGGGTCCGCAGGAGGCGGGGCGCGCGCACTCGCGGGGCGAGAGGAGGGAGCTGGGGACCCTGAGCCGCCCGGGGTGGACGCCAGGCCACCTGGCGTGGGGCAAGGCCGAGTGAGTCCCGTGGCAGGCGGGTGGACGGGCCCGGCTTGTCCCCGACACCGGGAGCCAGTGCCTGGGGGAGGCTCGAAGGCCTGCAGCGGGGGCCCGGACCCAGGCGTCGGGGGCAGTGCGTGACACAGGCCGGTCCTCCGCACCCCAGAAAGGCAGGTGGTGTCGGAGCAGCCGGTGTCCACGCTCCCAGCACAGGGACAAGCCTGTGTCCGCGCCACCACCCCTGACCCACCTGAGTCACCGGCCTGGCGCTCAGAGGGGTCACGCCCTGCGTGCCGAAGGCCGAGCTGACCCCCAGGCACCCTGTGTCCTGGGCAGGTCCGGCCACAGCGCACGCGCAGGACACTGCCCAGGCCCCCGCTGGCCTCCCGGCGGCTGTGACCGCCCGTGCCGGTGTCCGAGCTGCCAGCCTGGCTGCGCCGGGCTCGCCCCCCAGGGCCCCACTTCAACCACCTGACACAGGCCACCAGGCCACCCGCGCGTCCCCTGAAAATCGAGCCCCAACCGGACCCCTCGGGAGGCCCAGGCCCGGTGCCTGCCCATGTCTGAGGGTTCCCGGTTCGGGGGTCCATGGGGGTGCCCCGCATCAGAGCAGGCAGGGGGCCAGCAGCCCGGCCTCAGAAGTCAGGGTCCTTCCCTGTGCCCCCCAAGGCCAGTGGGGGCTGCGGCAGGGTGGGGGGCAAGGGGCGGCCTTGCTCCCCATCGCCAGGCCTCACGCTCAGGGACACGCTCGCGGCAGGGGAAGGGGCGAGGCTGCACGGGCCGCGGCCCGAGCCTCAGTTCCCTCCTCTGGAAGGGGGGTCGCACTGGCAGGGAGCGCGGGCCCATGCGGGCTTTTCTCGCCCGGGGGCCCGGGGGCTGCCCAGCCAGGGCCTGGGTGGCAGCCACGCCCCAACCCGGATCCGGTGAGCTTGTGGGTTTGCCGGAGGAGTCCGGGGGGAGAGAGGAGGCTGGGGTCCCGCCTCTGGGGCCTCCCAGGCGTTGCCATGGAGATGGGAGGACAGAAGAGGGATGTGGGGACGGGGGAGGCCTCGGCTGCGCCCCCGAGTGTCGCTTTCTCTGTCACGCGCTCGCTGACTCACGCGGGCGCTGGGATGCGGGGCAGGAAGCGGCGCCCGGCGGCCCTCTCCGGATGGGCGACCAGGCCAGCGCCCGCCGTGTGAGGACGCCCTTCCGGACGGACCCGAGCGGGGGACAAGGACCCTGCGGGCGGGGGCGCGGCCTGGGCGCCGGGGACTCCGCTGGACCCTGCACGCTGGCTGCTCCTCCGGGGCCCCCTCTGGGAGGTGGGTGGAAACGTGGCCTGGACCCCGGGCCACCGAGGACAGCGCGGTCCCAGAGCTCTGGGCTCAGACTCCTGATGGGACAGAAGCAGCCCCAGCCCCCCGGGGTCTCCTGTCCGCGGGCAGGGCCACGGGGCCGCCCCCCAGGCTCCCGCCCCCCCGCCCCTCCGACACCCACCGGGAAAGGAGGCGGCTGCTGGGCTGCCGGGTCGCGAGGCCCCGGCTCAGCCAGCCCTGGCCTGACCCCGACCCTGACCCCGACCCCGACCCCGGCCTGACCCCGGCCTATGTCTGGCCTGAGGGACTGGGGCAGGGGTTCGTCCCCACCTGGCCTGCCCCGGCGCCTGGGTACGCCCGGCTCGTCACTTCTGTCCCAGTCTCTGGATGCGGCTTGACGCAGGGACCGGGGCCACTGGGCTCTGGCCGGCAGGACCTGGGGGCCAAGCCCTTCCGGCAGGAGCTCCCCCGCCTTCCCCTCCCCCGCCAGCCCTGGGGCGGGGAAGGGGTCCCATGGGGCGAGGAGGCGGGCACAGCGCGGAGACTCTTTCCACCCTGACTCAGGGCTTCTGGAAGCAGAGAGTCCCCCACAGTGGGGGGACATGGCTGGCTCCGGCCCCTGCCCCCCGGCCCCACCGCCCGCCGCACCCGGTGGCCCCGAGCTCCGGCCAGCGGCCGGGTCGCCCCAGCGCCCTCCTTGGGGGTCCCCTCATTGTCTCACCAGCTCAGTCCACAAAACCCCAGGCCCCTGCGGGGAAGGGACCGCGTCATCCCCACTTCGCAGGGGACACAGGTGGGAGGCGCCTTCCCTCCCAGAGCCGGGGCTCCACATTCCAGAGCAGGTGGCACCCGGCCCTGCACCCCCTGCCCCGCACCCCTGCACGTGGCCCTGGGCCTGGGGCTCCTCCTCTGGAGAACAGCGACCGTAGGACCGTTGACCCAGGGGCCAAGCACGCGGATGCGTCAGCCAAGCGTCCTCTGGGCTGCGTGTGGCCCCCGGGAAGGGCCCTGCCTGCCTCACAGCCCCCCGCCCCCGCCCCGGCCCCCGAGACTGCTGAGCTGGGGACCCCGCAAAGCTCCTGACAGGCTGGTGACGCTGAGCCGTGCTGCTGCTTCGGCTTCGCACGTTTCCGTGTGTGGGGGGCTGCGGCCCCCCAGCCCCGCCCCGGTCAGTCTGACTTCAGGACGGTTGACGGGCAGCCTCTCCCTGCCCTGGCGGCACCGGGAGTCACGGCACCGCGGCCCATCGGTGGCGGCTTGGTGACCCGGCCACGGACACGCCTCATGTGCGGGGATGCGTGCGGGTCAGGGCCCCCGCCCCAGCCCCGAGCAGCTGCTGCGACTCAGTGGCTGGGGGAGGGGTCGCCGCGTCCCCCCTCTTTGGTGGGGCATGAGGTCCCGACACAGAGGAACCCGGCCCCGCACCGCTCGCAGGAAGTGGGCGCAGGTTGGCCGGAGGCCCGCGGGCGGGGCGGCTGATGGGAACTCCGGCCTCTGTTGACCGAGGGCTGCCCGGCCGGCCGCTCCCCCCCCCCCGAGGAGGGGACACCTCGGTCCCTTGCGCTCTGCCCTGGGGCCCAGAGGGAGCTCTCGGGCCCTGGGCGGGGGCGCTGCGTGGCAGAGAAAGGGCGGGAGGTGAGTTTGGTTTCGTGGTGGGGCACCCTGCCCAGAGCCCCTGCGTGCACGCGTGTGTTTGTCTGAGTCACTGGGCAAACAGGCCCCGCCCCGGGTCCGCGCGGTTTCCCAGGCCCCCGCCCGGCCCCGCTGGCTCCCCTCCGCGGCGAGGCCCCGCCTGACCTGGTGCCCGTGGGCTCCTCCTCGAGGGGCGCTGGGCTGGGGCCTCTTCCCCTCCCTGGGCCCCGCAGCCCCCCCACCTCGGCCTCCTTGGTGCCCCCCTCTGGACCCGGGAAACACAGACGTCCCTCGGCCCCCTCCCAGTGCCTCCTCCCGCCTCCCAGGCCCCTGAGGAGGCCGCGGCCCCGCCCAGGGGGCTCCTAACCCGCAGTCAGTTTTGGGGTGGGGGCTGTGGCACCCCCCCAGGCTGAGGCCAGCGCCCTCTCACCCCTGACCCCTGGGGCCCGGGCTCTGCGATGGCGGGGTGCTGTCTGAGGGGTCGCTCCCTAAAGCCGAGCACGCGGGTGTCCCTCCAGCCCCCTCCCCCGCAGGCAGGGCACCGAGGGGCCAGGGGGTGACCCTCGTGCTGCAGAGACTCCCCTCCCCCCGCCCTCCGGGCGCCGTGGGTCCCCCCAGCCCGCAGGAGAGGAACGGCAGCAGAGGGGTGTCCCTCAGCCTAATCTGCGGGCCCGTTTAAAGGACACATTTCTCAGCATGAAGCCATTGTCCTTGCAAACGGGGAAGCGCTAGCTCCGGGCCCGCCTCCAACAGAGCGGGAGGCCCGGCTTCCGCGGGGGTGCCCGCCCGTGTCCTGCGCAGATTCACGGGCGGCGAGAGCGGAGCAGCCAAGGGCCCACCATGGAGGCCGGACACTCAGGACGCGGCCCCTCCCACGGTGCCGGTCGGCCCAGATGAGGAAGGGTGTTCGGACCCCGCTCCAGCGCAGATGGGCCTCGGGGTGACGGCTGGGTGCAGGAGCCAGACCCGGGGGGACAACAACCGCGCGACCCAGTCC